CTATGTTTTTAGACAACGTGCTCGACATGTCGTTTCGGCAGCTAGGTACATCGCAGTCCAGCAGGAATGCTAGTGAAACTTGCTTGAGAAACACAGTATGATGAGTTTTACAGAGGTTTTGCAATCTTACTATATAGAGATATATATGATATATGTATATGTATATATACATATATCATATATATATAGGTATATCCGTATAGATATTAGAAACCATGTATATATACATGTATTATATGTCATTATGACATGTTTTATATTCTTGCATGCATTGTCTTTTTCCTACGCATGATATAAAATGCCTATATGCCATATATCTAAAATACCAAAGATGTTAGATGATAAGAATATATATATATATATATATGTATTGAATATCACATAATATCCTATATATTACCTCGTGCCTCATATCGAACATTCGTATACCATATGATGATGTATCATCTGTTCATTGTTGTTACACCTCAGATATTATGTGTGCTCTATTGTGTATGGCATATCGCGTACTATGTGTTGTATGATGGATGAAAGCCTTTGCAGGAAGCGTGCAGGGATCGACCCAACAGCGTATGGCACCGGCAAAGCCAAAACACTCGGCGCACTTCTGAAGGCGGGTGTGTGAGGGTACCTTTGCATTCGGACTTCAGACATGAACTTGTCATCCCACCTGCCAGGAGAGCTACAGCTCTTTAACAGCCTGCTTTGTTCACATTCTCGTGGGTCATTGGGTTGCTTTCGGACCTTACAAGGTGCGGTATGTCGAGGACTTGTGGTCGGAGACCTGGGGTGGCTATTGATTAGTGCCTGCTCCCGCGCTGGGGCCCAGGTCCCCCCCTTGGTGTGTGCCATTCTCGCCGTTGGCGTATGTCAAACCCAACACCACAAGTTTTCTCAGCCTCAACTTTGCATATTTCGTCTCGCATTCCCCTGTACATCACAGGCCCTTGATGCCTTCCGATGCTGATGCTTCCCATTGCCATGTTCACATCTCTTTCCCTGCATGAAAATTCGCGGTTATGGAGGCTTCGAGCAATTTCGCACATATCTGTGTCATACTTTTTTCTCCTGCTTTTCCTTGGGGCACTAGCTTTGGTGCGCGAGCTGCTGAGCCCTCTTCCACAGGAAGTGGTGAAGGGCGAGACAGTTCTGGCACCGCGGCCGCACGGAAAGGGACTGAAGAAACCACGAGTGCAACGCTTGCTTGTGTAATTGATGCGCGTGCAGTGGACTCGGACTGCAAGCGATTGTAATTGTTCTGTGCTTTGTGGCTCGGCCCTTCAGTTGAGGAGTGGAACGAAAGCATCTCCCAGATGCGTCGCGTCGTCGAGCCTGTGTTCGTCCAGCTGAGATGGGGTGACAAGGCAAGGAAGAGGAGCAACGCAAGAGAAACCGAGAGAAAGATCTACTAGCCCAAATGCCACAAAGGAAATGTCGTTTGTTTCGAAATCCCCAGCCTAGTGCTATGCGTTTCGAGGGGCACCTGGGCCTTGGATTCTCCGCGATTTGTGGGGTTCTTTGTGTAGGGTTTCTGGGGTGGGTATTGCGCTATTCAGGGGTTGTGGGTTTCTGTGCAAGATTCTCTGGGTAGGAGACTTGGGTGAGGAGTACAGGGACCGGGCGAGGCGCAAAACCACCCAGCCAGCCCCACGCAGTGGCAGACTTCCTCTTGGGCAAGACTAACCGGATGCTGTCACTACAGGAGCTGGCAAGCTTCACCTGAGGGAAAATGGCCTTCGCCTATGTGAGAATGAGAGTGAGGTGGCCGGTGTTAGCGGCTTTGGGGGGCCACCCCAATGACCCACGTCTGTCTTGCTGAACACACCCCTGCCACCAACAGATCTCTTCGGAGAGGGGACAGTCTTGCTGGATTCTTCTCGTGGGGGTGGTGGAAGTGTGAACTCCAACTGGCGCCCCAATGATGCATGTGGAGGGGCCACGAAGGCAGCAGAGCTGATGCTTTGCGCATCCCTTATCTGCAAGATGAATGCTATGCATAAGAATAGTCATGAACAAGGCAACTGCGAGATGCTCGTAGGATGATGAATAAGAAACACAAGTTGAACAAGAACAGCACAGCGGGCAATATGGACGTGAAAGAAACGATAACGTATTTGGGAGAAAAGAGAGAGGAGAAAGGGAGCAGCTGGAACATCAGGTGGCTGTGGTCTGCTTGGAGATGCAAGAAGTGCGCAACTCGTGCGGAGCAGGGGCCTCGCCCCTGCTTCCGACTAGGCACAGCCACAGCGCAAAGAGAAATAGAAAAGACGGCAGTGCATGGTCGTGAGTCTCTCCAGTAGGCGAGTTTGAACTTGCCCTTTGCGACACGATGCCCTGTGGCCCGGCCTTAGCGTTCCAGTCCGCGTCAGACCGCACTGACGAACTCCACGACCTGTTGGTTGTCATCTGAAAGGAGCAGTTTGTACTAGCTGCCCGTGAAAGAAAGGGGGTTGACAAGCGCCTGTTTCCGAGCGCCGTGGCTCCCACGGCTCGAGGTTGCGCCTTCCTTGGAACACAATCTCACCACTGGTTTCCCAGCGTTTCCATGCATTTGCTAGCAGCAATGCAAAGTGACACTGAAGCGTGTGCTTGAAGAAAGCGCTGACCAGCCAAGCCTGACCTGGCCACTTTAACTGATGTTGCCCTTCAGGTTTTGGTTGAAACGGAGCAGATCCTCAGTGATGGCCGACCGCGTCAAAGGCACCCTGCGCGATCCAAGCCAGAAAGGGGCGTGACGCATGTCGTAACACCTTAGTGGCCTTAGTGATCCTGTGCACGGCGCCACAGGAACATGCTTCTGGCCGAAAAGAAAAGCCCGGACGACGTGGACATCGAGCACTCGGCTCTTCGAGGAGCGCAGTGTTGTAGGAGGGAAAGAGCGGAGCGGGCGCAGTGCCTTGAGCGCGCTATGCAGGAGTAAAGGAAGAGCTGCTTGAGAATATCCCGGGCTGTGAGATCGACGTGCTCTGTCATTTACGCCGCGGAAGCTGCAGCGGTAGTGGTTTTTGTTTGAGTCATAAAGTGAAGCTTCGGAGGGACTGTGCCACAAGATCCATGGGCCCCGATGCGTCTGAGGTTTCATGCAGGAAGCTTATTGTTGCGTGGCCGAAAACTTGGAGTCCAGCTCTTTCCCAGGCGCTCATCTCACTTCCTCGTTCATTGCTCATGTGTTCAAAGTTTAAGGCTGGCATGAACTGTGCATAGCATAAGCGGAGCGCAAGTGTGGAAGCAGGCTTGCCCTGTGTCTACATCACCCATTACTGTGGGGTCCAAATCCTGGACCATGCGCTGCCCCTCTTCAAGGCTGGGTAGACTGAGGTTGTTGCATTTTGTTTTGGTTACAATAATCGCTTGCTGTGAGGCATTGTATACATATATGCATATGTATATGTACGTTGATGCTTTTCTTTTTCATATAGAAGCCCCAAACCAAGGCTAGTCCTACCCATAAGGCCTGCCGTAGGCCTGTGGTAGCCTACCCATAAGCTTACCCAGGCCTCCTAGCCTCCCCACACTACCAGTAGACTACCCACAGGCCTCGCAGGCCGATCAATGATCTGTGAGTAGCCTATTGGTAGGCCTGCCGGTGGGACTGTGGATAGCCTACTGGTAGGCCCGCGAGTAGGGCGTTGGGTAGTCTGCCGGCAGATCGAGAGGCCTGCGCGTAGCGTACCCGCAGGCCTACCGTAAGCGTGTGGGTAGGCCACACCTACGCGTAGGCTACCGCAGGCCCTACGCGTAGGCATATATTTTTGAGAATGGTGCACTTGCAGGACATTGGCTTCCTGGAGACAGATTTCGAGACCAAGGAGTCCGACGGCAAGGTGCAACACATGTTTGCTCATGTTTACTTGCCACTTTACTTGCCTCTGTCCAGCGTTCACACTCGTGTGCTGTATGGTGCTGTACGGTACACCATACTCTCATCTCAGCATGTTGTCCAGCGTTGACACAGTGCATGAGAGCCTCTCGCTCGCCAGATCAACAAATGGCGCTGGGTGGATGTGAACAAAGCCCGCGCAGACAAGGCTTGTCCGGTCGCGAGACTGATGCACTAGTGATGCACTTTCTACTTGGTCCTTGCATGCGCAATTTACACCTTGGATTGCGGATACTGCTCGATGTATCTCGGTGTGTATCGTTCCTGCAGGTCAAGGGCTTCCCGAAGCTTGAGGAGGATGATCAGGCTCCAGCTGGGATTGTCCTCACGGAGATCATGTCAGTCTCAATGACTCGCAAGGTTTTGTTTTGGAAGGGTGATAGGGAGATGTTGCATGTTGCGGCCAAAGGAATACTGCTGTAGCTGCCGAACACTGATTCAGAAGCCATGATTCGGAAGCCAAAGCGAAGCCTTCAGCCCCCATCCCAAACGAGCAACCCACGTTCAGAGTTTTCTATCTCGCGCTCTCTCTCTCTCTCTTTTTTTTCTCTCTCTCTCTCTTTTTCCCCATCTTTTGTTATATATATATATCTCGCTCTCTCTCTCTCTCTCTTTCTCTTTCGCTCTCTCTCGCTCTGGCTCTCGCTCTGGCTCTCGCTCTGGCTCTGGCTCTCGCTCTGGCTCTCGCTCTCGCTCTCGCCCTCGCTCTCTCTCTCTCTCTCTGTCTCTCTTTGTCCCTCTCTCTCTCTCTCTTGCAAACTTGCTTGGGCAGCTACGTTTACACAGGAACTGGCAAATATTAACACATGCATGTATGTATTTCAAAAAATATAGATATATATATATACACATGTAAATACACACGTTTGTATTGTAGAGGATGTGGCGTCTTTGCAGGCTGCCGAGGGCTCGTGGCAACAGCTGGAGACCCCTCTCGACCCGGGAGACCTTCGCGACATGGCCATGATTGGGCAGTGATACAAGTATCATGGTCGACCATCAGATTTGATGGGATGTGTGGTGTGGAATGGCAAGGCTTTTTTGACTTTCAGGGTTGTTGGTCGTCAAGGTTTAGACTCAACATCAGACGCACTACTTGCCTGAAGGCGTGCTTTTGGAGATGGGCGGTGTGAATGTCACCACCTGGGGCATGTGCCTGGGCTGGAGAGCCATGCGTTTTTTTTCTTCACCGAAATTCGTACATTAAATATACCCTCAAGGATGAGTGGGTGAATCTCGACCGGTGAGACTTGAAATTGGCCGGGCATTTGCCGGAATCACAACAGTTTGTCAACTCTCGCAAGGTACACGGAGGAGTCCTTACGCTGCCTTCACAATGAGCTGAAGATCGGGGCGTCAACGCTGGAACGCGATGATATCTCGGGCAAAGCTCGGATCTTGGCGTTGAGAGTTCACATCCAAGCCACGTCAGTTCTCGTACGTTCGCCTTGGCACCTTGTGCCTCGCAAGATATCCTGCTAAGGTTCGTCGCGCCATTTGTTCCAATCTGGTGCAGCTCAAGGTTGGCGAGGCTCTTTGAACAAAGGGGGTTGGCTGCGAGTCTGCTACGGGTCTGTTGCGCGTGCTGTGCCACTGCGTGTTAGGCTGAGAAGCCTTGGAAACCAGAGCGACTAGTCATCCTTGAGCTGCGCTGAAACTTTGGGCTTGACTGAGGGTTTGCGCTGCAAAGGCCAGGTGGGAATGAAAACGACCCTCCGAGTCACAAGTGGCCATCAGTGGTAGGTTGGCCAGCAAAGAAGGCCACATCGCAGGTGGTGGCAGGTTGATAGGCGGTGGTGGGGAAGCTCCAAACTGGTGGGCTGGGCAAGTCTCATCGCGCAGTGACCCGCGATAGTTGCAACAAGAGAAGGGAGAGGTGGCGGAGGAAGGCGTCGCGGCCACGCAGGCCAGAGACGTCTTGGAAGGGTCGGACACTACCTGGAGAATGGCGAGCACGAGCGGCAGTGACACGGGCTGAAGAAGCAAAGAAATAACGAAATCGCGAAATATCGGAAAATGAAGAAAGAAAGACAGAAAGAAATAAAGAAATAAAGAAATAAAGAAATAAAGAAAGACATAAAGAAAAAAATAAAAAAATAAATAAAGAAAGACATAAAGAAAAAAAGAAAAAAAGAAATAAAGAAATAAAGAAAAAAAGAAATAAAGAAATAAAGAAATAAAGAAATAAAGAAATGAAGAAATGAAGAAATGAAGAAATGAAGAAATACAGAAATAACGAAATAAAGAAGAAATAAAGAAAACTTAAAAAAAGAAAGAAATAAAGAAATACAGAAATGAAGAAATGAAGACATGAAGAAATGAAGAAATGAAGAAATGAAGAAATAAGGAAATAGAGAAATAAAGATGAAGAAAAGAAGACATGAAGAAATGAATGAATGAAGACATGAAGAAATGAAGAAATGAAGAAATGCAGAAATGAAGAAATGAAGAAATGAAGAAATGAAGAATGAAGAAATGAAGAGATGAAGAAATGAAGAATCGAAGAAATGAAGAACGAAAGAAATAGAGAAATGAAGAAAGAACAAAAAACGAAATAAAGAAATATAGAAAAAAAAAGAATTCAAGAAATCAAGAAGGAAAGAAATCGAGAAATAAAGAAATAAGTCAAGAAAGAAAGAAAGAAATACATACATAAAGAAATGAAGAAACAAAGAAATGACGAAATAACGAAATAAAGAACTAAAGAAATCAGGAAATAAATAAATACAGAAATAAAGAGATAAAGAAATGAAGAAATGAAGAAAGGAAGAAATGAAGAAATAAAGACGTAGATAGAGAAAGAACTACAGAAATAAAGAAAAAACAAATACGGAACTAAAGAAATCTAGAAAGAAATAGATAACGACATCAAGAAATCATAAATAAAGATGAAAAGGAAGCATAAAGAAAGAAAAAATGCAGATAGGCCCACCCTGTTCAGAACATCCTGGAGCTTCTGAATGTATGCAGTCTTCGGTTTTTTTTGATCTCCCGTGTAGCTGACTCCAGGCCTTGGACAACCAGCAAGGCCGCGGCTGTGATGGGAGGGCTTGGCCTTAAAAGGTTTTCTCTTGTCTGCAGTGGGCATGGGAAGCAGAAGCCCAAAAGTTGCGGTCAAGGGCCGTTTTCTGTGGCCTTTTTGTGACATGAAGCGCCCCCACATCTCACAACGGATCCCGAGCAGCGAGTCCTAGTCCCAAGGTTGCGTTTGTGTTTCCGTGCGCTTCGCGCTGGGTTGGCCTTTGATCGGGGACACGGGTTTGGGAGTTAGAGCCCTGTGAGCCTCCACGTGTCTTCATACCCAGATCTGCGACTGGTTCCCAAGACGCTAGAGACAGCAGATGACAGCAGCTTAGTCAGCAGGTTCCTGACCTGACGCGCAAGTCCTCAGCCCTGACAGGCAGTCAAGGTAGCTTCGGCCTCGGCGAGGCGCGCAGCATGGCCTGCTCCTCAAGTGTGCAGGGCTAGGTGTGCGAGGTGTCGAGGCCGTGCCCGCTTCGTTCTTTGCAAGCTCGGACATCGGTTTCTGGTGACGGCCTGAAGGTGTCAGTCGTGTCAGGTCTGTCGTTTTTGTCCATGCTTCTGTCTCCTTTGTAGCTCAGTCTGGCATGGGTGTCCGTAAAAGGCGGGGGTGATGGCACGATTACGGCATGGTTACCTGAGAGCGTTGTTTGTGGTTGGCAGATTTGTGGCAGAGGCTGTAGTTTCTGTAGTTGCTTTTGCGCTTCTGGACAGCTTGGGTGATGGAGGTGCAGCACCTGCTGAGGTGCAGTTTCGTCCCGAGAAGGGGGTGTGGGAAGTCGTGCAGAGCGACACCCACTCGCACCTTGCAAGGAATTATTCGTGGTTTTTTGAAGGGCCGGAATAACAGCAGCAACGGGCCCCGCCAAAGACATCATCTTGCGTCACCCTGTGTCAGCTCAGCTTGTGTTGCATTTTTGTTGAGGTACCCAGGCCTCCCGGCCTGCTACCAGACGCGGCTTGTGCAGTTCGATGCGAAGCAGCCAGAACTCCCTCGAAAGGCGATGCTTCACATTCATCACAAATTCTTTTTCATGCAGAGTGTGAACACTGTGGAGACGTGTAGGGCTTTGATGGGACACCATGTTGAGCTTTCCTTTCCTTAGGGATGTGCTGTCTTGCGTGTTGTTGTCTTTTTGCGGGGTCTCTGAGCTGGCTCGCGAGCAGGTGCCTTCAGATGCCAGCATGAACGGCCTCCCGAAGGTGCGTGCTTTGCAGGAGTGCCGGCGTTCAGTTTAATCCAGGCTTAGTAGAACCTGGGTTGAATGTGGTTGGAAACTGGGTTCTCGGTTCAACCTGGGTTAAACCCCATCTCTGCTCCCGGTTCTTTGTGGAGGTCCGCCGGCCCTCCCAGAACAGCCTGTGGAACCGGTCGGAAGGTGCGCTGTGCTTTGCCTGTGGGTTTGGCGTATTACTGTCGGCATTCCATTTCTGCCATATCAAAAATCTCTTTGTCTCTCTGTTGCTTCGCTGGGAGGCGTGCCGAATACGCTGTCCTCAGGCCACAAGCCCCCTCGACATGGACAAGTGATGCAGAGGGGTGCCTAAACATCCCCAGCCGTCCCTCAGCCCCAGGGTTCGGTGTTCGGCAGGCCCCTGCAGCCCGAAGAGTGCGCAGAGTGTCAGCTCCATTCCAGGCCAGGAGAAACCCTTTGGTTCCAAAACCCCCTCCCATCCAGGGTTATGGAATTTTACGACCACCAACTCTTTGGAATCTACGGCGCTACGATCAGCCCCCGGCACCCAAACTGAACAAGACAGTCTCCTCACTAGCCTTCTTCAGCCCCGAAATACCCCCGTGTCAATACCCGGGCATACCCGTGCATTTTCTCTGGCCGCGAGCCTTGGTGCGGCCTTTTGATGCCTTTTGGGGTTCCAGGCTCTCTGTTCAGCGAAAGCCCCGTTCGGACGCGCACGAAACAAGAGCCGGCCCAGGACAGGTGATGGGAAGATGGGCTTTGTGGGCATTGGGGATGTGTAATGGGGGATGCCGACCGAATTGGAGAAGGGAGCGCACGCAAGCCCTTGGAGCCTTGTTGGAGATTTGGCCACAGGACTTTTTTTGAGCCCTCCTGCCTGTGGTACGATGATGTGGATCTCGGGTTTTGTCGAGGCAAACAATGGCCCAGCCAGGAGACGATCCAGGAACTGCCAGACACGAACAACGTCGGATCGGGTCTCTACAGTCAGGTGCTGAACGTGCACAAGGAGCCCGGTGAGGGTGCGGGGCTGGCATGGGCGTAACTGATGTAACTGGAAGCCTCGCAGTTCTTATGTGTTCTGCAGTCCCAGGGCCGAAGCCTTATCTTAGCACCTCAAAAGAGCAGCTGGAGGACCTGCGCTTCCGGATGGTCGCCAAGGACCCCGGCCTTCGTGGGCCGTGCACTCTCTGGTATGGTGCTTGACATATCTTGCGACATGTCACGGGATGTCACGGGATGTCACCTGATGTCACCTGTGCAGAGGAGTCCTCGGAAAAGGCTCCGCCTCCTGCCTCTCAGGCATTCGGGGCTCAGGGAACATGGATGAACAAGGGCCAATGTGGCCAACGGCTCCCGTGTGAGCTATGTAAAATTTGGTGGCAGGGCATGTCCAGTCTACCTGAATGTTGCACACATCTGAAGCCATGCAGTTGAATGGCGCATTGTAGGGGGATTGGAGATGTTGAGTTCGGCGCCTAAAGGTGCTTAAGCACCTGACTGAGCGAGAGCGGCGAAACCCCCAAAACCACCTAAGCACCTGAACGCCTAATCTACGGGCGTCCAACACTGGTAAGCCCCTTGCAGTGCCTGAACAAAGCGCCTACGCAGTGTTTGGAGGCTTAGAGGTTTTGAAGTTCTAGAAGCTTGGCTGGACCAGGCAGCCCAGCCCCTAAAGGCTTAGAGGCTTTGGATTTAAAGAAGCGTCGCCGAACCAGGCAAGTCCGTAGAAGCTTCGAGGCGTGCAGTGTGATCCTAAACTTGTATACTTATACAGATTCAAATTTTGCGGGTGCGACTACTTGTGGTTTCGTGTATGCGAGTAAATGCATGTGTGTATGTGTGTGTATGTGCATGTACATATGTATTGTTTACGTGTTTGTATGTTTGTGTGTATGTGCATTTGCATGTGAATGTGTATAGGTGTATGTGTGCCCTCATGTGCACGCGTATGCTGCATGTGCGTATTTCTGTACATACATGTTAATACTGTTAATATATGCATGTGTATGTGTCATGTGTATGTCTTTGTAAGCAGTAAATATACATGACCCCCTCCCCAACAGACCAACCTCGGAACCAAAAGCCGGAAGACCCAACAAACTCGGAAACATCTCTAGGGAGTTTTGGATTTTGGAACAACCGCATGAAACCTGACTTTTTTTGGAAAGAAACCCTCTCAAAAACGCGCCAAATATGCATTACTCCTGCGTGACACTCGCAGCAAGAAGTTGTAATCATGCTCCCCTCATTTTGTAACCCTTTAGTTGTCCTTAACAGCTTGCAAAGACTGTTGCGACGAGGGGGAAGGAACATCCTAGCATGCATTGTATAATGACCGTGTGCTTTACACCGCACGAGCTCTAAATGAATTGAGTCTCAATGTGTGTGCAGCTTTTTCAGGACTTGCAGGCAGATGTCACTCTTGTCTCAAGTTTTGTGTGTCGCGAGGCTGTGGCCTGTTCTTGCGAGGTTTTACTGCGCCTGGGCTGCCAAGGGTATAGGAAGCATGCTCTGTCAGGCTTGCTGGGCATTGCTTGATGCTTCAGGATCCGCAACATCAACCCGCTAACGGCCACGTACCAGTGCCGCTTCTTCGTCTTCCTCGAGTGGTTCGACCCTGGGGCCGTCGGCATGCCGGTCGGCGACGTGTCAGAGGCTGCTGGTATGGTCATGTACAAGTGATCCGCATGTTACAGTGTGTTATATAATATTGCGTTCTATTGTTTTTATCTGTAAAGCTTAGCATTCTTGTTCTTGTTCTGATTCAAATTTGATTATGTATGTGTCTGAAATAGTGGTCCGTGAGTTGAAGTCTTGCTTCCCGGTTGCTTTCCAGGAGAATCGGAAGAATCTTTCGATCCCAGAAATCGCTCTGCAGAACACACTGAAAACAGGCCCCTTGCTTGAAACGAGGCTTTTGGTCTAACTCATGCGACATCTTGGTACCAGCCACAGATGCATGCGTGCTTGCCAATCTGAGGATTGGAGATGTACTCCCCGCCAGAAGTCATCCACAGCGACAGGGGGCATGTTGCCCAGAAAATCCTCTACCAGGTGCGCTTGCACTCCGTGGATAAACGGCCGTGCAGCTCAAACACAGTGTGCCGAAGCCTTGCAGGCCATCATGCAAATGGAAATCGATATGCGATTGTTCCCCTTCGACACGCAACGGCTCACTATCGTTCTAGGCGATTGGCAAGTTTGCGCTGGAGCGTTGCGAGGGTGAGTTCTAGCAGATTCTAGAATTGACAACGGGCAATATTGCCGGTTGTTGATGAAACCATATGAAGTCCCTTCACATGCTTCCAAGATCTTGCAAAGCAGGCCTTCGTGCTCGCCGGGATCGTGATCGCGCGATCTTCTGCAGGTGGCTTGTTTGTGAAGCCATCCCAGTTGGTTCAGCACGCCGTCGCAGGCATGTTGAAGTACAGGCATGTTGAAGTAGTCAAGCCCGACATGCGCTGTATGAAACAGCCGCAGCAGTTTGAGTCCGCCCCGTAGGTTCTGCCATGTGGACAGCCAGATTCGATTGGATGAATGGAGAATTCTTGGAGCATCCCAGCTACGGACAGAGAAGCTCCAGGGTCGGTCCAAGTTCCACGGCACATGCATGAACACAACAAGCGCAGAAAGTGCATCAAGCGCTGTTGCTCTCTATGCCAACCGAGTCTTTCCACGATTCCGACCGGCCAGATGGCCGTGCGCGGGTGCAGTTCGGGGTCGTCATTGGCCGTGGCGTGACTGAACAGGGCAGTGGCTTTCTGCTTGGCGTTGGGTCAGACTGTCAAGTAGATCTTCCATTCGAAATAGTACACACAAGGCCTGCTAGTCATCCCGGCTTTATTCGGCTTCATTTCTGTTTCTGACTCCTTCCTTCTTTCCCTCCTTCCCTCCTTCCCTCCTTCCCTCCTTCCCTCCTTCCCTCCTTCCCTCCTTCCCTCCTTCCCTCCTTCCCTCCTTCCCTCCTCCCCTCCTTCCCTCCTTCCCTCCTTCCCTCCTTCCCTCCTTCCCTCCTTCCCTCCTTCCCTCCTTCCCTCCTTCCCTCCTTCCCTCCTTCCCTCCTTCCCTCCTTCCCTCCTTCCCTCCTTCCCTCCTTCCCTTCTTCCCTCCTTCCCTCCTTCCCTCCTTCCCTCCTTCCCTCCTTCCCTCCTTCCCTCCTTCCCTCCTTCCCTCCTTCCCTCCTTCCCTCCTTCCCTCCTTCCCTCCTTCCCTCCTTCCCTCCTTCCCTCCTTCCCTCCTTCCCTCCTTCCCTCCTTCCCTCCCTCCCTCCTTCCCTCCTTCCCTCCTTCCCTCCTTCCCTCCTTCCCTCCTTCCCTCCTTCCCTCCTTCCCTCCTTCCCTCCTTCCCTCCTTCCCTCCTTCCCTCCTTCCCTCCTTCCCTCCTTCCCTCCTTCCCTCCTTCCCTCCTTCCCTCCTGCCCTCCTTCCCTCCTTCCCTCCTTCCCTCCTTCCCTCCTTCCCTCCTTCCCTCCTTCCCTCCTTCCCTCCTTCCCTCCTTCCCTCCTTCCCTCCTCCTCCCTCCCTCCTTCCCTCCTTCCCTCCTTCCCTCCTTCCCTCCTTCCCTCCTTCCCTCCTTCCCTCCTTCCCTCCTTCCCTCCTTCCCTCCTTTCCTCCTTCCCTCCTTCCCTCCTTCCCTCCTTCCCTCCTTCCCTCCTTCCCTCCTTCCCTCCTTCCCTCCTTCCCTCCTTCCCTCCTTCCCTCCTTCTCTCCTTCTCTCCTTCTCTCCTTCTCTCCTTCTCTCCTTCTCTCCTTCTCTCCTTCTCTCCTTCTCCTTTTCCTCTTTTTTCTCTTTTTCTCTTTCTCTCTTTCTCTCTTGCTCTCTTCTCTTGCTCTTTTGCTCTCTTGCTGTCTTGCTCTCTTGCTCGATTTCTCTCTGTCTCTCTTTGTCTTACATTTTCTGAGGTGGCTACATGTACTACGTCATGAACGTCCTGGTGACTCTGTCGCGTCCTCGGAGAGTCGCCACAGATCTCCGCAAGTAACCGCCCGCAAATGCCCCCTTCCGCGGCGCACAGATCCGCACAGTGCACAGGGCCCAGAAGGTGCCCTCGGGGCATCCTAGGTCCTGGAATCTTACACAAGAGAGAGGAGAGCTCAGAAGCAAAAGGCATCAAATGTCCTTTGGGTGCAGAGACGTGTTGGGGAATTGGGAAGGAGAAAGAGGATGAAGGAAGGTGCGACCCGGTAAGACTGTGTACTACGAGGGTCAGACACGTGAATCTAGTACAAACACTGTACTTACGGCCAAAAATCTTAAAGTAGTATGTAGCAACAAACGCACCCCAAGATGCCAAGGTGCGCCATTGCATCCACCTCCTTTGCTGGCTACTTCCTTCAGGCGGTTAAGGGTTTAAAAAAGTTTACCCGGGGTATCGCACTTCGCTTGTTGTGACGTATGCGTCCATCCACACTGCATGTCGCTGCACTTCCTTTGCTCACTGCGACCAACCAACTCACCCCCCGAAGAGATACAACTGGTGGCTCCTGCTCTTTGTTGGATTTCGTTGGGCCTTCTTTGGCCTTCAGAGGTCACGCCTCCTTACGACCGGCTGCGCTTCGGAGTGTCCATCCTCTTTGCACAGACCACTTTCCGCGCCCCGCTTGAAGGGAGAGATGTTGAGAGCTTTGGGATGTTTATGTGAGCTCCAGAGAGCAGAGTGGTTTTTTCTCTCCAGGTCTCTCTATCGACAGCAAACTGCCCATCGTGTCCTACGCAACGGCTTTCGACCACTTTGCAATGTGTTGCCAACTGCTCTTACTGTCGATGATCGTCGGACTCTCGGGCGCAAGAAGAGCAGATGCGTCTCAGATCTGAATTGAACGACCTGCTGTCTGCAACTGTCTGACATTGCCAGGAGATGTGCTCGTGGCCATGCTTGCAGACAGGTGGTTTGAATTTGGTGGCCTTGAGATGGCGAAAGTTGTCCCTTGGATCAGTTGCTTGCGGCTCTCTCGGGCTTACGCTTAAATCCCGAACGCACATTCAAGCCCGAGACCCATGCCCCGAAACTCAGAAATACGCTCTAGACTGCAGCCACCCTTGTTCTGGTTACCAACTGACCCGGGGGTATGCTTTATGCTTGTTGTCAGGTCTTCTGTTGTTTTTTTGTTCGGGGTGCGGGGGGTGCGGGGGGGAGGGGGGGGGGGCTCAAAAACTCGAAGCCACCCGAAGCCCTGAAGAGTGCCAGGCCGAAGCCGCTCAAGACTTCTTAGCCTCAAAGCCGTTTTATCCACGCCTCCCTTACTGCAAGCCTAAGTTCCTTCGACCTTGTCTGCGCTCAAAGGCCAAATCTACGGGTTGAGGGTTGTAACACCGCAGAAACACTCAAAGCCCCTGAAGACTGCAAGCCAAGCTCTCCAAAATGTACCCTCGACTCCATTCCTAGAGTTCCTTCGATCTCAAAGACTAATCCAAACCTTGAATCCAGGGGGGCAGTGCAAACATCAGCATCTTAAACTGTCACTCTGAACTTAACCACCGAGCCCGAAAGGCACAACCCTGAAGTCTTAAGCCGTTAAGCTCCAGGCCCTCAAAATTTTCAACTCCAAACTCAGACGCCGAACAGTGCAAGTGCAAGCGCGAAGCCACAAAAACTAACACCCTTCACCGAACTCGAACCAAAAACCGATGGCTCTCAAAACGCCCAACAACTCCCGCAACAAGCGCAGGGGGGGTGGGGGTGGGCGGGCGTGGGTGGGTTTTTTTTTGGGGGGGTTTGGGGGGGGGTAGGGGGTAGGGGGAAGGGGGAGGGGGGGAGGGGCAGGGAGGGGGGGTAGTCTCAGGCACAAGCTGTGTACAGGTTTGGTTTGAGGTGATTGGGCTTCGCGCGGTGGCAGGGAGGACCCGACCCCCCCCGCGAAGCTTCAGCCCAAGCCTCAGCCCTAAGCCTAAGCCCCAAGCTTCAAGGCCCAACCAAGCCTTAAGCCCAAGGCCCTAACCCTGTAGCTAGCTAAGCCCTGACCTAAGCCCTACACCCCAAGCCCAAAGCAAGCCCTAAGCCCTAAGCCTTGCCCCTCCGGGGGGGCGTGTGGGGGGGGGGGGAGGGGGGGGGATCCGCCCAAATTTCCCTTGGTCCGGGCACGTCGGCGCGGCTGAATACAGGTCCATTCCGGACCAAAAAAACCCGGCCTCCATCCTAGACTTGGATCTAAACGCCTCAGGCCTCCGGCCTCGGCGGATACGGCAATAAAGGCTCCAAAAAGGACGACGCACTTGAGGAACGGCCGCCCTGAAGACTTCGGTACCTGCTCGTTGTCGGCTCTGACAAGATACCTTCCCCCAACCAGAAAACGTCGTTCTACCTCGGTGAAGCTACCAGTTTGCCCTGAAAAGACGTGCTACGGGCGCGGGTCGTTTCACTTTTGCCATTTTCTCCAGGTTGACAAGGTCATCTTCTTCACGCTGATGCCCGCGTGGTGCCTTGGCACATCTTGGCACACAGCCTTGCATGTGGATCGCGGCCTATCTGTTGTTGAGAATGTAACTTGCCCGTCAAGCAGACATTTCTGACTTGTGCCCGGTCCCCTAGGATTCTAGCGCTCTCGATCTTCAGCATCTGGGTGGTCAGGCTCGGGGATCTGCCAGGGCGGCTTGGGAAGCTTTAGCCTGGGGCTGGTTGTGATGTGAAGTACGGTGAAGTTTCGCCATTGGTCTTTTCAAGTGCCAGGGTCGAAGCAGGCGGAAAACGTTGGAAACGATGCCGACGGCTCAAGCCAATTTTCGCTCAGCACGCATTGTGAGACGAGTCCCCCCATTCCTCATTCCTTTGAGAAGATCGCCAACGATGGCAGTTGTCAGCAAGATGGCGCGCTCGAAGGGCGGCACCGTTCTTGTCGGTGCTGCCGCAGCTGCTGCCCTCCTGGCAGGCCCTAGTTTCATCGCCACTGGCGAGCACGCCCCGCGGCAAATGCAGATGACCCGTAGCCAAGTCGCCAGCAGTACAGCTTCGGCTGGCGACGAGGCGAGTCGCCTGAAGATGGCAGCCACAGGTGCCAGCAGCATGGCCATGGGTGCAGTCGCCGCCCTCGCCCCGCGCCGCATGGCCAAACGCAGACCGGTCGTGGTTGCACGTGCCAAGCAGGATGGCCCCGAAGGCCCGCAAGGACTCCCCGAGCTCGTGGCCTTGGCTGAGCAACTGCTTCGGCAACCCGAGCCAGAGCAGCTGTCGCTTCTGGTGCAGCAGCTGCAGGCCTTTGCCGCAGCCGAGCTTCGCCGAAGTGCAGCACTGACGGCACCTGCCGCCCGGGCCTTCGCAGAGGTCGCAGCTGGCGGCGACGCCCTGCGCGGCGGCGCTCAGAAGCAGCTGCGTTGGGCTGCCGGGGCCGCTGCGTCACTCCTTTTGACGTACAGCGTCAATCTGCAGCCGGCTATGGCGGCAGATGTCGTGAACTACTCCGACTTCATGGAGTCTGTGAACCGTGGTGACGTGGAGATGGTGCGGGTCCAGGATGATCAGCTCTCCGCCCAGTATGTTACCAAGGATGGCGCTCGCCATGAGGTGAACTTGATACCCAATGCACAGGTTGAGGACCAATTGTTCAACACCCTCGCCCAGAAGAAGGTGGATGTGGTCATGCAGAGCCCTGGGGCCAACACGGGCGGGCCTTTCGACTTCCTTGCACGCTTCGCCGGCCCCATTGCCTGGCTGATCGCGGGTCTTCTCCTCCTCTTCGGAGGCGCTGGCATGGGAGGGCCCGCGGGACCTGGGGGTCCAGGCGGCAATCCTTTTGAGCTAGGCAAGTCGAAGGCTCGAATCATCAAGGACGGAGACACCCAGGTCAAGTTCGCGGATGTGGCTGGGTGTGATGGAGCCAAGCAGGAGTTGGTGGAGGTCGTCGACTTCCTGAAGAACACCTCGCGCTACTCCGAGCTGGGCGCCAAGATCCCCAAGGGTGCTCTGCTTGTTGGGCCACCGGGTACCGGAAAGACCCTTCTGGCAAAGGCGGTGGCCGGTGAAGCAGGTGTTCCCTTCTTCAGCATCTCCGCATCTGAGTTTGTGGAGATCTTTGCAGGGATCGGTGCCTCGCGCGTGCGTGACCTCTTCGAGCAGGCGAAGAAGTCGGCTCCCTGCATCATCTTCATTGATGAGATTGATGCTGTCGGTCGCCAGCGCAGCGCGGGCTTCGGCCAGGGCAACGACGAGCGTGAGCAGACAGTGAACCAGCTGCTGACTGAGATGGATGGTTTCGAGGCGAACAAAGGCGTCGTGGTGATCGCGGCCACCAACCGAGCAGACATCCTGGATCAAGCTTTGGTGCGCCCGGGACGTTTCGATCGCCAAATCCAGGTCAGGGGAATCTCTCTCGCACTCCAGAGCAAGCATAGCCATAGAGGGCGGCCGTAGCCGATGATTATGAGGGGATCTGATTTAGCACTGCTCTCGCAGCCGCGAGATGGGAGGGGAGAGCTCACCTAAGTCCACATGCAAGCACTTCAACAGAGCCCTGCTTCAGGTGGATCCTCCTGATGTCCAGGGCCGCGCCGAGATCCTGAAGGTCCATGCCAAGGGCAAGAATTTGGCACCCGGCGTCGACCTCTCCGCCATTGCACGGCAGACGCCGGGCATGTCGGGTGCGGACCTCGCGAACTTGCTGAACGAGGGAGCCATTGTGGCTGCACGTCAGAACAAGGCAGAGGTCGACTCTGACGACATCTTCAATGCGCTCGAGCGCATCGCCATCGGCCTGGAGAGCAAGGATGCTGTCATGTCCGAGAAAAAGAAGAGGCTGGTGGCATATCACGAGGCAGGTCATGCCATCCTGGGCGCGCTCATGAACGACTATGATACCGTGGCGAAGATCAGCATTGTCCCCCGTGGGCCAGCTGGCGGTGTGACGATCTTCATGCCCTCAGAAGAGAGGCTCAACTCTGGCCTTTACTCGAAGGAGTTCCTGGAGAATCGCATGTGCGTCGCGCTTGGTGGGCGTTTGGCTGAGGAGATCATCAATGGCAAGGACAATGTCACCACCGGTGCCTCCAACGACTTCCAGCAATGCACGCAGGTCGCCAAGCAGATGGTGATGTCTTTGGGCATGTCCCCAGAGATTGGGCAGCGGCTCCTTGGAGGTCAGCAGGGCAGTGGACCCTTCATGGGCCGCGACTTCATGGGCCAGAGTGCCCCTCCCATGTCGCAAGCACTGAAGCAGAAGGTGGATCAAGAGATCAAGCGCATTGTGGACGAGCAGTATCAGCGCGGCATGAAGCTACTGCGAGACAACATGTACCTTCTGGACGAGCTTGCGAAGATGCTGATGCGGGAGGAGAAAGTGTCTGGCGAGCAGCTCATGAAGCTCATCAACACGACGGCTGCGGAGGGCAAGCTTGTCACGAGCGATGCCCGGATGGCCGTGGCTGCCTACACAGGTGAGGCGGTCGAAGCCTCGGCTGAGGTTTCAATGCCTCGAAAGACGCAGTGCCTCCATCCCGACAAGCCGATGATGCCCCTTGGCAAGCTCTCTTCTAAGAACCATGTTCAGACGTCACTCTAAGCAGTTTTGACGGAGCCCTTAACTTCATTCAGCCCAAAACTCCCTGCCACAGCTGCACCGGCTGCACCAATCCAGACCATGTGGCGGCATCGCAGGAAGAGCGAGGGCTCTCGCAACAGAAAAGCTTTCTCATATCTCAAGTGATATGTGCTTTCGGTGCCTCCCGACATCTCGTAGCTTGCCCCAACCGGAAACTGGGCGGAGCCGGGCAGTTTTCCTCAACTGAACAGCTCAGGTTCGCATGCGCCGACTGCCCGCGCCGTGGCTTCTGCGGCTCCACACGCTCCATGCCGCAAGGTGGCCGGGCCGCGCGCAGCGCGGTGGCTCGGCTGGGCCTGGCCACACCCGAGGAGAGGCGGGAGTCAACCAGCGACGAGGTCCTGCGTCGTGTGCAGGACATGGCCGCCGAGGTCTCCAACGGTGCAGCGCTGCCGGACACCGTGGTGAAGAGCGCTGCGGTGCAGGTCCTTGCCGCTTTGGCCGCGTCCGCAGCACCAATGGCGGCCAAGGCAGACGATGTCCAAGCACTGCGACCCATTGAAGATACACAGATGCAGATGCAGCAGCCCAGCAGCTTCGCCCCAGTCGCTCCGGTCACCGGTCGTGTCACCTACTCGCGGCTCCTCGAGTTCGTGGATGAGGGTTCCGTGAAGCGCGTGGACTTCTACGACCTTGGCCGCACGGCTGTCGCTGACGTCTCCCTGGGTGGCCGCGAGCAAGAGCTTATTTGTGATCTTCCTGGAGCCACGACCGGTTTCATCGAGAAGCTCACAGCCAAGGGTGTCTCCATCGAGGTCCACCAGCCCGAGAAACCAAGCCCTCTGCTCAGAGTCCTTGGTGATGTTGCCCTGCCGCTGCTGCTCATTGGTGGCCTGCTCTTCCTGCGCTCCCGTGCGCCAGGCGGTGGCGAGGGGATTCCCGGCATGGGCAACCAGGGCCAGGCCAAGATCATGATCACGCCTGAGACCGGCGTGAAGTTTGAGGACGTGGCCGGCATCGACGAGGCCAAAGAGGAGCTCACAGAGATCGTGGACTTCCTGAAAGCACCAGAAAGGTTCGTGAGGGTCGGCGCGAAGATCCCGCGCGGCGTGCTGCTGACAGGTCCCCCAGGCACCGGCAAGACTTTGATGGCCAAGGCGCTGGCCGGTGAGTCTGGCGTGCCGTTCATCCAGTCATCAGCCTCTGAGTTCATCGAGCTCTTCGTGGGCGTGGGTGCCTCGCGCGTGCGGGACATCTTCAAGCAGGCCAAGGAGAAGGCACCGTGTATCGTGTTCATTGATGAGATCGATGCCATAGGTCGCCAGCGTGGCGCCGGCATGGGCGGAGGCAACGACGAGCGTGAGCAGACGCTGAATCAGATCCTCACGGAAATGGACGGCTTCGAGGGCAACAGCGGCGTCATCGTCGTTGCTGCAACCAACAGGTCTGTGGTCAGCCAAACATGGCTTGTCTGACTTGTCTAACTGAGTCTAAAGCCGTTAGACACATGCAGCTCTTGCATGATTGCACGACGGCGCTTTGCCATCTTTGCCTTGTTTCGTCTTGCTCCAAAATAGGTCCGACATCCTGGACAGCGCCTTGCTTCGTCCTGGCCGCTTCGACCGCCGTGTGCAGGTCGGCCTCCCGGATGTCAAGGGCCGTGCACAGATCCTGGAGGTTCACATCAAGGACAAGAAGCTGGACGGCGAGATCACGCTGACGGAGATCGCCAAGCGCACCGCCGGCTTTTCGGGCGCTGACCTGGAGAACCTCATGAACGAGTCAGCGATCTTGGCGGCCCGGCGCAACAAGAAGGCCATCAGCATGGCTGAGATCAGTGATGCCACGGACCGGGTCATCGCGGGTCTTGAGGGCCGGCCGCTACAGGACAACGCGGCCAAGAAGCTCATCGCATACCATGAGGCCGGACATGCCATCGTTGGGACACTGCTCCCTCACCACGACCCAGTCAACAAGGTGACGGTGATCCCCCGTGGGCAGGCCAAGGGCCTTACCTGGTTCACACCCGGCGAGGAGCGAAGAAACAAACACACCAAGCCAGTATAGGCAGTATAGGGTAGTATAGGGACATACAGGGGCTATGGAGTCCCCATAGTCGCTGTGTGGTCATGTACTAAATTCGCCGGGAGCACCCGGATACATCGCTTGCGCGGCCTCGTGGGTGTGCGAGCCATTGTGTTGCACGTGTGGAGGACCAGAGCCTCATCTCCGCCGCCATGCTGAAGGCCCGCATCGCCGGAGCCCTGGGCGGACGTGCAGCTGAACAGCTGGTGTTTGGCGTCAACCAGGTGGGATGGGTGTGCGAAACCTGAGAAGGCAACCCTTAAGTACTTGTTTTGTTGAGACTTAGGGGGAGTTCTTTCGTAGAGATTGGCTCAGGAGGCCTCTGCAGCCCTGTGCACTGTGGCCTTTGCCCCCGTGCCTTGTGCAGGTGACCACAGGTGCTGGTGGCGACCTCCAGCAGGTGGAGCGCATGGCTCGGGCCATGGTCACCCAGTTTGGGATGTCGGAGGTCGGCTCCCTCGCCACTGGATTTTGCCTGAGATGTATTGTTTTTGGGTATTTCTCGGGGAGCAGGGGGCATGGGGCATCTTAGTTCGGAGTTTTTGGTTGAAGCTTGTTCTTGGTTCAAACGCCCTCCAAGATTCAAAGGGTTCAAAGGTGCAGTGTTGAACGTTGTTGAGCATTGTAGAACATGGTAGAACGTGGTAGAACCACGTGTGGCTCCTTGGCTGTCCGAATGTCCTGCAGCAGCAGAGGCGATCGACGACGGTGGCTTCTCGGGCCCCAACTACTCGGAGGAGCTGAGCGCAAAGATCGACAATGCCATCAAGAACATCTCGGATGACTGCTACCTCAAGGCACTGGACATCCTGATGACGCACCGCGAATGCTTGGACCGCGTGGCCGACGAGTTGACGGAACTGGAGACCATGACCGGCGACCGCCTTCGGGAGATCATCGCCGAGTACGTTGAGATCCCTGCCAAGCTTGCGGCGGTGTGAGAGGTCGTGGCTGGTGTAATTCGTGCTTGAGCCCTAACCCACGGCTCCATAATGCCCTAAAACCTTGCAGAGGTGCAAGGGCCCTTGTGTTTTTGGAGCTTTGAACCAACATTTGAAGCCTGTTCCAGGTCAACGTTTCTGCTTCGGACCCAGTCTCTGTACAGCCCACAACGGGGTCACTGGTGCTGAAGCATGTCGAAGCATGTCGAAGCCGTGTTTCGAATTTTCGGCGGAGGGTCCACCGACTTCAGCTGGCTCCCAGCACTTGAGGGCTCAGGGTTCGCCGAGCCCGTGATTATCCAAGGTGCCTACGATAGTTCCAAGATGCCCGGAAGGCGGTTGGCCACCCTGCCATTGCATGTTTCGAGGCGCTTGCCTCTCCCCGCCACAGCCGCCAGAAGCTGCGGCCCAGAAGTCCTGCAGAAAATGGCTCTCTTGCTTAGAGAGATTCCACGGATTCCCGATTCGAACCTCCTCTGTATAGCCATTATAAAGCCCAAACCGTGCCGCGACCTTTCTTTCTGGTGTGCCAGATAGCAAGTCGCCCTGCACTGGCAGGACTCGGCGGAAGACCGCGCAGGCCAGAGGGAAAGCTATTTCAAGGATTGGGATATTGGGATCAAAATATGTCAAGTTGAGTCGCAAACCCCAAAGTCTGATCTCTTGGCCGCCTCGAACATCCTAAGGCCCAGACACTGCTGGGCCTTGAGTCGCACTCGGGTGATGGCGAGGCGCTGGAGTTGCACACCTCAGTTTTCCCAGTATGCTTGTCTTTTGAGTCTGCCATTCGGTGGTCTTAGAATGTTGATGGATTTATGCGGTCTGGTGGTGGCAGAAGAGCATTCGCAAGCTGCGCAATGCAGTCCTTAGACGGGAGGCAGGGGATATGACTGGCAGGACATTTTGTGTTGTTGTGGTGCCGGTGATGTCCTGTATTTTGCAGGCGACCAGTCATGGAGACTTCTCAGCAGAAGGTTTCGAACAAATGGCGACTCAGATGTCACAGATTTGCGTAAGAAGTAGTTGTATGCAGCACTCAGTCATTCTCAAGACGGTCGCGTTTGCCTGCGCCTGAAAAAGCCCAAGCGCTGAACCGAACTCTGTGAATCGGATGAATCAACTGGCCTAGTCCCGGCTGAAGCAGCGCCTCCGGTATTCTTCGACGCGGCGCCTGTCGCCGACAAGTCAGCAGCTCTCCAGTGAAGCTGTAGCCCCTCGGGTGCATGGCAGCAGGTGTCCAGTGTCTACCTGGTTTGCTAGAGCAGCTTGAAAGATCACATCGTAGTTACAGGAATTGCATGGTCTTCAGCACAGGGAAAGTACAGCATAAGACATGTGGCAGAGCACTCTGTCTGAAAGAAGCAACCTCTTCAGATGTTCCAGCCAAGGCAGAAAACATCATAACATTAATTTAGCAGACGAGGGCCCGAGTTCAGACTGGCATTGAGAAGATGGCCCGGCGATCTAGCACTCAATAGCCGCTATTGTAGGAGGAACTAGTGTGGCTGCCTCTGCTGACACTTGCATCTCAGGCTGTATCAACGACGATTTGGTTTCTTCACGATATTGACCCTATCCAGGCGCAATACGAGTGCAAGTGTCTGGACCGCATGAAAGCAGGCCCATCCATTCGGACCGTGAACCGGCTCTTTCTGCACACCCAATGACATTGAAGACTGTTGCATTTGACGGCTGTGCAGCCATCACACCTCAGGTTCACTCTTTACGTTGAGTGGCTGAGCCCCGCCGCTGCTCCCCGACTGAAACAGGGCAGCCTGAGCACATCTCTCTGAGGAAGCATGTGGGCAAGCCAACTCAGCGTTGACTTTGCAGAGGTTGGGCTGGCTGCTGGAACGCGGATTTCTAAGGAGGACATGGGGTGTGTGAGCCCCGGATTGCTGTCTTGAGCCGTCGGAACATTGTGGAGATACTGTTGAGCATGTTCAGAGTCAGAGTGGTGCCGAGCATGATTGCGCTGGTCCGCCGGTGTCACATTGCTGTTCTCATCATACGATGATTAGTACGGTGGTGGTGGTGGTGGTGGTGGTGGTGGTGGTGGTGGTCGCCGTTGCCGCCGTTGCCGCCGCCGTTGCCGCCGCCGTTGCCGCCGCCGTTGCCGCCGCCGTTGCCGCTGTCGTTGCCGCCGCCGTTGCCGCCGCCGTTGCCGCTGTCGTTGCCGCCGTCGTTGCCGCCGCCGTGGTTGCCGCCGTCGTCGGCGTTGCCGCCGGTGCCGCCGTTGCCGTCACCGTTGCCGTGGCGGTTAACGTTGCGGTTGCTGTTGCTGATGCTGTTGCTGTTGCTGGTGCTGCTTCTGCTCTATTCGTAGGTGTTGCTCATCTGTGTTCTCCATACTGTGGATTTGCGGATTTCGCTGTAGTTCAGTAGAGTAGTCTGTTGATGGTAGGGGCGTCCTGGTATTCGGCGCTTGGATCATCACTGGAACCGTTCAGTCGTGTTGGGGCCCCTTCGACAGGCATTGCGAAGGTGTTTGTGTTTGTTCGCGTTTGGGAGCGTTCGCCCAGTCAGTTGTAGAATGCACGATGGTGATTATGACTATGGAAAAGGACCTCCGACAGGTATTGTGATTGTTGTGGTTATCCTGGTTGTTTGGCGTGGCTGCGCCAGTTGCCACCCACGATTGCCCACATACCTTCAACTGAGTTCTAAAAGTTGCTGGGCCCTTAACCCCAGCAAATGTACTCATGCCACGTTACAAGCCTTCTGTTGCCATCGTCATCATTCATCGTCGTATTCTAGCCGTGAAATGCTTTGCTGGTCTTGTTTCTTAGCCGGTGCCGGTTCGCGAACTCATGCGGGCGTTGTTGTTGACGATCCGCCTGATGCGGGGGTGGGGAAGCTCACCTCATCGGCTCGTGCCGCGAATGTTGATGATGCGTGTTCAGCGAACAGTCATCGTCGGCACCGTCGGTGTCGGCCTCGTCGGTGTCGGCGTCGTCGGCGTCGTCGGGCGGCGTCGATTTTCGTCATCGTAGTGACGTAGTGGTCATGGTTGTGTGGTGGTGGTCGTGCTTTGTGCTGTGTGTGTGTGTGTGTGTGTGTGTGTCTCTGTCTGTCTCTGTGTGTGTGTGTGCGCGCGTGCGCGTGCGCGCGCGCGTGTGTTTTTGTGTGTCGTGTTGGGGTGGTTGCAGTGGCTGTGGCTGCGCTCATGCCCATGACAGGTTCTGCTGCTGTTGCTGTTTCTGCTGCTGAGGCCACAAAGCGCCAGAAATTGACGTTCGCAACAAGGCAAGCATGGGAAGTTCTCTTTACCAGGAGAGGCGATGGTGTTGCCTGTTCAGGATGGGTGGCGTTCGGGCCCAGAGTTTGTTTGTCAGCGATCCACATATTTGTTAGTTAGACGGGGTGCAGAAACGGGCACCTCAATCTTCTCATATCGCCAGGTGGAGCTTGTGGTGGAGGACCCGCATCACATCGCAACATGTGGTTTTGGGAGAGAGGTTGCCTTCGCCATGCCAGGAGGGCCCGATCGCCATAGTGGCCGATTCCAAAACTGGCAGGCGGTCTGGGGCCTTTGGGGGGCCTTTGGGGGGCCTTTGGGGGGCCTTTGGAGCCTTTGGGGTTCAGGGTAGGTGCCCCGCAGTGTGCCAGCAGAGCTTTTTTTTGGGGATTGGGCCTTGCTTCTTTTTGGCTTTGGAATGGTCATGTATCGCGAACTTCACAATTTGTCTGTGTCTTGCCATTCCCAGCAGCCCCCAAAAACTTAGAGGTAAAACAGCGGCCTATCCAGAGTCGGCTTTTCATGCTTCCCCAAACTGTGTGTCAGGATCGTGATGAGCCTTCGCTACCATGCCAAGCTTCAGCTACGGTTGAAGCTGCGGACTCTCGGCTCTTTTAATCTGCAAGAAGACAGTAAGGCTTTCAGGAACGGCCCTCAGAAAAAAAAGAGAGGGAGCGATAGAGAGAGACAGAGAGAGAGAGAGAGAGAGAGAGAAAAAGATATCCCGAGGGGCCCTCAAAGACGGCCAATGTGTCGAGGGCCTTGCTTTCACCAAGAGACAGCCGCGCCCGACGGGCCAGCGTGGCCGGGGCCTTCCCTCACGGGGGGTCTCTTCGCTGCTCAGAAGAAGAAGATGTCCCGACAGTTTTTGAATTGGGGAAGGGGAGGTTCTGGCTTCGGGTGTACCCAGCAGCTCAAACGCCCGAAAGGACCCTGCCCTGTAAGTTCCAAGGTGGACTTCGTCGAAGATTCAATTTCAGGCATACTTCTTATCCGCCCTTAAATCTTGTTTTGATCAAAAATGCAGACAGCCAAATACCCTTGAAGTAGCAAGAAACGCTGAACCGCTGACTACCCTAAAGGAGCTTCCCCTTCGACTGCCAGAGTCTTCCCATCGACTTCACGATGCCGGCCGAGAAGGTCGGGCCCCCACCCCCCCCCCCCCAAGCCTCGTTTTGTTCGGGCTCTCTTTTTTGGGTTTAGGATCCTTAAAGGATCCTTTGTTCGCGACCCATTCATAACAAGGTTCACCGGGTGGGATTCACGTTTTACGGTCGACTGGCGCTTATGGTGTTTACGGCGGTTCCTGAACCCCTTGAACCCACGGTCTTGTTCTTGAGGCTACCGGGGGGTGTGTCTTTGGATTCGGGGTGTGCCGGGTCCTGTTGGGATGTGATAAGGTAGGGTGGTGTGGCGTTAGATTTCAGGGTCTTTGGTCTTCCGTCGCCCCACCCAAGAACACAAAGCAATTTAAATCTCCCCTGCGGCCCTGCTCCCTGATAAACGCCCAGGACATGAATCGTGCCTTTGTTTGTCGCTCTGTAGAGCTGCAGCCTCTGGCCAGACAGCTGGATGAGTGGTTCGTTCAGGCCAGCTGTGCAGGTGTGCACATATTTGGTAAGCCTCATGTGTGTAGGAAACCTAAGATGGAATGTGCAGGAAATGGAGGGCGTGAGGGAAGAAAGATGGAATCGAAGCAAGCCAAGCCGTTCTGTGCAAGTTCGAGCATGTTCGCATCAACATACAATGCCATTGCCTAGAATAGCATTGGTGAGAAATTGGGAGGGGCATCTACTGCGACCATCAAAAGATGTCGATCGATTTCTAGTGGGCTTGAGCTCTAGTCTAGGTGAAGCAGCTTGTGCATCCTATTGCTTCTTTTCAACGATTTCATGCTCTCAGGAAATCTCTGGAGTGGGTCATCTGTGTAAGACGCAAGGAGAACAACCAGCTTAGCTCAGAATCTAACAAGCTCACACCGAGGGTGGGAACACAAAACAAGCGCCCGCGAGGAAAACAACACAATTCACCTAGTGCAAAACTCTACACATGTCGCACCGCATGACAACGTCCGTCAGTATTCTCACCTTGTGAAGGGGACGTGGACCTCTTGCGACTTCTATGAGGGGATGAGCGCTGCCAACATGTACATCGAGGCGCTTTGATGGCAGCTTCTAAGAAGCTTCAGTGCGTTGGTCCACCGCCCATGGAAGCCTCACGGCATTCTGAGTGATTTGAGTGATTTGACACTTGCCCCAAGGTCAAAAGGAGGTCGAAGTACTACGTGGTTTCTGTGCTCGGCGTGATGCTGGGAATCTCCAGTCTCGTCTTTACAGCGTGTTCCTCGGAGCTCCTTTGTGTGGCTTAGGAATCGGATCGGACCGTTCAAAGGGCCTGGAAGACTTGGGCACAAACCCTACAGAAGAGAACACCAGGTCTTTGCCATCGAGGTCAACTCCTCTGGTGCCGGATTCGACGATCAAGGCAGCGGGTACGGCAGCTGCAGTAGCCCACAGAAGCCCTGGCTGCCCACAACCTCTGTGCATTTCAGTGGCCTCAAGGACTCTAGGGAAGCCTTGCCCAGTGAAGGCAAGATTCTGATCTCGCTCCTCATGACCCTCTTGGCCTTCAAGTTGCTGACTGCATCAGGCAGTGGCAGGTTTTGAGAGGTTCATGTTACAGAACCCCCCCCTTCCCCCAACCCCGTCCGGCACCCCACGCAGCCCGGTCCGGGCTGTGGACTCTGCAGATGCGATTAACATCGAAGAACTAACAACTAATTTCATAAACGGTGAGGAGTCCGAACAGCTGCCGGTGTCCCCAGGCAAGATTCCCAAGGTGGCCAAGGCCACCGTCTTCGACCGCTACGCTGCCTGGCCAAGAGGGATGTAAGGGGTTGTAGGGCTCTTTCGGTTCTTGGGAAAGTTTCGCAAAACCTTTATCCAGTGAGATTCGAAGCAGCCTCTTCTGATTGAGGTGCTTGCGACTGAAGCCTGCTTCTTTGCAACGGTTTTCGCCTGTACCGCGATGCGCATCGTGATCTCGGACCCGGGCACCTCCTCCAAGAGCTAATTTCTGCGCAAAGGAGAATTCATTGTTCAATTCGTGTTCTTGCAGGTTTCCAGCTTGAAAGCCTTGTGCACAGAAGTGGCGTTCAGCTCTAGCTTCCCTTGGCTTCAGGCATGGCACCTCTGACGATGGAGCTGCGTGCGACCTGCTTTTCGGTGCTGCTCTGCGCCCTGACGTGAAGCTGAGATGTCCAGCGAGAAAGAACTGTTGCTGGGGGGAGCGCCTATTATACAGCGCCTGTGCATCCTTGGTTGCCCCAGCAACCTCTCCTCGTACTGTTATCATTGTCGTTGTTAGTCGTGTTGGTATTGTTGGAGCAGTACAGCCTTCTGTTCCGTTGTTCTAGTTGTTCTTGTTACTGTTGTTTTTCTTGTTGTGCTGTTGTTGTTCTTGTTATTTGTTGCTGTTGCTGTTGCTGTTGCTGTTGCTGTTGTTAGGATTCTTATTCTTGCTATTATATCCTTATGACTCGGCACCTCCCATTTGCCGAGGCATCTGGTTGCTCTTCAACGTGTCCATGTACTTCCGGGTGAGCCGGTGTGTTGCAGCTGTGGCTCATTGCACTTGCTCCAGATGGTTGACGCTGTTTTTGCACGAGAGCGCTGCCGACCCTTCCATTCAAATGACCTGCGAAATTCACCTTTGACAGTTGAACAAAAACTCTTGTAGAGCCCCCGTTGTACCCCTTGCCATCCACCTGAAGCATCCGCAAGCGCCAGATTCGTCTCTCAAACGCCGCGAACATGAAAGAGGTCGAGGAGCGACAAGGCCCTGTGCGAGCGGGTGTAGTTCAGGGTCGGCAAACCGCTGCAGGATCTTGTTCCAGGTTTCTGGACGCTGTTTTCCCGCGACTTTCATGTTGTGTTCGTTGCATATTTGCCGTGTAGCAAAGCAATGCTAAGGGCAGCTGTGACCCTGTTGCGTGAACACCACAAAAAGTCACTTGCAAACTCCTTTTCTGCAGCTCCTGTGTCGATGTGCAGGCCGCCGTGGTTCTGTGCATGGACCAGGCGCAGGGGATAATGCTGGATAATCTGAAACCTATGCCATGCGATGACTGCTGGGGTTGTCCCACTATCTTCTGCAAACAAGTGGAGCCAGCCCGGTGTGAAAAGTGCCCTGTTTCCGACGTGTCGCGCCTCTAGAGCCCCCAGGCTTTGACGAGCAAGCCATTGCGATGACACAGCACCTTCGGCTGGCAGTGGCTTTTGGACGTTTGGAAGGTCTCGATCCTGCCGGAGCTTGGAGGGTGCAGCAATGTTCTGGGAGCCTCAGTGACCCCTCCATGACAATGAGTCTTAATGTGCCTTAAGTCAGGCGCTTTGCAGAAAGCAGGATCGATCAACAGACCCACTTGTCAAGCCGATGCTGAGCGCTGGCCCAGGCAGCCCCGCATGCCAACCTTTCACATCGACCCACAGGTGCGAACTCATTGTTTGCACTGGGATGCTTTTCCAGCTCTTCAGGTCGTGCAAGTGAGCTGTAATTGTCTTCATTGTCGTCGCATCATTGAGTACTCGTAAGAAGGTTAGCAGCACTGCATCGCAAATCCTTTTCTGTCTGAGGCAGTGCTTCTCCAGATTTCGATCCAGCACATCTTTGGAATCAATCCGGCAACGGCCAACTTTGTTTGCGTGTTCGAGGTTGCTCAGCTCATTAGCATGTCCCTTTGTTTGATCCTGGCCATAGTTTCTGAGACTTTGTTCTTTGACTACCAGTGGAAGCAAACCTGTCATGAGGCTCATGCATTTTGTTGTCAATTTGCGTTGCATTTCGTTTCTGATTACGCCCATGTAGCAGGGCCTGCGTTTGTGACACAAGACACTCCAGTCATCAGCAAGTGCATGGCATGATGCGACCAGGCCTAGAGCTCAGTGCGCTTGAACCCGTTGCAACCAACCAGACCTCCCAGTCCTCCCAGTCCTCCCAGTCCTCCCAGTCCTCCCAGTCCTCCCAGTCCTCCCAGTCCTCCCAGTCCTCCCAGTCCTCCCAGTCCTCCCAGTCCCCCCAGCCCTCCCAGTCCTCCCCGTCCTCCCAGTCCTCCCAGTCCTCCCAGTCCCTGGGGCCATTTTACTATCAATTGTTCTCCATCTCCGACGGCGCTCTGCGAAAGCCAAAGGTCCACATGGCCTGGTTGGACGACCGTGCCAAGGGCTGCCGGAGTGGCACAGCCCTCGATGCCAAGAGGCATCCGGAGGTGAACAGATTTCATAGTATTTTCATAGTCGTCACCTACGCCCTGCGGAGACGACGCGCAGGTGCAAAGAGTTCGGTCAACCGGCACTGATGATCCAGAATGCACAGAGCCTTTCGTCAGCAGAGACCTGCTGATCCAGATGCAGTCTCATGTAATGATGTAGCAATCGTTTGCTTCTTGGATTGTTTGTGTCTGTGCCGCTCGCTAAGGTGAGAACGTCACGTTCTTGTCTGGACGCGTGGTTGATGAGTCGACCGGCCGCTCGGGAGCAACAGAACGCTCAAAAGAAAAATGTTCGAAACACCAGTGAGGTTTTAGATGCTTCGAAGGGATGTGTGGGGCGAGAGCTCTGCTCAGGACACGTCGCCTGCAGCCTCAAGATCAAAGCCCAGGTGCTCCTGATGTTGAACCTGGCGCTGCTTGGCCTCCCATAGAGACCCTAAACCCTGAACATCCCCGAAACCCTGAGATCACCTCAAATCCCCGAAGCCCTATAGTCAAGGGTACGTCGGGAGTGCCTTCGAGTGCCAGGGGCTTCGTGGTTCAGTATGGACCAACATGCCACCGCTTCTCTCAGGAACTTCCCCTGGGATGAACAGTCGCTGTATGCAGAAGCTCGGCTACATTCTGCACAACTTGCCAAGATTGGCGAAGAGAACTGACCTGCTGCTGCATGAGGTCTTGACGCTCCCGACCCACGCGGATCGTGGGCGTCACTTTGTGGCCTGACTCGTAATAAGTCGGTTGAGGATGAAGTCTGCGAGAACGGCTGATGATCGATCCTTTGTTGCTGTCCTTATCTCCGTTCAAAACCAGCCGAGGTACTGACCGACCTGCAGTGCAAAGAGGAAAAGACTGCCAAGGTCCTGCATGCCTGGCAACGTGAAGGGGTCTTTGGCTTGAAGAAGCCTCGATATTGGAAACGGTCAAATAGTTGACTCGCTACCTTGTTTGTGTGGAGCCCCACATGCAGTGCTCCCTGTGAGAAAAAGCCTTCCTTTTTTGAGCTCCTTAGCAGGGAGCACAGATGCAGCTCCTTTTTTCCTGCCAGACGGGCGAGTGGGCGGAAGTGGGCGTCTTTGGTGCTGCCTATCAGGTCACAGGCCGGAGGGCCTAAAGGGCCGTCTCAGGAATTTTCGGGGGCAGATCCGACCTGTGGGTTCAACATAGTCCAACTCTGCTGCATTTTGTTGTTTTTGCAACGAGTGAAGTTCCGAAGGCATTTCGAAGGTGGTCGTCGGCCTCGAGCTAAAGCGGTGACCTGGTCTTGTCACAGGAGAAGCCCATGTGCTTGAATTGATCCCTCAACCTGACTACCCTTTCAGGCCAATCTGTGTCGTTGTTAGTCATGGCACGAGCACAGCAGTCACAGCATGATGGATTATGATGGGATCCACTGCAAGGTTCTCTCGCTACTACGTGACGAGCCTCTGCTCCATGTGCCTTTGGTCCACCTTTGTCCTCTTCGTCTACGCGCTGGAGGTGCATCTCGGCAGCAACATCCTGACCACCCGGTCTCGATGCTGCACCTGCTGGTTGTCGAAAACATGAAAAACCGACGAGGAATGACCTTTCAGAGTCTTTCAAGTTGGTGTTCCAGGAATGACTTCAAGGAGCGCGGCAAGGTGATGGTCGGGGTGCTTGTCGTGCAGAACGTCGCAAAGGCCGACCGTTTTCGGATGTGAGGTTCAATGTAGCGTTGCGATGCCGAGCTTGTTTGAGGGCGCCATTCCTACTTTTCGTGCACATTGACATGTTCAGAGGCTTACACAAACACTCCCCTTGCCTCAGGTCGCGGTGTCCAGCAAGATGCCCCGTGTGGTGTGCATCACAGCCTACGACACGGTGGCTCTGAACAGTCGGAAGCCCATAAGCAGCTGGATTTTTGTGCATCTCCAGTTCAGCGGAACGAGCTGAGGTCTGGCACTCCTCTTCTGCATTGGCCTTTTCACAGCATTCCTGGACCCTTGGCTCTGCGATTCGATGTACTATGGTATGACATTTCATAACCAAATCCGTGCGCTTCCATGCAGCCCTTCTCAGGACTTTCTTGGTCAGTTGGAGCTGCCATGGCTCAACTTCGAGGTCGCGCAGCCTACGCGAAGCTTCAGTGATTCGACTTCTCAGCTGCAGGTGCTAACAATGATTGACAAGGGCGCCGGCATCCTGTTCTGCCTGATATGGCTGGTGCGGAACGCCTATGCCCTGAGCTCAGTAGGGACCGGCCACGGGAGGCATCACATGAGTCCTCAGCAGGTTCGAAGGACACAAAGCACGGCCGAGCGCAGCCGAGGTCATCTGGCAGGTTCGTAAATGTGCCTCCAAGGCGATGGGAGTGGCAACATTCCATGGAAGTGATGGTCAGTGATGGTCAGTGATGGTGGTAAAATGTAGTCGAAGTGGTCGGGAATGTGGCCAGGCTGGGTGCTTTGGCATCGGGCGGCTACCACGCAGCCTGTCAGGTCGTGGGGGGTCAACTCAATCTAGAAGCCATGAGCCGCATGGATGCTGTGGATGCTCTGTTTGTCAGGCCTTACACAAGAAGCGGGCCCTGAGCCAGATTTGAAGGGCCAGCTGGACATTCTGAACAGGCCTGATTTGTGGAGGTGTGCTCTTTTGCGTACGCACGCGGGCACCGGCAGGTCGATGGATCCCTTTGCCTTGAAGCCTCTGACTGCCGTCCGCAAGACCAGCAGGCACTCCGAGCCGTCCTTTTTTGGTTAAACAGACAGACGTGCTGCACGCAAGAGGATGTAAGACTTTCGTTGTAGAGGTCGTCTGACCTGATGGGTGCTGTGGTGGCTGTGAAAATCGGGGCTGCCTGGCTGTACATTTGCGCTCCGGTTGTCAATCTGAAACACAATACGAAACACCATGTGAAGCACCATGTGACAGCATCAATTCTAATTGTTTCTCATGGCAGAGAACTCGCCTCTCCGGCCTAGGTGAAATTCTGGCTTGTGTCAGACATTGACGTCGCAGCCGCCAGTTTCCTGGCCAAGTTCCATGTGATCATAGAGTGGGTCGATGAGGCAGAGCAGGGCAGAGCAAAGCCTCCAGCCCAAACCAGCACCCTAACAACCCTGCGATGCCGTACCCAGCGCCTTCAAAGACCCCAGACCAATCTACAACCAATCGAAGATCCCCTGGCATCCCGGGAGGCGGCAGTGGGCGTGCCGGAAGCCACGCGCGTGTCCTACAAGGAAGGGTCCGGCAACGTACTGGAAACAGGAGTGTTTAAGACATAGAAATGCACATACAAAATAAATACATATACACATATTTTCTCTATAAAAAGCTACCGCAAGCCAGTTTTGTCCGGCAACTCTAGGAACGTTGTCCCCTGCAAATAAGCAGCGGCTTGTATGCATGCATGTATGCATGTATGCATGTATGCATGTATGCATGTATGCATGTATGCATGTATGCATGTATGCATGTATGCATGTATGCATGTATGCATGTATGCATGTATGCATGTATGCATGTCTGTGTGTCAGCATGCATGTTTTTGGAATCTTCAACAGCTAGTTTTGGGGCAAGTTTTGAAGCTACGGACTCAATCAGGAATGTTCAGCAGCACTTGGAACTGTTGCTGCTTCCTTCAATGCTGCGAACTCGCCCTGAATCCGCCTCCGAAAGCCTCGCGTTTTGCCAGGAGCTTGAGAAAGCCGGACCCGGCCACATCGTCCCAAGCTAAGCAGAAAGTCGATTTTGGGATAGAATTCTCAGAAGTTCTCCGTGCTGAGAAGCCCTGAAGACTCTTGACCCTATACCCTGCCTTTCTGTGTTGCAGAGCTGCGGGCACCACGAGGTGGTACCGACACTGGCCATTCGCAACGCCATCACGGTCACTTTGGAGGAGTACTCAGACGTCATTGCAGCTGGGCTCGTTTGGCCGTGAGCGAGGGTTTAGGGCCTAAGGGCATCGATCCTCCGAGGATAGTAAAGAAGCGTCGACCGTGCAGCTCCTTTGCAGCACAGGTTCTAGACCAGAAGACGGGTCGTGTTACTTGCCGCCTGCACATCAACGCCATTCTCCACAACGAAGCTCGGATGCACAGATGACGTTTGGCACATGGCAACTCGGCTTTGTTGCTGAGGACTACTGCTTGGACAGCTTTCCCTTCGATTGCTTCTTGGTCTTGAGGTGAGAATTTCAGATAGCGCCGTTAGCGGGGTGGGGGGGGCTCCTCCTTCCTGAGTATGACGGGGGGGGCTCGTAATCCAGGATAATGAGGGGGGGGGGGGTGGTCCAGGATTATGAGGGGCAACTACACGAACTACACTAACTACACTAACTACACTACCTACACGAACTACACTAACTACACTAGCTACACTAGCTACACTGACTACACTGACTACACTAACTGCTAACTACTAACTACTGACTACTAACTAATAACCACTAACCACTAACCACTAACTACTAACTACTAACTACTAACTACTAACTACTTTCTACTAACTACTAACTACTAACTACTAACTACTAACTACTAACTACTAACTACTAACTACTAACTACTAACTACTAACTACTAACTACGAACTACTAACTACTAACTAACTACTAACTACTAACTACTAACTACTACCTACGACCTACGACCTACGACCTACGACCTACGACCTACGACCTACGACCTACGACCTACGACCTACGACCTACGACCTACGACCTACGACCTACTACTACTACTACTACTACTACTACTACTACTACTACTACTACTACTACTACTACTACTACTACTACTACTACTACTACTACTACTACTACCTACTACCTACTACCTACTACCTACTACCTACTGCCTACTGCCTACTGCCTACTGCCTACTGCCTACTGCCTACTGCTTACTGCCTACTGCCTACTGCCTACTGCCTACTGTCTACTGCCTACTGCCTACTGCCTACTGCCTACTGCCTACTACCCACTACCCACTACCTACTACCTACTACCTGCTACCTGCTACCTACTACCTACTACCTACTACCTACTACCTGCTACCTACTACCTACTACCTTCTTCCTCCTACCCACACCTACTCCTACTACTACTTACTACTTACTACCTACTACCCACTACCGACTACCTACTACCTACTACCTACTACCTACTACCCACTACCCACTACCCACTACCCACTACTGACTACCGACTACGCACTACCTATTACCTACTACCTAGTACCTACTACCTACTACCTACTACCTACTACCTGCTACTGCTACTGCTACTGCTACTGCTACTGCTACTGCTACTGCTACTGCTACTGCTGCTGCTGCTACTACTACTACTACTACTACTGCTACTACTCCTACTGCTTCTGCTTCTGCTACTGCTACTGCTACTACTGCTACTACTGCTGCTGCTACTACCAAGCTCTTGTCGCGTATTTGACGCTATAATGTTTTGGCTCACTTGACCTGCTTAAAACCTAGTTTTTCGCTTAACGAACAAAGTCTCCATGGTTTTTTTCCAGTCTGGATTTGCATATGGCCTATGTGTTCGCGTACTTTCACGTTGTCTTGGGGAGGTAGGTAGGAGTAGGTCGTAGGTAGTAAGTAGTAGGTAGTAGGTAGTAAGTAGGTAGTAGGTAGTAGGTAGTAGGTAGCAGGTGGGAGGTGGTGGGTGGTGGGTGGTAGGTGGTAGGTGGTAGGTGGTAGGTGGAGGCGGTAGGTGGTAGGTGGTAGGTGGCAGGTGGTAGGTGGTAGGTGGTAGGTGGTAGGGAGTAGGGAGTAGGAAGTAGGTAGTAGGAAGTAGGTAGTAGGTAGTAGGTAGTAAGTAGTAGGTAGTAGGTAGTAGGTAGAAGGTAGTAGGGAGTAGGGAGTCGGTGGTAGGTAGTTGGTCGTGGGTAGTCGTGGTAGTAGTAGTGGTCGTGGTCGTGGTCGTGGTAGTGGTAGTAGTGGTAATGGTAGTGGTAGCGGTAGTGGTAGTAGTGGTAGTCGTAGTCGTTGTAGTCGTAGCAGTAGCAGTAGCAGTAGCAGTAGCAGTAGCAGTAGCAGTAGCAGTAGCAGTAGCAGTAGCAGTAGCAGTAGCAGTAGCAGTAGCAGTAGCAGTAGCAGTAGCAGTAGCAGTAGCAGTAGGAGTAGGAGTAGGAGTAGGAGTAGTAGTAGTAGTAGTAGTAGTAGTAGTAGTAGTAGTAGTAGTAGTAGTAGTAGTAGTAGTAGTAGTAGTAGTAGTAGTAGTGTAGTAGTAGTAGTAGTAGTAGTAGTAGTAGTAGTAGTAGTAGTAGTAGTAGTAGTAGTAGTAGTAGTAGTAGTAGTAGTAGTAGTAGTAGTAGTAGTAGTAGTAGTAGTAGTAGTAGTAGTAGAGTAGTAGAGTAGTAGAGTAGTAGAGTTGTAGTAGTAGTAGTAGTAGTAGTAGTAGTAGTAGTAGTAGTAGTAGTAGTAGTAGTAGTAGTAGTAGTAGTAGTAGTAGTAGTAGTAGTAGCAGTAGTAGTAGCAGTAGTAGTAGGTAGTAGGTAGTAGGTAGTAGGTAGTAGGTAGTAGGTAGTAGGTAGTAGGTAGTAGGTAGTAGGTAGTAGGTAGTAGGTAGTAGGTTGTAGGTAGTAGGTAGTCGGTAGTAGGTAGTCGGTTGTAGGCAGGCGGTAGTAGGTAGTAGGTAGTAGGTAGTAGGTAGTAGGTAGTCGGCAGTCGGCAGTCGGCAGTAGGCAGTAGGCAGTAGGCAGTAGGCAGTAGGCAGTAGGCAGTAGGCAGTAGGTAGTAGGTAGTAGGTAGTAGGTGGCAGGTGGCAGGTGGCAGGTGGCAGGTGGTAGGTGGTAGGTGGTAGGTGGTAGGTGGTAGGTGGTAGGTGGTAGGTGGTAGGTGGTAGGCGGTAGGCGGTAGGTGGTAGGTGGTAGGTGGAAGGTGGTAGTGGGAGTGGTAGTGGTGGTAGTAGTAGTAGTAGTAGTAGTAGTAGTAGTAGTAGTAGTAGTAGTAGTAGTAGTAGTAGTAGTAGTAGTAGTAGTAGTAGAAGTAGAAGTAGTAGTAGTAGTACGCGCTCGTTCCGTATTTGACGCTACCGTCCGTGTGCACGTGAAGGGCTGTTCGCATCGGTGTTGACAGTGTTTTCGTATCTTGGCGCGCGTGTGTGTGTGTGTGTGTTGCATTTTGGCGCCTCCGTGGCTGTTTTCCAGGCTCTTGTGTGTTTTTTTTCGCCACGCCGCAGCGACAGCATAATGTCGATTGTGTGGCGCAGCAGGGCATCGTGAAGAGACATGTGCTTCATACGCACATTGATCCACAACCTGAAGCAGCAGCTTGGCAAGCAAAGCAAAACACAAGCTGAGCGGAAGCTACGCCGGGTGCGCAAAATCGGTGCATACAGGAAGGCTGCGAGAGACGCGTGCAGTGGAAGAAAGCGTGGCCCTGCCAGTTGCTGTGGCGAAGAATTTAGGAATTTTACACCCTGAACCCGAAACTCAAAACCCCAGAAGGAAAGTATAAAAGTATGCCGTTTGGTGTTGCAGAGCTACAAAGGTTACTGTGTTTTGTCTGTCCTAAACTGAACAGAAAGTGCTGCAGTAGTGAAGAAAAACATAGATGGGTAGTGGTAGTAGTAGTAGTAGTAGTAGTAGTAGTAGTAGTAGTAGTAGTAGTAGTAGTAGTAGTAGTAGTAGTAGTAGTAGTAGTAGTAGTAGTAGTAGTAGTAGTAGTAGTAGTAGTCGTCGTTGTCGTCGTCGTTGTCGTCGTGGTGGTGGTGGTGGTAGTAGAAGTAGTACTAGTACTTTTAGTACTAGTACTACTAGTACTAGTACTAGAACTACTAGTATTCGTACTACTAGTGTGCAAATTCTCGAGACCGTGAGGGTATTCACCAGAAACGAGCTCCCCCCAAGTTGCCATTTAGATTCTAGTTCTTATGATTTTCGAATAATGAATTGAAAACCAAATCAAGAAACAAGGGGGGTGGAATTTAGACTAGTTCTCTACTTCTCTCTCATTCTGTACCTTTCGAATAATGCACACAAGACACAACAAGCCAAGCAATTGGGGGGGATGCCCCCCCCCCCCCAACACCCCCGCTTTTTGGTAAAGACTTTGTTGTCATATAGATTAAAATTCTCTGTTACTTCGCTACTCTTCTGATTTCGACTATAATGAATGGAAAACAAAACGAAGACACGAGGGGGGTGGAGTTTGCACTAGTTCTCTACTTTTCTTCTTCTTCTCTACTTTTCGAAGAATGGACACAAGAAACAAAAACAAGAAACCGGGGGCGTGGAATTTAGATTAGGTCTCTACTCTTCTGCTTTTCGAATAATGAACACAAGAAACAGAAACAAGAAAGAAGCGAGGGGAGGTGGAATTTAGAATCATTCTCTGCTTTTCTCTTCTTCTACGGGCTTCGAAGGACGAGAAGAAACGATGGGGGGTGGAATTCAGAAGGATTCTCGACTCTTCTCTTCTTCTACGGGCTTCGAAGGACAACAAGAAACTGGGGGGTTGAATTTCGACGAGTACGAGTACTAGTACTGGTACTACTAGTCAGCCCCGCAAACAATGGTGCCGGCACTCACAGCACCTCCCTTGCACAAGGTCAGCTCCTCAGGGTGGACATGCAGCTGGTGAACTGCGAAGGCGCTAGCCACAAGTAGGATGTTAACAAAAGATCCCTTTTTGTGGGTTCTGTGTATGAGGGAGTTCTATTCTATGATAAACGCTCAATACCTCCAAAAGCCCTGAGAGCCCTTTCACGCCCCTAGAAGTAGGCAGCAGTGGCGTAGGGCATTGGAGGGTTTCGGGTCGCCATCTTATTTTTTGGGCGGGGGTTTGGGAGTTTCGGGGTGTGCGTCGATGCAGAGGCTTCGAGCTGGCCCCATCATTCTGCGATGCTGTGGCCGGGTGCTCGGAGCTAGGGCCGTGTGGGTAGGGGACGGTTCAAGGGTTGAGGGTGGAGTCATTGAGGGTCCTGAAGGCGGGGCTTAGGGTACGAACAAGGCCCCGTCATTTAGCAGGCTAGAGGCTAGAGGATGTCGTACTCTCATCAAGCGTCCTGAAGACCTTGATCCACACAGCTGGAGCAGGACCAGTCGAAGCAGTTGGATGGCTGGAACTTGAAGGACCCTTTTGCTCATTTTTGCTTGGGTTCTTCTCAGGTGCTGGACTGGATGGAGTCCCACTCTTCTCGTCCCAACCCCCCCCACAAAAAGGACGCCGTGGTTGCACTGGTGCCTCACGATGACGTCGAGGTTCCGAAGCAGAAGGTCAAGGCCCTCATGGAAGCCGAAGTGAATCTCCGTATTCCGGGTGCGTTGTATGGCAGGCAATGTTGAATGAACCGTTCGAAGAGTTCATTCAGTTTTTCCATGCATGTTCCAGGCTTGATAACAACTCGCATTCCGCAAGCGTGCCTCCATCGAAAAGGTGTTTCTGCTCGCGGAGCGCCAATCAGGGTTCTACGTGAAGCAGGCAAATGAGATGGTCCAATTCATGAGCGGCTGTGGGAGCGCTCCACGGGAGCTGAGCCGATTGCTTCCGGGTTCAGCTAGGAAGAATGCTTGCAGGTTCTGAGCATCTACATGTTCTTATCGACATTGATGTTCTCATTCTTCGTCTTGCCGTCGCTTGGACTTTTTCAAGACACGCTTGCATAGGATAAGGCTGGAGGCGTTGTGGTGCAGAAAGGTCCTGTTTGTCGACCTGCTGCGCTTGTGACAACAGTCTAAGGTCAACAGATTTCACGAAGAGGCAGTGTCATTCAGCAGTCTCTAGTCCTTCGCACCACTTTAGGATCTGTAGGCTGTAGGCAATCGACACTGAGGGACAGCTCTGAGGGTACTAGGAATGGTCTTTGAGATTTCCGTGTGGCAGGCTGGTGGACATATTGAAGATTGTACTCACTCAGACCACATTCCGTTTTTCCGTGGAGCATCGTCTGCCCAAAGCGCCGAGCTCATGCGATTGCATCTGTGAGATCAGTGTCCGTGAGCAGGATTCGGCATGATTCGGCATTGGGAGGAACCTGTCCTAGGTGCAGCATTGGACTCCCTTCGACGTGTACTTGATCTCATGCCAGATACTGGCATGTCTCATTGCAGGGCTCCCAAACTCCTTGCACTTCCTTGCCATTGTGCGCGACCCAAAGCATAAACACCGGGTTCAGGTAGCCACCTTCATGGCTTGCTTCTACCTGAGCAAAGACACCGCCAGAGCATGCTTTCTCCAGGACATGACTGGGGTCGTAGCCAGGGTCCGCTTTCGCTGGTCACATGCAGCATTTCGGGGCCGATGAGTAGCGGCTTTCACACGTCTTGCTTCGCAGCTCGCTTGGAGCACGCCCTGACGTTGCTGACGTTGTCCCCCAAGCCCACTGTAGCCTCGTAGAGTCCATGCCGAAGCGGAGCTCAGGAGGTGGAACGAGCTCTGCTGGTGGGTTTGGCGTCGCTATGGGCCGCTTGGGCTTCGAGCCTTTGAGGTCAAAGGTTGAAGGCCAGAGGAGGTGCACCAGGAGTGATTAAGGTTCTTTCCAACTGTTCCAACCTGTTCGCTTGCGCATGTAAACCCAAAGGCTGCAAAACATCGTCAAAACATTCCGCGCATTCCACCCTGCGGCCAAGGTCCTTTGGAATCTTTGCTTCGTTCTGTATGCCAGCCATTGCAAAAAGCGGCTCGAGGGCAGATTCTGAGGGACTGAGGTGGCCGAGGGCTTTTGGGGGTGTAAGGCTTGTCCTCCCATGGCGTACCATATCCGCAAGACTTCTGAGAAGCAGAGGTCGGAGCTCTACACCGCCCAGACGTTGACACTTGGCTGCTGAAGTCCTAATATCATTGGTTGGGTATTTTGGGTGTAGATGTGGGTCAGGTAAGATCCACTGCCCAGGATGAGGACCGGGCTCCTCATGCCCCAGCGCTTCAGTTCAGGGCTGCTGCCGCGTTTCAGCACCCAGGCAAGCAAATCAGCGAATCGCTCAGCGAACCTCAGATTAAAAAGCAAGAATTCCCAAATCATCTAAAGTATGAGCAGCTGTTTCCGACTCTTTTCCAGAGGCTCCTTGTACATGGCCCTCCTGTCACTGCAATTGACGACTCTCCACCTGAGAGTCGTTCAGAGAGAGGCGGGAAAAACTCAAGCACTGTGAGTTAAAGGCCTGCCCTTTGTTCGGGATTGAAAGAGGCCTGAGCCTCTTCAGGACCTTGGCATCCTTCCAAATCCGAAAGCTCACGCTCGTAAATCTGAAGTTTTGCAGATCTCAGGCAGATCCCCGCGCGATCGGAACTCCTCATCGTCCCTCGAGGCGGGCCACAGCATCCGCTGCTGCGAGTAACTCCTGAGCTTCATGCTGGTTGTTCGTGGTGGCACTAAGGCCGAAGCGGGCCGACGAGTTTTTGAATCTCATTGTTAGTTGCTAACGGTGCCTATTCTTGGAGTACCCCCCAAAACCCTCACGAATGGCGGAGGTCCAAAGACTGGTTACCTTGGTTACCTCGAGCGATGTTTTCTTTTTCGCTGTTTGGTGCGCTCGCGTTACCCACTGTCAAGACATGTCAAGGCTTGTGGCTCTGCGAAAACGCGCGGGGTAGAAAGCATGAGAAGGCTAGTGTGGTACCAGCCCGAAACCCTAAGCCCTAAACCCTTTTGTTGGCAACTCGCAGGTGGCGGGCTTCGGCAGCCGCAGGGAGTCCGACCTGCCTCTGACACCGCAGTACTCACGAGGCGCCTCCTCCCCCCCTGCCCCCAAAGTTCCATCCCTCCTGGGTTTGCAGTTTAGAAATCAGGGGGGTCACAGTTAGCTACTACGGTGTTGGTGGCTAGGAAGAGGGTTCAAGCTTCGGGAGCGTTCAGGGGTTTTAGGGCTTCATGTCGGTTTGGGCCCAGTCCTTGGGCAGGTTCGGATCTCCGCGCCTTCACGAACCAGGGCAGTGTGAACACGGACACGCAGGCCTGGCTCTCAATAGGTTCAAGGGCTTTCCAGGGGGGGTTGAGACTTTACGGCTTAGGAGGCTCAGGACTGGCTTCCATGCGGATATAAGTTTCTATACCCTTAAAAGGGTTGTAAGTTGTAGTATAAGTTACAGGTTACCATAGTTATGAGAGTACTTCAAAGTATCCACGAGCCTCCAAGTAGGATCGGGAACGTTCTGTGCGTGTCAAAGATTGATGGAGGTTTCTTATTGCCCTGCTACTAGTACCGCATGAGGCTCATGCTCATGGCACGGCTCCATGGTAAACTTTTGAACGGCTAAACCCAAGGTGATCTCCATCGCTTTCCGAATTTGGCTGATCCGCAATGTGGACCTTGTCAAAGCTACCTTCGACTGCAAGTTCCGTGTCTTCCTCGAGACTTTGAGAAGAATGGACGCTTCCTGAACTGGTTCAGTTGTGTCTGGAGTAGCTGGATGCTGGGTTCGTCGCTCAAGGAATGGCTTGACGAAAATGCTGTTGGCCTGGAGAAGGGAAAGAAGGCGCTGTTGTGATCCGTGGCAATGCACCTCACAGCCTGGCCACACCTGTGACACGTGGATGAAGCAGTGTGCAGCACAGTAAAGCAACTCCACATGCCCAAGCACGTCTGTGTTGGCGATGTGTTTCCGACATTTGCAGTCTGCTGGTTAGTCAGTTAGTCCACGTTGAATTCAAGCTGGAGCGTGTGAGGCTAAAGAACTGAAGGTTCCCTCCCTGGCCATTACGTGCCCCGGCAATGACACAGGGCAGGTGAGAAAGTTAAAGGTCCTGGTTGAGCTGGGAGAGGAAGCTGGTTGCTAGTACCATCTAGTACCCTGAGCGAGCTTGGCTGTGCCCAGGAATGCAGTGCAAGCCGAGGTGATTGATAGGCGGGCGTATGGGGGCATGCACAGTGGAGTGTGAAGCGGGACTAGACATTGGCAGACAAACGCAAGAACAAATCCTGAAACCCACAGTTTCCGCCTCGGCAATTCCGGTCAAAACGCCCTTCAGAAAAAACCGGCATGGGCTGTACCATCACGCGCAAGTACCATCAAGCGAAATCAAGCCCTTTCCGGGGTCTCAACCCCTACAGTGCCAGGAGTTCAGCTCCTGAAGTCGTTAACCCGAAGACTGGCCACGTGGCAGCCGCGAGCCAGCAAATGAGAGGCTATGTGGAGCCAGGTGGGCGACCAGTATCCAGTGACGTCACTGCTCATGGCAAACCGTGCTCAGCGTCTTCTGGACAGCAGAAGCCGTGACAGGCATCCATAGCACAATGCCAGGTTTCGAGAGGATTTGGCAGGGTTTGGGGCAGGGCGTTGAAGACGTCGAGACTCTTGCAACAGCAGAGGTTCAGATGCTTTTTCGAGCGACGATGAGCCAGGGGCTGAGCATCTTGTTGGGGCCGGCTTTGGCTTCGATTTGGCTTCGTCTGTCTTAGGGATGTTTGCTCATAGGGCTTTGGGATGCTTTCGCGTTGATGATGTTCAAGCCCGACTCACCATCTCCAAAGTATCGGAAATGGTGCCATTGGATGAGGAATGGACCAGCAAGTGCGCCACTTCCCTTTTGACTGCCAATGGCTGGCAATCACTGTGTCACTGAAGGTGACCTGGCTAGAAGCACGACTTTTGTTGGCTTTGCCAGTTGCTACAGTCAAGAGGATGCAATGTGTTACAATGCCAATGCGCACTGCAGGAGGAGGGCTGCGCACGCAATCGCTCCTTCCTCTTCCAGTACTGCGAGGCTCCGATATCACATGGCGTCATGGTATGTCATTGTCCTGTCACCGTCATTGAGTCATTGGTGACACGTGTTGAGCCCTCAGGTGGACGACGGCCTCTCGCCACTCGGACTCCTTTCAGGGCCTCTCCTTGCTTACACGGCAGACCACCGCAATCCGTGCAATCCCCGGTGAAACATGAGATCTGCATCCTCTGAGGCTGGATGAGTGGTACGTATACCCGGATCCTGCTTTCAGCACGCTGACGAAGCACGATGCCCCAAGCATTCAAGACACGGCTGCTCGGATATATGGATCTCAGCCGCTTGTAGTCTTCGTACTGGTCGTGTGAGTTCTTCACTCACGCGAAATCTCTGCCTCTCTTGTGCGTTCATATTGTTGTCGGCAAACTTTCGGGGCAAGTGCTCAACCAGGTGATGTGTGGCCTGCTCATTCAACGTGCTTCACGCTACTATGCCCGGGCCCGAGGAATTCCACCGAGTAATTCTTGTGGATGGCTACACCTTCACATCTTTCACATCACTGCCAGGTGGTGAACATCATGCTCATGCTTGGCCTGATCTCGTCTATTGCTTTTGCCATCTACACGGTGCCTTGGCATGTGAACACTTGCATGGCATGACATGGTGCAGGTGCCGTGCTCTCTGTGTGCGTGTCGTGAGGTGGATGTCAGCCTGTTCTGGGAGAGGGCAGAGGTGGGTTCTGTGTCTGCTGGCCTAGTGCACCTGCTTAGTAGATGTTGGGGGCTGGGGTTTCATTCAGAAGCTTGAAGCAGCATATGTCAACATCCAAAGTGGAACAGGTGTTCCTGGGCATTTTCCCGCTGATCGTTGTGTTCAAGATGTCAGCGCAGGGCAAGCTGCCGGAGCCCCGGCAAGCCACGGCAAGCGGCAAGCCACGGCAAGCCACGGCAAGCCACGGCAAGCCACGGCACGCGCTGTGCGCATGTCCTTGGCAGCAGAAGGCATGCCTGCGTTTGCCATGAGGCCGAGAGTGGGCTACTCCACAAAGTGCCTCGGCCTGCCATGACCCTCTCTCCGTCATCGATCAACTTGTTGACAAGGTTTGACCACTTCGCAATGGCGTGCCAGATGCTGTTCCTGATCATCGTGATGGGATGCAGCCTGGAAGCAGTCAGGTCCACGAACTTGTGCTTGCAGGCGCCAGAAATCGTTAAGCAATCAGTAGCTTTAAGCTGACTTTCAAATCTAGGGCAGAATCATAGAAAGAACATATGAAATGTGTGCGGTGCATTTCTTTTTTCTTTGTTTCTCGCTCTCGCGCTCTCTTTACCCTTGGCTTCCTTCACACCGTCTTCGTTGTCGTTGTCATCGACCATCTCTACTCGTCGAGTAAGCGACGCCCACATGTGATTTGGACATGTGCATTCTAGACTCAATCTCCGTCTTCTCACTCTCTCTGCCACTGCCTGTTGTATCAATCGCTCATCAACGGAAGCCTTCATCTTCAGTTCGAACGCAACCGTTTTTGTGTTTCGAAGAACAATGCCCGATCGTTTTGGCGGCAAGCCAGATCGCTGCCAGGAACAATTTCATGCAAAGAAGAGAAGGGGCGACCGGATGTCGCGCGGGCACTCAATATTGAGCTGTGATCACCTGGTATGCAAAAATTCACTGAGTATGATACATGCACCTGTGCTCACTCGGCTCAGCTGCTCGGCCCTCTTCGACATCACGCGCCTATGCTCGATCGCAGTACCAAAGCTCGCCGTTCCACAGATCTTCGGCCGGCAAAACTCTTCGACGCCTCTCGTTGGATGACTCGCGCTCGGATGCGAAGTTCGCGGTTTTCCTTGTCTCGGGGGTGTCTCGCGGGGTGGGAAGGTGGGGAAGTTGATCTGTTTTGTGGCCGCCCTACATGCTGGAGCGGGCAACTATGGTATTAATGGCTCTTGCATGATGTGAGTGTCTCCTTTAAATTATCGATCTTATTTTACTCGAGCCATGTCCCAAACAAGGGACACTCATGCAGAGAACTGAGCATCCGGGTTCCACAACACCTCCACGCGAGGCATGGCTGCGTCCTTCGCCTCGAACATCAAGCTCTGGTTCCACTCCTGCCAAGCCCTGCCAGCAGAGGTCCGACCATCAGGGAGGCTTAGTGTAGGGGAGTGGCTGCGCCGTCACAGTACTGTCACGCATTCCCGGGAAGGTAGAGCTCACGGAAGAGGACCTGGCAAACATCGACGTCATGCGCCACGTGGAGCACATCTGCATGTTTGTCTTGCAGCCTGGCAGTGAACGGTTTTGGCAGTATGGCGGAGAACATGGACAACTCTGACAACTCTACTGTCGCCGCTCCATTTGGACCCAAGGATTGGCCTCTGGATGCTGTGGATCGGGCGGCTGTGGGCCCAGTTCCGCAAAGATTGTGCAGTGTGCAGAATTGGAACCCCCTCCCCACTTGCCATCAAGCTAAGCCGAGTCAAAAGCTTACCCGAAAGTTGGTTCTGAATGTGAAGGCTATGCAATGTGCTTTGGCGTAGATTGCACGCGCTTTTCTTTCAGCGCAGGCACAGCTTGCAAGGGCAGGTCATGCGGACTATAGTTTTGAGCAGTAGTGACATTCGTATTGCACCATGTGAGTTGCGATCCGTATTTGCAGTGATGTGGTTAGTGGAAGAGCATCCTCACAACATGAAGGGCTTTTGCAGGTTTCAGCACAGAACACAACCCACAACAAGAAAGAACACTATCAAGAACCAATCGCGACTCAACAACTTGCACTTAAGACAGCCTCTCCAGACACTTCTGGGGCCTGAGCTCTGGACCCGGCGCCCACCCTAAGCCAAGCTAAGTCGCCTCGCTGGAGGTTCAGCTTGATCGCTGTCCGCACTTCTCAGCTGCAGCCTATCCATGGGGTGCAGAGCAGCGTCAGCATCAAGCTTCAGGCCAGGCATTCGGGACTGACGACCTTAGCAGCTGAGTACGCATTGACCCTCTAAACTTCCCAAACCCCAACCTTGTGCAAATGGTCAGGGCGCTCCCGCCTCTTCACCCCCCCCCCCTTCCCTCCCACCATGGAGTAAGGGTTTCGGGTTGATCGAAAATCTTTCCGGGGGCGGGGTTCGAACCGGGGAATCATGTAGTAGGGTATCAGTTTTTATATTCGGAAGCGTGTTTTTTGCTTGGGTTATTCATTCCATCATCACCCAAGGCCCCAGCATGCAGTTTATTGTTTAAGGCCTTTAGGGCCTGGAAGGCCTAAAAATCTAGGACAAAGCATCGAAATCCTGAAAGCAGCTGTGCAAGCCTTCTTGAGTCCACATCAGTCCACGAAGCTCAGCTCGCGGACTGGAGTCACACAACTCTTTTTTCTGTTTTTTGCTTCAGTTCAGAGCCCCAGCCTCTTCGAATTGCAGTCCCAACGCCACAAAGCTGCAGGGCGCCAGCACCAACGGTGCAGCCGCTGTCGGCGCTGCTGGCGCACCTGTCGAGGTGAACTTCCGAATGCTTCTGGCTTTGGAGCATCTTGAGGCTTTAGGCTTTTGGAAAGCTTGTTTCGTTGAGCCCGACCACAGGGATTGGCACCCAGCCTGTCCGTCGTTGCCGAGCAAGAGAAGAGGAGCAACTTCCCGGCAAGTTGGGATCTCGGGGTTGGGCTTTGTAAGCTCTCAGCTCGCTCAACGCCCTAAACCCAAACGACCCGGAAAGCATCGGAAAACGTTCCCGCTGCCAACATCTCCGAAGTTCTCAGTGAGTCCCCCAACCTCATACCCCAATGAATGATCTGGCGATAGGCTAGACGAAGGGCGGGCCTTTCTTTGAGAGCGGCTATTGGTTCGATGAGAAGGTTGTCCAGCCATGCTGCAATGCCTGGCAGTTTGTGGCGACAGAAGTAGAGTCAGTACCAGTCATTTGGCTTGGCCGTGGCTTTGCCCGACTCAGGTACGAAGGGTCGGCCCAGCCTTCTGGTGGCCCTGGGCTATGGTGCGGAGGACAAGGCGAAGTGACAGGCCGGAGAGAGCTTTCGGGTTCAGGGTTTAAGGCTGTTTTTGGGGTGTCAGAGAGGGGGGGCGGGGGAGGGACTAGAGAATTGACAAAGTACCCTGACAACACCACCGTTCTACGGCAGTGAGGTCGCTTGCATTCGCTGGCCGGTCTGCCGCTTTGCCCCCAAGCAGATACTGTCCAATTGCAGCCAGAACTTTCTGCGAGGACTCGTCGAGAATGCAGAGAAGTTCCTGAGAATTCTTTAGTACGTGTGTAAGGGCACCAAGGGCACATGTCAGACATCAGACACCGGATGATCACCGTGCCTGATGAACACTTAGGCCAACCCCGATCAGTGAGGGTTTAGAGAAAGGCCGTTGCAGCCCCAAAGACCCTAAACTGGAGAAAGCGGTTGTGGCCAAACAGCGGATCGGGGCTGGCACAGGAGCATGTGAGAAACTGGCAGATGGGGAAAGTTGAAGTCATGCTGTCTGTTGCCAAAAAACCCAAAGATCTCTGTAAAGAAGACGCATGAATCTCAATACCGCGAAGGCTAACAACAGAGAGGACTGGCGACGCTAGCCAGCTTGACTTTGGCCTGAATTATCCAGATATTGCATGATGCATCTCAACCGTTCTTTTGCTTCTCCCCCGGTTGAGATTCCTGGGAATTTGGTCCTTGACGTTCTTTGTGGCGTAGAAGTTGGGTTCATGAAGCTGAAAAAGTACATCATTGTAGCGAGCATTAAGGTTTCTGAGCACAAGGACCGCGCCCGGTTTTTTCTTCGCCATCATGGAACATGATGAGCCGACTGCACTGTGCTAAGTGCATATCCGAGTTGAGATTTTGACAGTCAACAAGCCTTGCGGAAGGCTGACAAGGCGATCATCGGTTCTTCCACTGTAGCGGGGGAGCGGACAGTTCTCCAAGTGCCGGCTGCAGGTTTACAACATCGCCTTGGTTGTGTTGAACTCTCGCTCAATTCAGGGCTACCGCCGGTTCCGTTTCTGCGGGGCCCTGCTTGCCTGGCTGCATGGTGAGACGATCGCTCAGAAACCCTTTTCTTAGATTCCACTTTGCATTTCTTAGAATTTTCGTCGCCATTCTAAAGTATTCGCACCAAAGCAAGTCTTCGCATACCCACATTGTGCAGCAATGTAGATAGAGGGTCATCGCCTGTTTGAATCTGGACGGTCTCACGATGCAGATGAATTCAAGCTCAACGAGCACTTTCATCCTCAAGAGCGTCAAACGTGTAGGAAAACATCGGCGAGCTAAGTGCCGTGGACTCTGAGGATTTAAGCATGCTGGGCTGAGGCTCTGACATAGGAGCCTGCTCGATCTCGGCCACCTGGACATTACGGTTGCCTAGCTATTAGGATCAACGGCAGAACCGCCGACCGCAGCGAACCGCCAAGCGTGACTCTGCTTTTGCGGGAGGATGATGCATCACGATGCATCCCCCCCCACCTCGTCGATCGAAAACCTGGCCCGGGCAATCGCTGGCAATGTCTCAGAGTCGCTCCTCTTGTACCTCACCTGCCTAGTGGGGTCTGGGCCCAGGTCGCCTTGTCGTGCCGCCCGGCAACGCCCTGCGCCGCAAGATGCCGCTGATGGGGGCATCAGAGTCGCAGCAGAAGTCTGATGTAAGAAAAGCCAGGAGATCGGTGCATTGTGTAAAGACCTAGTTAAGCGCACCGCTCTTGAGAGTTCTTCTGCCGCCATCTTCTGTTGCTGTCTTTTGGGAGCCCTCCACCTCGACCCGCAACCTCGAAACGAAGAACCCAACAGCAAGTGTGCCAGCAAGTCTGAAGACCCAACCTGTGCAGCACGAGCCCCATTGAGTTTTGTAGCCCTTCGTCTGGCATGGTCCTGCCGAACTGAGTGGGGTTTCAGCAGAGCCTCCCCACTAAATCCACTAAGTGCCACAGGCACGGATGCCATTGGAGTGCTTGCGCGAGCCATGGCCCCGCGGAAGCTCGCAGACGCTTCGGTTGACTTAGCGCCTTGGCCCTCCACACAAAAGGGCCCAAAGAAGGGGTTCAAAGCGGGCGTTCTAGTGTCGAGAGTCTGTCCTTTTACTATGCCTATCTGTGAGCGCACTATGGTGTTGGCACCACGCGGCACCGTGGAAACTTGGGGGGCCTGGCCCAGAGCTCTCTCGGCTCGATGCGACCCTGACCCCCCCCCCCCCCGATAGCTTCTTTGGAGTTCTCAAAATCTCGAGTGTTCGTGAGAGCATCATCCGCGCCCACGCTGTCTGTGCAGTTTCTCTGCAGTTTATTTGCTGGCTTCTCTACTGCGCACGGCCCCGGCTGCTGAAGGGAGATGTGGAACCACATGACCCATGATGTCGCCACAGTCCTGCTGCGACGTGTTGGCTTCAGCTGGTGGTAGGTATCCCTGCTGTGCCCCAGGACCCAAGAATGTTGCAGTGTTTTTCTTTGGGATGTACTTTCAGGTTTTTGAATATAATGCCACTGTATGAAACGAATACTACTAGTAAACAAATCACGAATACCTAAGCACGGCACATATTCAAACAAATTGAATGGCGGTATAATCTCTCCGCCGTCACGGTCATGTTTTGGTCTGGTACGGTAGAGGGCGGCCAAAATGCTAGGACTGGCGGAGCTCTGCTCCACTGACTCATATTTTTGTTTTTTTTTGTGGGGGGGGGGAGGGCTCATCACCTTTACTTTCCTCCTGCTGTGGAAGCCGTCGGTGTTGGGGTTTGCAAATCCAGATTTGCCATCAGCGTGTTTGTTGTTTGGAGTCTCGTTTTGGGTGCAGGGTTTCGTGGTGTCCTGTCAGCTGCAGGTGCCGTCGGAGGATGTGCAACCGGTGTGCTGCTCCTCCAGCCACTCGTCCCCAAGCCCAAAAGCTCTCCATGGGTTCCCCTATGGGGGCTGCTGCTTGAACTTCACCCGAAGAAGTTCTTTCGAGTCTGAAGGTCGAGAGCTTGCTCGGGAGATGGATGGGTGCCTTGGTCTTCGGTTTCAAGTCCATGCAGTCGGCTCTGCCCTGTAGGCCCTTCTGTGCAACGAACACCCTCAAGGCATCTCAAGGCTGAGCCTTCTTTTCTCTGCTAACAAAGGCTGCAGCGGTCGCTTGACAAGCGCGACGCCGCTCGGATGGCAATGGAGAGCCAACAGCGGGAGGCGAAGCGAAGCTGAGACATGAGACAACATGAGACAGATGAAACGCGCAAAGCCGCCCCCTGCCCTCATGATTTGTGAACGTATTGAGATACAATGGCCTAGATGAGTCGAGGACTGGGCGGCGCGCTGCCGCTCCTTGAAAAGGTTGCAGGGCCTGGCTGCCTGGCCGAACATTGCCAAAACCTGGGAGAAGGGGCTTCCAGCTCACGGCGTCAAAAAACCTCAAAAATAGAACTAGGACCGGTAGGACAAACGAAACCGAATTCGTGATTTCGGGCGCGGCGGCTCACGAATGGCACGTGTGTCACCGTGTGATGTTGTCTTCACATCTGAGAGATCTTAGGTGCTGGGCAGTGCCCAGCTTGAGGGCTTCGCACCAGCGGTGCTCAGGCTGCGGGAAGTCCTTCTGGCACAGGCAGCGGCCTTGCATGCCCTTGAAGTTTCTGGAAAAAGCTCTTCTTGCATCATCTTGCCGAATTCCTGAACCTTGCCGAACGCTGTCGCCACCTGGGTCGCCTTGTCAGGTCACAGATCTGCGTTCGGCGCTGGTGCGCGAGGCTTTGGAGATCCGGTGCAGGCCACGTGCGCCTTTTTTTGCTACTCAGCTGCTGTTTGCCAGGCATGCGTGGCTCTGCGGCTGCTAGCTGAGGCGTCACCCGGCTTGTCAAGGACCACCCCGGGACCCCCCCACCGACAGCACGCGTCAGAGAGAACATTAGATGATATTAGATGAGAGGAGAATCCAATTTGTCATGTCAAGGTTTGGCATCGAGATCGAAGTCCTGGCTGCTTCCGCTCTTGCAGTCGCCTGTTACAAAATGCGTCGGAATCGGTAAAGTCTACTCACCTGCGCCGGCTGTGGCATGTCAAGCCCACAACAGTGTCACCCCGCGAGGTATTGATGCGCAGCACGTCAGTCACAATCTTGGTCATAGCGGAGAGCTGCCGCCTGATTGCAAACCCGAGTGAGGCTCTGAGGCTCAGCAATAAAGCTTGTTAAAAAGATGCACTTCTGTACTCAAGCCCTGCGTCGGCAAAGCTTCACTCACTGCTGATTCTCACAGCGGAACTCAGGCTTCCGCTGTGCTTGTGCCATTGTTCGAGCCTGTCACGCCCCACGTGTGGTGCAGGCACACGGGTACATGCTGCTTTCGTTTGCGCCTTGAGACACTTGTTGTCGTGCTTGATTTGACGTGCCCGTTGTTAGTGTTTTTGCCGCCGATTTGTAGACACTTGGGCATTGCTAAGTAGTGGTTGGTTTGGGGTGGCCTTTGAGAAGGCGCTTCTGGAGCCAGTGAGCCTTGGCACATGAATGGGAAAGCGTCCGGTCTCTGCACGCTCGACACTGTTAGCTCTGCTTGCGCAGTTTCTGAGGAATGCCCGAAGTGGAGTGCAGCGCCATCGCGGCCTACAGGACACGATAGGGGATGCACATAATGGACGTTAGCTGTAGTCCGACTGTCCACAGAATGTCTAGTCACCCTAAAAACCTCTGTGTTCAATCGATTTCTGCTTTTGCTATTTTGGAGGCTCTCCTTGTGGCGCTGCAGACCCATCCGACGGAGCGTCTCGAGCGCTCGGCAGAGCTGCTGCAGAAGGCCCCTCTTCTCCACTCTTCTCCACTCTGCTGGACAAGCTCGCACTACCTCGCGTTTTTACTCGAGAGATCCTCTTGGAGCCCTGGCCGATGACGACAAAAAGACTTAAGGCCATTCGGGATGGCCTCGAAGACGCTCGGGAGGAGGCGCGAGACATTGTGCGAGCTTCGGGGAAGACGTGCGATGGAAGCAAAGAGCAATGACGACACAGTGCCCATCAGTGGGCCACGAGGGAAAGAGGGTCCGAAGAGTTTGTCTGCAGCAACCGCCACGCGGCCAGGTCCGCGCCTCGGCCCGGCAATGCTTCTGGGCCTTCACTCAGAAGTTCGAGGCGTGCAATTTACAGAAGAGTGCTTGATTATCACTAGTGACTAGTGTTTCTCTTGGATCTATCGACCTTCGTCATTGGGATGCTGTCGTGCATGAGCCTTTGTTGACACCAAGTTGATGACATGTGACTCTTGCATCCTAATTTTGAACACCTACCTCTAAGGACTGCAGCACTTGCTTTCCGGTGTTCCAAGTTATGGGAGTCTTTTCCTCACGCCGTATAAGAGTAGTATGAGGTACGAGTACAGGGCACATTCGAGGCGTGTCCTGTTTGTTGCACGCTGGCGCGCCAGACTGGACCCGTTTGTGCAGGAACGCGGTCTCCGATTCCTGGCCTTATTGGATGCTGGGAGGCCTGGTGCCCACGAAGTCACCCTACAGGCATGAGCAGGCTGTTCTACTGCGTGTCATGAGCCAGCGCACAAACACACACCGAAAGTCAAAACCTTGAGGGAGCTTTCCCAGAGCTGTCATGGGAGCCCCAAATGGCAAGCGGCAAGCTGTGGAAAAAGGTTCGTATTTGTGTTCCAGGCAGCGCCAGCTCAAGGCTGAGGCGCCCGCAGGCGGCAGGTTGCATGCAGGCAAAGGGTTTTGGGGATGTCAAGGGTTTTGAGGGTTTGGGGGCTTTTGATGAAGCTTTTATGGGCTTACGAATTGAGGGGGTCTTTTTGGCTGTCTCCGTTAGGTTCAGTGATGTGCCAGAGTTCTTGCCTTGCCGGGCCTGGTCTGTGGATGGCGAAGCTTCAAACCTCTTGGTCCATGCCGGCACGGAATCAATGTGCACCTGTGCGTTGGGTTATTGCTCCACCTGCGTAGCTGCAAACGCTGCGCGGGTGCACGACACCGAAGGCGGCGCGCAAGACTGATCCCAGATATCTTCGTCCTTAGCCCTCCGGAAACCTGCAGGCGCGCCAGCGAGCGCGGCCAAGGCGCGCGCCAGGCCTACGGCCCAGGGGAATCCGGAGCCGAACAAGAGAGCCGAAGCCCCACCAAGCCCAAACCGCAACTTACTATCCTGACCAAGCAAGGTAAACTCCAAACTCCCGAAGCCCTCGACCCCCGAAGAAAGCCCTGAGCCCCTGAAACCCAGGGGGCCCTCCGCAAACCTCACCTCGACCTTCTCCTATAACCCAACCCCTTCACCAACCGCCCCTGGAGTGTTCGAAAGGTCTGCCTCGCAGAAGCGCATGGAGCCCGAGGCAGGGCGGACCTCGGCATGAAAGGTTTACAGGGGCTGGAGTTTTGAAAGGGTGTTTTGAGGGCTTATAAACCTGTTTTCAGGCACTTGTAGATTTTTTAAAGGCGCTTTCTGTGTCAGTGCGTCTTGTTCCAGACACATCAAACCGTTCAACCATCCTTGTGCAGTATCCTGTGGTAAACGCAACCTAGATTCAGACGGGTGCTTTAGGGTTTTGTTTAGGATTTGGGGAGGTAGGGATCGGTGCGCGAAACATGCTGATACAGATTTTAGCATGTACGCCTTGGCATTGGCAAACCTGAAACAGGCTCTTCGGCCACCGCTGCATCCTGGCAAAATGAAAGCTTGAGAACGGTGACATAGCTCCAAAGCCAAAATGATGTGGCGAGCGGTGGGCCAAGGGCTGACGTGACGACTGCCAAGTCACAGGACAAGAGGCGTGTTCCTACGTGTCAGTACTGGCATCACATTATACAAGCCCGTGCCTGCAGGATGCCTAGTCACCTAGTCAATCCCGCGCGGTTGTGATTTGGAGCTCTTAAGCAGTTGCCATGTTGCAGTTTGTCGAGGAGGTTGCTCAGATCAGCCTCCCACAAGCTGATGCTCAAGGACATCAGCTACGGCAGCGACAACAGCTTAAGCATGTTGCCTGTTGGTGCAAAGCTTGCGGCTACTGCCCGTTGACTTTTCGTGATTGCTGAGGTCGTATTCTTTGGTTACAGACTTGCAACGTGCAGGGTTTGCAGGAGCCGCAGCCAGCTCCAGAGCCGAGCGACACGCCAGAACAGCGGAGAGGCTCAGCAGCCACGTGCATGTACCATGTGATGCAATATGTTCGCTTGAAACATCTTGAAACCGAAGGTTTTTTTGCCACCCTTCTTTTTGTAGTTCCAGTTGTCATGGGCTATTTAGCTCAGGAGAGCTGGCCAGCGAGTTCCAGCCGCCACCGCGGCTGCCATCTGAGCCCGAAGCGGAGCCTCGCGGGCTGGAGGCGTGGACCTGGAGCGAAAGCATGCTAACAGCATGCCAAAGCAACCTCCCATATTGCCACAGATTGTCCCACACTGTCCCCATGCTTCGCGGCAGGAGCCTTGGCCGGCTCCGCAGCCGGAGCCCCCGGTGGAGTGTGGGAAGGCAGCACCCTAGTTACCCGAGTTGAACCCAGTCATCAGCAGCACCGGCTGACGGAGTCACAGGGTTGGGAAGAGTGACCTGACCAAACGGGGTTCGGAATTTCTTCAGGCGCAGCCGCCACCCTCCATGGAACACCTGGTGAATGTCTGCCTCGGAGGCGGCGATGCCGCTGCCGTGGGCTTACAGAAGTGACATTGCGACATCAGTGCCTTGCAAATCCTTGTCCATCCCTTTGCAACTTGGACAGAGGCAGATGTTGTGTCCATGTGTGCCCCAAGCATGTCCTGCAAACGAGGGCCTCGTGGCCGTGCTCCAGCCGGACCAGCACCTTGGACCTCGAAGCGTTTTGGGACCGGGCTGCGGCGCGGCAACAAAAACAATGAAGCAACCCAGGCTAGCTGCAACATTTTTGCCAATACTGTTCAAGCCTCACGACTGAGCAACCAATAGAACAAAAATTAACAATAACAACTAGACCAAGGATGCGACTAATAAACAAACAAGAAACTCAAATAATACTTGACGCATTATTCGCATTACTTCTCCTCCTCGTCCTCGTCGTCGTCGTCGTCGTTGAAGTAGTACAAATAATATCAGGGCACAATGATTTGTAGAAGCAATGTAACCGTACTAGTATCAACGTCGTAGTAGAACACTTTCCGAAGCCTTCCGAGGCCCCAGGCACGACCCAAGGCCTCGCACGCGCTGCGCGCTCTGCACACGGCGCTGCTGGAGGCTCCGTGGTGGGAGTGGGCCGACTGCAGTCCGTATTTCGTGGTTATGATGATGGTTAACGGTTAACGGTTTAAGCTCTTGTAAGTGATTGTGATGATGATGGTGAGGATGGTTGATGAAATAGTAAGCGTAGGTGGTGGTGGGAGACTTCAACCATTTTTCGGTTGTTGCTATCATGGCTATCTTATTGTTTGGAATTGTTTGGATTGTTTCGTGCTATATAGTTGGCAATTGGCATGTCGATCATGACTGTATGATGGCGATGACGAAGACGAGGATGAGGATGATTCTTGATTTTGTTGTTAGCTTTCCTACGTTTATATAATTAGTGCACTACATGGACATGTACCAATTGCTGCACTATTATTGGACCAGCCCCAAACCAACTAGTTCGCCTTCCTCTTTACTTCCTACGCGCCAAGTTTTGTGGGGCCAGCAAAGACATGCTTTCCACAAGTAAGAAAGGCATGATTTCCACAAGTTTTTTGGAGTTGCAGAACCCATGTGTTCCACTGCCACAGGCCAGTTTTCCACCAGGTTTTGGGGCTAAACAACAAAGTTGTCCACATGCTTTAGGGCCTTAGGGCAAGCTAAAGGGCAAGCCAAAGGTAAGTTTTCCACCAGGTTTTGGGGCTTCAGAGCAATGGTTTTCACATGCTTTCGGAAACGATGTGGGCAGGTTGTGGAAAGTATGTGGACAGGTTGCGGAAAGGTCGCGGACAAGTTGTCGCAAGGATGTGGAAATGCTTGTAGAATGGTACCATGTAATTGTCCGCCCTGTGCAGAATGACCTTTGCCACACATTGCCTTGCGTTCCTTGGTCCCCCGCTTCTGTTTATTCGCCATGTGACGACACTATGATCTCACAGATTCTGGGACCTTGTCCACACAGACGTGCCTGACACGGTCTCTGCGTTCCGCACGTCACGACACTATGTCCATGCATGTGCGCCTGATGCTCTGTGTTCCCCGTGGTGTGTTTTCCACACGGAATATGTTGCCACAATTCTCGGGCCAGGCTTGGCATGTGGAAAGAGGCGGTGGAGCCTTTCTATTGTGGAAAATAGAGCGTTTGGACGTGGAAAAGGGAGCCTTTCTACTGTGGAAAATAGGGCTTGTGGACGTGGAAAAGGAGCCTTTTGTTGTGGAAAACAGGGCTTTTGGACGTGGAAAAGGGAGCCTTTTGCTGTGGAAAGCAGGGCTTGTGGACATGGAGACTGCAATGCCCGAAAACCGTTTAAAGTGAGTTATAGAAGGAGAAGGAGACACAACATACAAAATATTTGCTATGGGGCTGGCCCAAGATTGCCACGAATTGCTGCTATTCACTGTTGCTTGCTACTAATTGCTACGCAGAGCTTTTGATTACTACTATATGCTACTGATTTTTACTTTTTGCTACTACCCGCTACAACCCAGTAGTAGCTACTGCTACTGCTACTATTGCAACTGCTACTTGTATGAATAACCCTCTGTTTTTGAAGCTGTGTTATCTCTTACTTCTGAGACTTTGCCTGCTCAGGTTTAAAGGAGAACCATGCAGTAGGCATTGACAGTGTTTCCAGCACTTGTCTTCCCAACACCTCACAGGGCTTCTTTTTGACTTTGTGTTCTTACTTATGTCTGCGATGCCGAAAGGGTGTGACCCACAGAGTTCGTGTAGCTGAACGAAGCGTTGCGACTTCGACTGCTACCGGTCATCCGCATGCGAGGCAAATGGAGCGCCGTCCCAGCTAGCTGCTGTCGAACTGCTTGACAAGCTGCTCACTGGATCAGGGCGGGATCGAGTGCTTGCGCGGAAGATTACCGTGTCCTTCAGAACTGTGCAGGCTGGTCCGGGAAGCTGTGGCCGACAAGTGCGTGGCTGCTCCCCTGATGGCAGCGCTTGCTCGCTGCGCCGTCGGAAGCCGCGCGGCGCAGAGGGTCCTTGGCAGGCAAGGCCGCCTTTGTAGGTACTCTCGGAGCAAAGTGCATGAACCGATATGAACCAGTCTTCCATGGTCTTCCTCGTGCTGCGGAGGTGGTTCGTAAGCGAGGAGCCGCACCTGGGCATGGAAAGAGTGCAAGGCCAGTGCAACTCGTTGCACGATAGGTCCGATAGGTGCATGGTGCGCACATCCGATCCATCAGACATGGCAGGGTGAGAGTAGGTCAGATTAGAGTAATCAAGCTGAGGGCATGGTGGAGCAGAGCCATGCGCACCTTCAGCCTGGTTCCCTTGAGAACTTCCCCAAAACCCCGAAGCCTACGGAGCCCCTTCGAGGGTTGCACTCGAATCCCTTGACAAGCGAAGCATCCTGAATATGAAGCGGCTCCAATGTATGAAGATCGAGAGCCGCAGGAAAATCAGGAAAGCAACCTCGGGTTGGCTCCCACGTCCGAGGCCTCCGCCGGCACCACCGAAGCCAAGCCTTGGCATCCTGCGGCGAGGAGTTGGTGGTTAGTCCGCATCCATGAACGTCATGGATGTATGGATGTCATGTTTTTTGTGGGTAATCCATGGTAGTCCCGATAGACTGCCTCTGCCTCTACCTCTCCAGGACCGGGGCCGGGACGTGAGCCGAAGCTGGAGAAGGAGGACCTCGGGGGGCTGCGTTGCCGCTTGGAAGTTCTCCGCAGTTCTGCCCAAAAGTGTGGAAGAGCTGCCATGGGATGTAGTGCGGTGCGCGGCATGCATGTTCCGCGTGGCAGAGTACAGGCATGTTGGCATGTTGCTGTATGCGTACACGTGTAGCTTCCCCTACATTGGTTCCTGTTGCGGGCAATACGGGCCTTAGATCCGGTGCGTGTTGTTGCGGTTTCCGCTGTTGTGATCATAGGGCTTTTGAACAGGACGGGTTTAAAGGCAGCTGACGGGCCACACCAGAACACAAGCTCACCTTTAGCCGTACATACGTCGCAGCTGGACATCGCAGCCAAGATGCCACCGACTTCCGTAAAGGTCCAAATGTTTGCCTTGTGCAGAATGTGCGCAGAACCTTCCCTTAGAAAGAGGGCAAACGGCGCTGGTAATTTCAGTTTGAAATTGGAGAAAATCCCAAACCCCTTGTTTTGTGTGGCTAATCACAGGTCAGGAATCCTCGTGAGCAACCCTAAGCCCTCCTAATCCCTAATCCCTAGCCTATCTCCTTACATACGGCAGATCCCAAACCTCAGTAAAACCAAAGCACCAGGCGCTTCCTTCCCTGACGGCACTGCTGGCCGCGCGCCCCAATGCCGAGGCGGGCCCACACCCAGAACTGTCGGAGCTTCGTGGGGTTCAGGGTGTTTCGTTCGCTCCCAGGTGGGCTGTGTGTAATGGAGTGCTGAGGGCTCCTCCTGCTACCCAAAGCATACGGAAGCTTAGATGTTGAGTTGCGCGAGAGCGTCCAGGGAGCCCTGGTACTGAGGCCTCCACCTTGCGTGCCCTGGCTGCTGCGGCCAAGGTGTGCGCACTCAGAAATATCCAGCCGAGACTTTTCAGCAGAACCTTTCCTACCGCGAGGCGGAAGATGAAGAGACGTGGAGAAGTCAAGGCACCGGGGGGGGGGCCCAACCAGGTTTGCCAGGTCAAGTTCGACATATAGACTCGCTTGGAGTGCTTGCCATGAACTTGGAAAATTTGCAGCTTTGGCAGGAGGACGGGTCCTCATCCTGGCGCTCAACGCCCTCACCGGCAGCAGCTCGGGGCGCGAGGCACCATGTGCGTCGCGTTGGGCTAGAAATAGCATGTGCACGAAGTTGTGACTCCCAAACATTCCCAAACATTCCCAAACATTCCCAAACATTCCCAAACCCTATAGTCTATAGTGTTCGACGCAGTCATACGCAGTCCCGTTTCCAACTCTCAGTCTCAGCCAGGTCCAGGATGCCTCGATTCATTGCATCCAGGCGTGGCCGCATGAAGAGCAGTCGGAAGCCAGAACCCTCCCATTGCTGAGGAGATGATTCTTCACCACCCGGCCTGCGTGGCAGACTACGCCGAGGCTTGCGGCGTGCCGCAGTTGTCCATGGGTTAGTTGCCCGGCGCTCTTTTTGGGACAGCTCTAGTATCGTACCAAGATGAGGATGAACTATCGTAAGCTATCGCGGTGAGCAAGCACAACAACAAGCATGATCCAATCGTAATTAAGACAAGGCTTCATTTTCTCAAACTTCAATTCTTTTGAAAACCGGCTAAAAACTCTCGGCCTAAACATGCCTAAACTCTAAGCCCCTAAACCTTACAACCTGCCATGGTAGAGAGCTGCACTGGGCAGGTCGTGGCATGCAAGTTCTTCGAGGTCTCCGGCCGAGCCGGCCCGGATCGGAGGCTGGCCACGAGCCTGGCTCGCGCCATGGCGAAGCCTGAGGTAGGGTTTAGGGTTTCGAGTTTAGGGTTTAGGGTTTAGGGGTACTGTTCCTGCCACTTATTTCCATCATGATTGCTGCTTTGATTTGTGGTAGCGGTCATTGCTTTCCATAGTAGCTGCTATTATGGCGATTATTGTTGTCATGAACATGCTCTGTGCCATCTTCCTCTACGGGCTCAAAGGGCCGTGGGAGTTTTGGGATTTGGGAGTTTGTGAAAGGCCCTGAGCCTGAGACCTTGTGAGCAAAAAACCCTTAAAACACCTTGAGCATGTAAACCCTATAGGAGCCCTATAAACTCCGAAACATCCCTAAAGCCCCCTGAAGGCTCACCACCTCTTCTCAGGTGCTCTGGACCAGTTGCTGGCATCCGTCGAGCCCTTGCGGGCTCTGGAGATCCTGTTGCCGCAGGACCGGTGCGGTTCTTGAGGGTTCAGGGTTTAGGGTTTTCGGTTTCGGTTAGGCTGTTCGCGGTGGGTTCGGGGGGCTGGGGAAGGGGGGTCGGGAGCAGAACACGGAGCGCAGATGTGCACAAACCCGAAGCCCTTGCAGCCCCTTAAGGCCGCCCCCCGTTTCTCCCCAGAAGCTCCGGAGGTCTCCCGAAATTTTGGCCTGCTCTCCGCGACGCTGCGGCGCCTTGCGGCGGAGCGGCATGGCCCGCAGAGTAGGCTTCTCATGGACACCCCTCTTCTTAGGTAATTGCCAAGACGGCGAAAACATGTTTTCCCCACAAATGCGGGTTTAAGAAACGGGGTTGTTGGACTTTCACCCGGCAAGTCTCCCCGGTTCTAAGAACTTTGCAGAGAGTCCCGCAGCATCCTTGGAGTGCCCACGGAGCTTTGTCGAGTGCGGAGGAATCCCCTGGTCTGCCTTTCCCGAAAGAGAAATGGCGTGTTTAACGTGCGGCTGTCACTTTTTGGCTGTATCTGGTTTGACAACCATTGTCGCAGCCCACCGGAGCTCCTTGACTATTCATACTTGAAAAGAGCCTTTCAAAAATGAACACCGTTTCCAAATAAATTTCTGTAATACATATATATATATATATATGTATATGTATATGTATCTATGTATCTATGTGGCCCCGCCCCCGAGTAAATAAGGACCCCTATGTTTCGGAACCTCCACCCCACGTCAGGCAGATCCTCACGCACTTGGACGTCATCGTCGCGCCCATCGTGGGCGCTGCGGAGAGCGACTCCGCTGAGACACGCCGGGCCCCCACCAACTCTTGGCTATTGCTGGCACCGGCACGGAGAAGCTTGCGTTCGTGGGGGCGCCAACCCAGGGCTATTTACCAAAAATGTTATAGATATGAATATGACATTGAATCTTGATATTGAGGTAAGGCTGCCATCTTCAGTTTGGTGGATCTGTACCTGATTGTGGGCGAGGACTGTAAAAGTCAATGATTTTCATAGATCGGTTTTGTTGGTACCTGACGTTGGCAGGACGTGATGAGCTACTTCCGTCAGGAGATGCTCTCCGCATTCACCACATTTTCTTCTCCTGTCGTGGTCGTTTTCTGACATTCTTCGCTCCGCACAAGCAATTCATTCTTCGCTCCGCAAGGGCAGTTGCATGCCGTTGACCCGATCGGAGGAGCTTTCTCCTAGCCAGCTCAAGTTAGTGACGCTGCCGCCCGGTCGAAGACCAGAAAACTTCAAGCTTCGATTCGAGATTCGTGTTTGAGACGCGAGGGCCGCTAGGAGGCGGTTTCTGGAAGGGTTGGGTTGTGTTTTTTTGCGGACAAACCCCCCCAGTCAGCTTGCACAAGGTATGCCGAGAGGCAGCAGTGCGACAGCAGAGGGGCCACGGTCGAAGCAGACGACTGACTCCGGCTGCTGTGTTAACGTACCTTCATGCGGAATTCAAGCACGCTGTCGGTGCTTGGACATTTAGTAGATCTCCGTGGGTATCCATGGCTCATGCAATACAGTGGCGACGGAAGCATCCCCACGCGAGATCAATGAGTGAAGCGACAAGCTTCTCAGTCACAGTTTGAGCTGTTCAACGTCTCAACGGCTCACCTTGCATAATTAAATTCGGAGCTGCATCGGGCATGTCCATCCGAGTCCATCCTTCAGTGGTTGCATGTGGTTCCACGCGGCGGGTGTGCGCTTCGCGCATGCCACTGCGCAGGTTAAGGCATGCTTGGACTAGGCTTGGACTGGACTTGGGCCTTTTTCTTCGGCGCAGGACTTCTCAGCAAAGTTTGTTCATTGGGCCGGCTGGAGCCTCTTCTGCAGTTTGCCACTGCGACCAGCAAGAATAGCGTGACAGGGGCAACTTGACCCGCGGGAACATCTCACTCTGACCGCTTCAAGCTTTTCCGCGTGTTGCATGAGCAGCCCCGAACTTGTGAACCTAAACCACGCTTTCCCAGAGATCCCGTGACAGCGCTAGAGTTGCAGTACTTTTGGGTACTTCTGCTGCCGCATGACCCAACCCGAGAGTTGCTGCCAAGCACCTGCTTAAAGCCCTTCCAGAGGACCGGGGAGTTCGCTCTGAAGCAATTCACAGCTCATCGCTCCGATGGCTCAAACGGCTCCTGACAGCCTTGTATTTCATATGTACATATATATGTATATGATATTTAATGTACCTTGTGATATCTGCTATGTAGTGTTCAACATTTACCATTTCAAAATACATGAATAGCAATGTAATATACACGTATACGTAATGTAACCCTGACTGCATCTGGTTGGTCCTTCTGTTGAAGCTGACAGAGGCAGCGGTTTGATGGAATCATCGCGCCCACCGCGCCCGCATTTCCTGGCATCATGTCAGGCGGCCGGAGGCTTAGATGGTCAACTTGCTTGGTCCGGGCTTTTCAGGCTCGGGAATCTTTTTGCTCCTGCTTGCTGAGCTTTTACTCGGCGGCCGAGGGGATGGCGATGCCAAGCGACGGCGGCTGTCTCAAAGGATGGGGGCTCTTTGTTGCCTTCAAACGTGTTATGAGCAGTTTGATTCATAAGGTGGAACAAACAGGTGAGGCAAACGAATGGCTCAAACAACAAGACGAAGACTCATGATACCGGAACTGACAGATGAGACATATTCTCTTGTGCTGTAATGTACCTTGCAGCTGACATCATTGATGTTTCGTTTGGCTTTCCCAGGAAGTTCCTATATTTGCTGATGCGCCTTGCGGGTCGCTGCATCTTTGTGTCTTTTCTGTTTCGTGTCGCCCATTGAACGCTGCTTCTCTTTCAAGATCTTGGAGGCTGCCGCGCCACAGCGGTGCACCGCGCGCCACGGTGGCGGCGGCGTTGCGCGAAGCGGGCGCGACCTGGCACGAGGCGAAGTCAGCTCCGCATGGTTCACTCAGTTCATTTGTCCCATGGCAAGTTCTCCAAACCGTGGCGCTTTTTTCGGTTCCTGTAGAATGGCCCCTTCTATGAATAGAGTCCAGTATCCCAGAGGCGTTTAAGGGTTATTAGGGATCCTAGAACGGATGGTTGGTCCTACATGGCCTTGTGAAGGCCCTGTGCTTCGCGGAGCCTCCGGAGATCCCTGCACCTCGGCCCAGAGGGACCAAAGAGTTTACAGGATTTAGGGCTGTAGGGCTTTAGGGTTTTAGGGGTTTGCGGGTTTTCGGGATTCTGGATGCTCGCCGCACAACGCAGCAAGAGGAAGTTCGAAGAAAACGCCATGCATTATGGGTGATACTGCATGTCGATTTAGCAAGCCGGTGTCGTGATTCAGTAAATGCCGATTTACATTCACTGGTCACCCACTCTGAAGGTCGGAACGGCCGGAAATCACTAGTTACAACACGCGCGGATTCCAATGCGTTAGTCTGAGTTCGTCTACATAGCAAGAATCATCAAACAAGTGTGCAGTCAGCGACCAACACTTTCAGATAGAATCATGGCAGTAGCGTTGTCGCTGATGCAACAAGAGCAACGCAGCGTAATTTTCTATAGCTAACTGATGAGACATTGCATGGCACCAATTCTAGGAGTCGTCCTTCAACTGAATTATTCGTAAAGCTGGTGGTCGCCGAAATACAACAAGCCGACTTCGCACATCAGTAGTGACGGAAAACATGAAAGCAAAAGCAAGACAAGTTACGAAAGGCATAAAGTAAAGGTATGATAAAATAAATAGGCAGACGAGCAGCGGGTTCTTTCGCAAATAGCATGAGGAGCTACGTGAAAGTTATGGCGACTAGCAACGAGAAACGCAGGTTGAATAGTGTTCTTTGGGGCCATGCAGCTGTGAATGAATGATGTTTTCATTAGACTGACAGACCACACCACCGCGGGTTTGGAGACACTCATGCAACAAAAGCTCAGCAGTTGAATCCAGAGCTGTCCGAAGAAGAGTTTGCCAACGTAGACCCCAAGCAGTTATGGCCACGTAGCCTAATGAACACCAAGTTTCAACGTTGGGGGCCTACATGTACTCCATGTCTAGTCGGGATCACGTTTTCAAATGCGCGCTCAATGTCCCATGTGCGCAGCGTGCAGGTGGGGCCGTAGCACGATTACAAGCAAACATGCGCGCAAACCGTGCGCTCTTGCACGGTCACGCTCGCGAGAACGGCCTGCCTCATCGTCTCATCATTCCAGAACCTCTTGGGTAGGCACTGTGTAACTTGACCAGCACAAAAGAAGATGATGCGAATGAAGATCTTTTGAGGGCACGATGAACACGACACGGTCTCAGTAGCTGTGTTTGAGCAGAGTCCGTGTTTGATTAGTTTGTGGCTGTTCCAGATATATTAGTGTGGTCTAGGGCTCCGGGGTTCGCCGCAAACCGACTGAGGTGCCTGGGGTGAAGCTGGCGCAAGCCGTCGCGTGACTTATATTTTTGCTCCAGGTGTTCTGCAATGCGTCCTTGAATGGCCTGATGAAGGTTTGCTTGACAATGCCAGCAACGCTTCTGTCAGGCAAACATAGAACAAAATGTGAAATGGCTCTTTCACTTCAGACAGTCCAAGCTGCCGGCACATGTGAAAAGCACATGTAAAACTTCAAGCCTCTAAAGTCAAGTCTCATGATCCTCAGCAGTTTCCGAGTGTGGCCAAGCTTCTTGTGACATCACGTTGTCTCCGCAGCTGAGTGCGATTCATGTCGCCAGAGGTTCCTGCTGGCACTCTACTTTGCCAAGTGCCATCCCACCTACATTTCTCCAGGCATTCCTCTTGCTCAGGGTTTGGGGTTCAGGCCCTCTCACTTCCAGCTGTCGCGCAGGACGCAATGTGAGGCCACCATGCCTGCGATTTACGCTGCCTGTGAGGTGCGAGGAAGGGACGTGAAGGGATGATGATCATCTTAGCCACTAGACTCGCGAGACGTGACTCGATGTCTGGATTGGGAGGCCCTTCCAAGTGCCGACCCAGAAAAGACCCTCTGCCGCACTCCAGCCGCGTAAGCCCCGCATCAGTCATCCTCTTCTCAAACCCTCAAACCCCTGAACCCCTAAAACCTTTAGAGCCTTTTGAGCTGAAGGCGAGGCGAGGCGGCCGATGCGCTTTGCCCCTTGGCGGCCCTAGCTCGAGCGGGTGGCTTTTGGTGAGCCACGCGAAGTGTCTCCGAGTCTCTTAGGCATGGCCTGGCTGTTGTCTTCGCAGCGCGCAGGCTCCCGAGCTTTGTGGCTGGGGGCACCAGAAGAAAAGCGAGGAAGACACAGCAAGGCACAGCACAAACGGGTGCCAAGGGGGAACCAGTGCAGTAGGGGGAGAGGGACAGGGTTACTGGGGTGCTTGCTGGAGGCGGAGCTGAGTCCAGTCAACCCAGGGCTGGCGGCGGCCAGGCCAACTTGCGAACCGACTCTCTGTTCATCGAACTTTTGATGTTGAGAGGTTTCGAGAGCTTAACTAAAGGTTCATGAGGAGACGCATGCACAGAGCAATTTCCAGTCCGGACCGGTGTTCCAGCCTGCTCCTTGTGCAGGCCGAAGGCATGGCACAGTGGCCGGCTCTCTGGCGGGCACTGGCAGCGGTGCTGCTAGGTCTTGGCCAGGAGGGAAGGGAAGTGTGTTGGTTCGGAGCGGAGGGCATGGGAGAGCCGCAAGACCGCACGATACCGCACGTATGCGCTCGGGGTTGCAAGTCGCAGGAGTTCGAGGAGCAGCACCCCTACGCTTGGGCCTGGCAAGGTCGGCAAGGTCGCTCGTGGGAGCGCACATCCTCTGCCGAGCCAGAGCCTTGTCAGGGCATGTCAAGTGGCATTTGTCGCCTGAGCAGAGAGGGCCTTTCTCAGAGCAAGAAGCCGAGGAGCTGATCGCTGCTCAGGCGCAGTACGTGAGGACCCGTCACATGCACGCTCCGGTTGCTTCATCACTCCTCGGTTGCCGTGCCATGAGACAGCCCTGGTGCAGGACCGTTTATGGCTGCATTTGCGATACGCTGAGCTCCGAGCATGTTCCGGATGAAGGCAGGCCTGGGGTGGACAGCGAACAAGGGGTATCAATGGTATCAAGCAGGGTTTCTTGCGAATGCTTGGCCCTTTCCTCTCGGTCGTGCGCACAAGGACGTGGGTGGATGGTGCATCGCACCGCGACTAGCGTGCCAGTGTCTTGAGCCCATCTCGCTCGAAGCCCCAACGACTCATCGGAAGATATATCATCCCCCGTACGTCACATATCTTAACCTCAGGCGCTATTTTTTGGGTTGAATATGGGTGGGGTTTCTGGCGCTCCGCAGGCATCTTCTTGCTGTCTTGGCTTTGCCTGCTGACGCGGCGGTTTCGGGCGCCGCATGGCTCCGCGCTGGTCCCAGGCAGAGAGATCAGAAGGGCAGAAGGAGTTGCAGGGAGCAGACTTCTGATGATAGCAGGCGCTGCCAATCTGTTGCTTCAACGTGTTCGTTCCTGTCACTCCTAGTATGACTTTTGATCATCTGCCAGGATGCATAGCTCGCCTTATAGCCTGTCCACCAGTCAAAATGGGTTCGCCAGGACGTAGAACACCCGTGCAGGATGCTCCGACCTAATGAATCCGCGCAACAATCTAGAGTCTAAGTTCAACCATCAGGCCACAGTGTAGTTGACCAAAATGCGTCCGATGCGTCTTATGTTGGCCGAGAGGACGACGCAGGGAGCTGTAAATGATCAGCAACCAGAATGCCACCACACACATCAATCGAATGTCTCGTGGACTTAATCGTATAGTGTATCGAGACAGCTGCCTCCGAGACCCAGCTTCAGATGGGAAAAGGCGTTCGCCGATGTCATGACACACAGTGACTCCTTGTAGTGCATTTTACTGACCTCAACGAACATCCTGCGTCCGAAATTTCTTGAGCATGACGTTCCAAAGTCAAGAGCAAGGGAAGGAACGCCCGAGCCTTTGCTTCAACGGCCGCACCGGAAGTCTTCTGGGTGACCTCATAGGTGACCATTACCTCAAAGGGCCGACCCAAAAGGAGCGCCGCCTAAGCCCCTTGGCAAGGCATCGACTTCCTGAACCACTCGGCAGCCCCTAATGCATCCAGTGATTGGGACGAGGACTCCGGTGGAATCAACCGAAACATCAAGAATCCTTCAAAATCCAAGCTCACATCTGAAGCCCTGTCACATCTCCGACTTCAGTATTAGGTTCGGGATCGCTTTAGCAATTTTAGCAGTATTTTGAGAGGCCTTGGGCGGCCTTTACACATCCGCGTGCCGCGAGGAGTCGGGCTCCGTGGAAGTGCGAGCTTTGACCGACTTGAAAGCGGGTGTCGGCCTAAGCTTCATAGCCCTTCACTACAAAATGACCGCGACCCATCGATGCCCAGGCGACGAGTTCCAATAGTTTTGTGTCTTCATGCTTGCATGCACGTGCCGTGTGTGGAATATGGCAGCCATGACTAGCTGCAATTTTCCGGAGGGACACGCTGAGAGTCGTGATTCTATGTTTCGAGGGCAGGTAGGCCGTATCTCCTATGAAATTGCAAGGCTGTGTGTTGTATGCAATAGCCATAGCGGCATGCCTAACCTGACCTACTAAGCTGCATCCCGGCATCCAAAGCATCTCCTGGAAGCACTGCGGCTCTTGTGCTGCTTAAAACAAGTGTCTGACTACGGCCACGGCAAGTCCCAGCACTGTTCCGTTGGTGTGGCAGCAGCACGTCAAGCAAGCCGAATTTGAAATCTGCACAAGCCAAAAACGTGTACCGGCATCCTGCAACTGGTGAAGCTGTGACACTGAGGTCAGCAGCTCACAATCTCCTATGGCAGCCTCTCGAACCCGCTGCTCTGGCGCACCTACGGCTTCACCCTGCCCTGCAGGCCCCAAGAGAAATCGCGGCATGGACAGTTCCTAGATCAGGGTTTCGACGGTTTAGGCCCGTTTAGGCGTTAGAAACCGACGAAGGGACAGCTGTAGGATGATCCTGGAGGGCCTGGACCCCAAACCCCTGCAGGACTGAGCCCAGCTTCACATGCACATTCTCGCATGAGGAGCTGCGTGTGGCGCCTTGCCGTGGCAACTAGCAAACATGCGAGATGAATTTACCCCACGTTCGTGGAGCACGCTTAACTCAAATCTTAAACCTTGACGTCCTTCGACCCTAAGCCCCAGACCCAAATGGGCTTGTTCCAGATTAGGGTCCCTTTTGCGGGAACTGTCTTGATGCACGGAAAACACAACTCTGAAGCTTATCTATTCATGATTGTTTTTACCTCTTATTTAAGAAGACCGACCCTCAAGTTGCGCTGAGGCTGCAGAAGCCGCCGAGGAGGTGGAGGCAGTTCATCAGATGGTTCAGGGTTTTGGGATGTTTGACGGCATTTTCAGGATTTGAGGATTCCAGGGGCCAGGGGCTGACATTGAAGCTCAGCAAACTGCCCTCGCCGGCAGTCCAAAACTTGGTCGATCTGCCCTCAGGATCTCCCGAACTTGCATTTGGACACGTCCCGTGTGACGGACGAGCTCGCTGCAGTGCTGCAGGCGGAGTCCAGCAGAGTCTTGCTTTCGATGCTAGCTGCGCAACGAAGGCACTGTACACTGTCACGGCCATGCGCCAGAAATCCTTCATGCCGGTATCAGCCCACCACAGACCGCCGACCGTGCTCCTCTTGCTCCTCTTGCTCTCTCAGATGTGCGTAGAACGCAGACTCGATGTGCACTTCTCCGGTGCGAGGCTTCAGAGAGTGCCGGGAAATGGCTGCAGAAGCTGCTCGCCAGGCGGGCACTGCATTCCAGGTAAGACATAGACTTGCAGGTGCGGTGCGGTGTTTCAGTGCTCCAGGTGAGCTTCTCTGGAAGAAGGTTTCCAGATTTGGTTGACACTCCTGAAATCTTCGAGTGTCCTCGAGCCATGAACGAGTGACTCCTTGACATTCCTTGACCAGAAATAGAAAGTCAAGAGTCCAGCAGAACCAGCGTGGTGTGGCAGCAAGCATTTGAATCATGCCTGCTAGGCCTCCAAATCGTGGAGGTTGCTGAGCTCCCTACAGATTACACAGCAGCCCTGAATCCCTAACCCTGAGAGCCTAAGACCCGAAGATGCAAAGCACAACCCAGCGCTTCTGGGCTTGGCCTTGCAGGCGGCTTGAGCAAGCGCCAGAGCTCCTCCAGCGATTTGGCTTGGCAAGATGAGAAGGGGTTCAGGCTTTGGGGGTTTGATGGATTGTGTAAATTCAATGATCCGAAGCAGGACTTGCGAGAAGTTTGTTGAGAGATGTTGAGAGCTGCGTCTACTCTTCACGCAGCCGAGATATTAGTTCTTCTGGGCCATGCCACAGAACAAGCAGCCGATGTAACTTTTGATATAGCCCATGTGGCCAGGAAAATGGGGGTTGCGGTGGGTGATAGGGTGACGGCGTGTGCCCACTCAGGACGAAGACGCTCCCGATGGACACGGAGGATGACCTGATACGAATCCAGCTCAGCGAGCCTTCTGGACTCGCAAATGTCAGTAGAAACAGCATGAAGTAGCGATGCACAAGGCGGTGCTCGCTTGAGCGGCACGGACGATGACTTCGAGTGGATAGGAATCTGGCATGGCATTTGGGGTTTGCTTCGGATTTCATGGCCTTCTGCCTGAAATCTTGTGGACGGCCTTGCGAACTCTAAGGCACTTGTGCCTGTTGGCGCACCTGGACGCCCTGAATGAGCTAAGCAGTCAACTCCTCAGTAGCTTGTCACCTCAGTAGTAGTTCTTCTTCCAAACCCTGGAGGACCGTTGCCCTGGGCAATGTGCATTCGCGGTCGTATGCAGCCGGTCACATCTTCCATGCATGAAGGCCAAACCTCCAACACCCTTCCGAACCCTGAAGCCAAGAAGCCCTAACACACACCCTCAAGCACAAGTACTTCTTCTCCAAGCGCTAGGCCCGAACTGCGGAAGCCATCGAAGCTGTTGGAAGCTTGACACGCTGAGCTCAAGGCCGCAGCCCCGAGGCGCGGCTCCCTTCAGGCCTGCGGGATGGCTGCGAGGACATCCTCTTGCAGCAGAAGGTGCCCACAGCCACCTTTGGGGCCTAAGCGCAAGTGCGAACGCCCTGTCTTCCGTTCCCCCTTCAAGCCGCGAACCCCTGAGACACACCAAAACGCCCTCAACCGCCTGAACCCTCAATGAGGGTGAACGCCCTGCCTCTCTCAACCCTAAACCCAGACTCCCAAAGCCATCCAAAGCCATGAACCTTGCAGCTGGCCCTTGGGAGCTTTCCAGGACCTGAAGCGTGAGCTGGCGCTCATCCAGCAGGCCATTTGATCCCCTATGCTTCCTTTGTATTACAATTTAGCATACCTATTTCCACAAGCTATCTTTATCATCATATTCCTAGTCATGTGATTGATGTTGGCAAACCTCTTTCTCTTGATCTGATTCATATTTCCAAGCTGGTCAGCGCTCGCAGCCTGGATTTTCTGGTGAAGGGGTTTGGGCCTCCATGATCGCATATTCGTTTTATTTCCTTTGTATGTTGTGTAGGGTACCAAACATCACCCCCCCACCCCTCCCACCTATCGGCACAGCCCTCGGCCCTAAGCCGTCTCCACACCTTGGGAACCCACAGGCCGGCCTCCTCGCTTTGAGTTGATCGCAGGAGGCGCGAGGATTTTAATGTTAACTTGGTGCGAAGGCACCCCTCGGATTGCAGTCATGCTGTTAGGTGGTAACTTGGAGTTCACTTGTTCCGGATCTTTGCATGATGATGATGATGATGATGATGATGATGATGGGACATACGGTGCCGTTTTGCCATCTGAACTTACAAAAACTGGAGGAGCGCGGGTGCTGCACTGCTCAATAGCTGGCAAGGTGCCCTGACTGCTTTGTCAGTTTGGTCGCAGTGCCAGAGCATCTGGCTGCACGTGTTTTGACTGGCGATGGATCGTCTTCCTTCTGTCTCCTGTGTTTCGCGTGGCCTGACAGAGGTTGAGACCTGGCTTTTGCTGCATTGTTACATATTGCTATTGAGCACTGCTCAATAGCTGGCAAAGCACAGACTCGGCTTTGACAGTTTGGTCGCAGTGCGAGAGTAATAACAACGGCCGACGTTCTCTCGTGGAGCCGGAGCTTTCACCGGCACCCGCTGAAGTGGAGGCCAGCAGGACGTCTCCGTTCAGTGTGCTGCCCCAGGCCCCTTGACTGAATTGGGACGCATTGGGCTCTGTTCCAGCATCGCTTGCAGGCACAGACATCGCCGAGTGTGTGAGGGTGTGCAAGGCCGGGCCCGAGAGAGTTTTGTGAGTCCTTTCAGCCCTTCTGAATTTGGTACTGCTTGTCATGAATTGAGTGTATTCGTACTTGTCTAGCATCGTTTATAGCAATGCCATGGAATGCTCCAAGCCAAGCTGGACATGCCAGGAACTGGAGTCAAGCGTAGCTCTTTGCAAACGGGCGGTTGGCGCACCACTTCGAACGTCAATGGCTGGAGCTCAGACATAGACATGAGGATCATGAGGCTACCTTCTTTCAGAAGCCCGCTGCATCTGAAGCCAATCTCCGACTCTCGTCACTGCGGACTACATGTCAAAGTGCATTCTGAGAAAACTTAAGGTCAAGGGGTTCTAGTGACTCCAGTAACCTACACCGAACTGGCTTATAAGAGGGCCATTGAACTTCCTCTTCCTTTGTGTTCCAATTTGCGTCCTGCGTTGGGACAGGCGGCCCTCGGCGCTCCGAAGTGACGTCCGAATGTCTGAGCCAGAAGCGAAAGGCTTTGGGGATCGAGCAACCGATGCGCAAGGCAGACTGCGGCAGACCTGCTTACATTTACTTACTCAGGCCCCACAAGAGCACAAGAGATTTGTACTCCCGGTCCTGGAAGCCTCGTGCAGCTCACGTGTCCCATCACTCCTGCCTCAGCTTCAGCTCTGCCGAGCTATGCCGGGATGAAAAAAGAGTTCCTCGTTCTTGCTCTTGCGACTTGCCGGGGGTGTGCGTGCACTGCACAGCTCGAACTATGTTGGTATTGTTGTTATTGTGATTACGATCACTAGAATCTTCATTCTGATGTTTATGGCTGCTACATGATCATTGCTGAATCGTACCGCGATGGACCAACGCAGGCTCGTGCTGGCAGAGCGCCGACTCAGCACGACATCCAGGCTGGGTCCCTCCACTGCTTGGTTCTAAGCAGGGAATTAGGGGCTTAGGTGCCGTCTGGTGCATTGTACTAATCCCTTAAGCGGTTAAAGAGGGGAGAAGGTACCATAAGGTACCGAATTCCTGGCAACCCTATATGCATTTATGCGTGTAAACCTGGGCCCGAAGCTCCCTGACAGAACGTCGACACCTGCCCCGACCTCCTTGATCCCAAGCCCTAGCTGACAGTGCGAATCGCGACTTCGCGACAGCGAGCAAGATCCTAGATCCTTCGACCACAGCAAGATCTCGGCTCCTCACTCCACCTCCCCCGTGGTCCCTCGCCTTTTTCTGTGCCATGGCCCTGCGACGCTTCAACGCCGGTGGAAAGAAGCAGAAGGCATTTGGAGCTGGGAGACGGGAAGAGTGGGGAGTGAAGCACGTCCTCCCGCATGCACAGACATGAATGGATGAGCAAGCCATTTCTTCAGCCTGTAGGAAGCCTGCTTCTTTCTGCCTTGGTTTCCAGGAGCTCACCGAGGAGCAGAAGCAGGAGACCAGTTATACGGCTGACGTGTGATAAAAGCAGCCGCAGCGCAACACTGCATCTGCCCCAAAGCAGTTCCGCCTCCCCCAAGACTTAGCTCCACTCCCCCCCCCCCAAAAAAAAAAAACTCACCGACAAGGTCCATGTTTTGAGGGGTGTGTGCTTTCCCAGGCCCACCCCAGAGATCAAAACACTTCGGCATTTGATGCAAGCTCCCGACACCGCAGGAGATCAAAGAGGCCTTCGACCTCTTCGACACAGATGGCTCAGGCGAGCGACAGAGTTGCCCTGATTCCCTGGCTCCAGAGATCGCAATGATGAAACATCAAACCTTCAGCTGCCATCATAGATAGAGTCTGCTACCAGCGCAATTCTCCTGTAAGAAGTCTTCGCTCGCAGCGGCCTCGCACAAATGCTCGAGGCAAGACCAAGTACCCGACCCCAAATCAAATACCTGCAAAGTACAGAGCAAGCTCGCCGAACTCCATTGCCCGACCGCAGGGAAGCCCACGGGAAAGACTCCAACCAAACATCCTGGAGCACCCAACCCCAGAGAATCTCACAGGGAGTCCAATCGAGTAGCCCAGAGAAACCCGCAAAGATTCTCGCCGAGTATCCCTGGAGTGTTCACCCCAGAGAATTCTGCGGAGAGTCCCGCGACAGAAATGTGCGGCGGAGTATCCGCAACGACCTGTCCGAAAGCGGCAGGATGGCTCCCACGTCGGGTAGCAGTAGGGTGGGAGAAGACCCCGAAGTTTGTGATCTTTGTGGCTTTGTTCTCTTCATTGTGCTGGTGTGGGTCCTTGGCCGTTGCCGCCGTGTCGGCGGAAGGCGAGATCGACTCCAAGGAGCTGAAGGTGGCCATGCGCGCCCTGGGCTTCGAGCCCAAGAAGGCCTTCGGGAGAGGGAGAGGTTGGGGAGGTTGGGGAGGTTGGGGAGGTTGGGGAGGTTGGGGAGGTTGGGGAGGGGGGTTTGAGGATTTTGTATGAGAGTCGAAAATCTTAAGGGGTGAGGTGTCAGAGGAAGGTTTTCGAGGCAAGGTTCGACTTGCGGAGTGCCAGGAAGAGATTCAGAAGATGATCTCAGACGTTGATGACGACGGCAGTGGCACCATCGGGTACGAAGAGCTCCTTGGCCCTTATAGAGAATTTCCCTGCTAAAAACAGCCTGCTTGGGTTTTAGGATGTTTTAGGCCAGGCTATATAGATGTTTATAAGGGGTAGGCCTTTTGGGTTGAGCAGGGTGAGTAGATGCCGAGGTTCCTGAAGATGATGACCCACAAGATCCTGAACCGAGATCCGCTCCTCGTCTGCGTTGCGAGCGAGGTTCTATAGGGGTTTCAGGGTGATTTGAGGTTCAGGAGTTGGAGTATAAGTTTGAGGGTTCGGGGGCAGCGCGCCCACGGCTCGACTTGAATTCCCATTGCACTACGCTCAAAACCAGATCAAAGATCAAAACCAGATCAAAACCAGATCAACACCTGAAGCCCGGCAGGAAGGACGAGATCCTCAAGGCCTTCCGGCTCTTCGACGACGACGAGACCGGCAAGATCTCCTTCAAGAACCTGAAGCGCGTGGCCAAGGACGGTTTAGGGTTTTGGAGGTTGAGGGTCTGAGCTCAGAAGCAGAAGACATGCATCGAGCGCTGCTGGGTTGGGGCCTGAACCCTACAGACTATAGACTCTATAGACGCTACAAGTTCTGAGATGTTCTCAGGGTTGGGATGGCTGACATATTCCTGGCGGCCCAGATTTGGGCAGGGTGCATGGGTTGGCGACTGCCGAGAAGAGGGAGTTCTGTGTGCCATTTGCGATCCCTTGTTCGCGTACTCCAAGTATAGGGGGCCGCATCCTGACAATGAGGTTAGGTCGAGCCTTGATGTCACGTCGACACCAAGAGACCTCCCCTGGCAGGAGCTTGGCGAACGAATGACCGACGAGGCCAATGCCCTTGGCTTTTGAGAAGGGACTTCAGGGGATCCCTTAAGGGGCTCAAGGGTTGGGTGGGTGTGTGTGTGTAGTTCGGCTGAGTCTGCTTTGTCCAGGAGCTGCAGGAGATGATTGACGAGGCCGATCGCGATGGCGACGGCGAGGCGCGTTTGGTCTGTGGAGTCTCCTGGGAGACTTGTCGGAGCCCTAAACACAACCGGAGAGAGCTGAGCTGAGCAGGTCAATGAGGAGGAGTTCCTGCGCATCATGAAGAAGACAAACTTGTTCTGAGCGTTGAGCCACCGACAGTCGTGGCAGCAGTTTGACGTTCACAACGGCTTTGCGGCTGAAGCAAACTGCACTGAGTATTGACGTGAACCATGCATGCGCAGTGGCGCACGTACTCTGCTGCATGGCTAGGTAGTAACTACCTAAGTTTCTATCCCATGTCAGCTGCAGGGTGAGAGTCAGCCCTCTCAGCACGCTTGGGCTTGATTCGCTTCAAGCTGTTGTTTCACGCTTGCTGCCATGTGCTGCAATCCGGCTCGGCTTTTGCATGTCAATGCTAGTGTGCGGCTGCGAAGTGTGGCTGGATGCAGCCGGCACTGTAGCAGAAAAGGCCTCGATATCACGATATCCATGTGGCTTCGCATGCTCCGGTCCCCAAGCTAGTGCCACAGTTATATCGTCAGCTTCGAATTCAAGCCTGGCTCAGCGCCCCTAAGACATCTGCCGATCACAGGAGCGCGTTTGCCCAAGTGTATGCTACGTGCATCTTGCGCGACCTTTGCAACGCATGGAGAATGTGGACTGCGAGCAAAAAGTTTGGAAGGCCTTGGTGCCCCCCCTGCAGGCAATGCAAATAAAACCCAAGCACTCCTCTGAGGTGTTCCCAGCCAAGGCCCCAGCTGCCAAACCCCAATCCGTAGGAGATCCTAGGAGCACACTCCGAACACCAACGGCAGTCACGGCTGGCCCCAGACTGTGACAGAATAAGCAAAGCAATCCCAAAACCCTGAAACTTATCCCGCTTATGTGTGGACAGTACCTTTGCGTGTTTGAATGCCTTCTTTTTCCTAGCCGGGACCGCAATCACGTGAGGGATCAATCACCATTTGCACGAGTTTCCTTCTCAACCCATGTGCAATCAGGCGCCCTTCGCATAGCACTTACTGCTCGCTACAGTAACGGCCTTCGTCAGCCCCAGATGAACCCTTGGCCCAGAACCCCGCCCAGAACCTTCGAAAAGACCCGGTGCCGTAACATGTTCTGGAATGATCGCAGTCCCATAAACCCCTACCCCTTAACCAGATGAACGTGAACCAGGGCTGTGTGGCGGAGGACTCTTGGCTCGTGCCGACGACTCCCTCGGTCCTCCTTTGTCACTCTACGCCATGGCCCTGCGTCGATTCAACGCCGGCGGCAAGAAGCAGAAGGAGCCAAAGGGAGTGTTGAAATCGATTCTCACGTAAGCACGGCATTCCAAAGCGAACCCTTTTGAAAATCCGCAGTCCATCCTGAAACTAAACTGTGGACTCGCGCCACCAGCCTGAGCCCGTGGCATGACATTTGGGCTTCACTCATGCTTCACTTGTGCGAGCCAGGAGCTGACGGAGGAGCAGAAGCAGGACAGCTCGAAACACAGCCTAACAGCCCTAAGCCGAAGAACATCTAGCTTGGGGCTCCGCTGAGTTGAGACTTAAAGGATATGCCGCTCCCAGACTTTTCGGGGGGCCCTCATTTGTGGGACTCCGGGGAGCGCAGTTCAGAAGTATGTTAGGCTCCCAAGCTCCCTCGAGGAAATCAAAGAGGCTTTCGACTTGTTCGACACGGACGGCTCAGGCATGGTGCAGACCCCCACGCTGGAGCTTTCAAGCTACCAGCCCTTTCTACCCTAAACCCTCCCGGCCCCGCCACCAACAACCCAAAAGAAACACACTAAATTGCTTGGCGCGACCGTTGCCGCCGTGTCGGCGGAAGGCGAGATCGACTCCAAGGAGCTGAAGGTGGCCATGCGCGCCCTGGGCTTCGAGCCCAAGAAGGCCTTCGGGAGAGGGAGAGGTTGGGGAGGTTGGGGAGGTTGGGGAGGTTGGGGAGGTTGGGGAGGTTGGGGAGGTTGGGGAGGTTGGGGAGGGGGTAGGAAGGTTTGAGGATTTTGTATGAGAGTCAAGAAGGCCTTCGGGGGGGCAGCGGGAACGAATTTCATCCCAAGGTTCGAGATCCTCGTGTCAACTCTATCTCAAGTTACAGTTCTCACAACCCCAAAGCTCTAAAGCCTGAATTGAGACGTGCCAATGCTCCACAACCACCTTGGTTCATCCTTCAGGATTGAGCATGTTGAGCCTTGAGGATTGAGGGCTTGGCCGGCTTGGCCGGCTTGGCTTAGGAACCGTAAAGGCCCTAAGATCCTAAAGCCAGGAAGAAATCCAGAAGATGATTTCTGATGTGGATGACGATGGAAGCGGCACCATTGGCTACGAAGAGCAGCTTGAGCTGAGCTGAAGCCGGGAAAACTACCAACAAGGGGTTGAGTGTTGCGATGAGGGGCATGGAGGTTTGGGATTGGGTTTGAGTCCTCAGCCGTGTGATTCCCAGCTGGGCCCCCAAGCGTGGCAGCTCTACCGCTTTATCCTATGCCCTTCGATACAGTGTAAAGCATCCCTGGCCAAGTCCCTAAAGACCGAAAGCCCGAACCACCATCGCCTTCTGGGCACCCCTTCTCTTTGCTGATAGATTTGTCTTCGTAGGGGCGCGAAGGATCGCTTGACACCAACCTGCAACTTCGTTCTTGTTGGTGGGGCTGTTCGGGTTGTTCTGGATTTTGGAGATTAGTGTCGGGAGGATATCAGGGCCTTTTTGGGGTGAGCTGATGCTGAGGTTCCTGAAGATGATGACCCACAAGATCCTGAACCGCGATCCGCCGCTTGACTGACGGGGGCTTAACCGTGTGGGAGCTGGAGAGGGCGAAGCCCTGGAGCACTCCAGGAGGGATACCCTTGAGAAGCTCTTAGCTAACCCTGAACCTCAAGCCCAGCAGGAAGGACGAGATCCTCAAGGCCTTCCGGCTCTTCGACGACGACGAGACCGGCAAGATCTCCTTCAAGAACCTGAAGCGCGTGGCCAAGGACGTTAGGGTTTAGGGGGTTCGGGCGTTCGCTCGCCCGTTGATTTCATGTTCTTTCAGAGGAAGGCTACCATCCAGCTGGAGTACCTCCGGAGCCCAAAGCAAGCCTAAATCCCTCTTGAGGAGCTCGGCGAGCGCATGACGGATGAGGCATCGTGGGCGCATGCTGGGCATGTGGGGGCAAAATCTCCCGAACCCCAACGCAAACCGAAAGCCCTTCTTTAAACCCCTACAGCCTTCAAAACCTCTTCAAAGCCAGAAGCCCTAATTCCCTAAGCCCCTCAATGCTCCCTCGAAGCTCTAACCCCCCCCCCCCCCCCCCCCCCCCCCCCAAAACCAAGAAAGAAAAGTGCTTTCATGATCTTTCATGTGCTTTCCACAGGAGCTCCAAGAGATGATCGACGAGGCCGACCGCGATGGCGACGGCGAGGCCCCGGAAAGTGCGAAGGGGCTCTGGAGGGTTTTCTGTCCGTTAAGGGGGCTTTTTGTGTTAAGATCGTTGCTCGCATGGATTTGTCGGCTCATGTACCTCCTCTTGTCTTTGTGTTCTGCGTAGTGGTGGGGTTAGTCAGGTTAGCAGCGTAGGGCCGGGTCTAGGGTTGAAGTCCTCTCGCGAGAGCATTGCCTGAGCTGGCCGGTGGAGCGGGTATGGTCATGGTGTTTGTCGGGGAGTGCTTGGGAAAGCTGGACGCCTTCAACCCCTAAACCTTGGGCTGGGAAAGAGGGCCTCAGTCCGGTGACGCGAGGTCAATGAGGAGGAGTTCCTGCGCATCATGAAGAAGACGAACTTGTTCTGAGCCATTTGGCCCTGGCGGCAGTCGAGTGTTCACAACAGCTTGCAGCTGGAGCACTTGGGGGGTTGACACGAAGTGAGCGTAGTGAGTATCATTATGCATGGATGATCTGCCAGCTGCCTGAGAGTGGGCTCAGCAAGAGCCCACATGCTGGAGTCTTGGCTGTTGTTTCCGACTTGTGCCCGCCTCATGGGACTGCCACTGTGTGCCTGCTGACGTCCCCGTTTGTGGTCAGATGCAGCTACAGAAGCAGAGACTCCCATGCCCTATTTGTGCATGCTCTAAGTCACCGTCTGGCTCCCGGCTCACCTACCAGTGCCCTGTCTTATCCCAAGCATGTCCAGGGTCGTGCCCAAGTGCCGGGAGTCCAGCTGCCCAATGTATGCTAGGACTGCACCTGCGCGCAGGAAAACAGGCACGAGGCTTGCGTTGACAACGCCCAAACCTGTCCATGAAGCTCGGAAAATCCTCGACTCCAGGATAGATAAAGCATATAGTTGGTACATTGCAATCAGAACTCACTCCTAAAACCCAACGCCCACCTGAACCTTTCTCAGCGCATCTAGGCCCATCTCAAACCATCTAAGCCCTAAGCCCTCAATTGTCACGAGACGGGGATGGCTGAGCGAATCATGGCACACAACGTGCCCCCTTTCCCCCCCCCCCCCCGCCCCCCTTCCCCCCCGACAGTGCAGGGCGACCATGCCGGAGGCCCTGCGTGTGGTGCTGCCGCACTCCCCGAGCATGACTAGAAAGAAAGGCCTTGCGCATAAGGTACCAAGCCGAGGCGTGTGCGTGACACGTGTATCGATCCAGGGCACGCAGTGGCTCGAGACGCGAACACCCGCCCCACCGCAGGCTCCCTGAACATCGCAGCCGAGCCATGTCCGAAGCCGAGGCAGTGATCCGCAACCAGTCCGGCTATATCAACCACACGGCCAAGAAGGACTACGGGCCCTTGGAGTTTACTGGGAAAATTGCTGGAGGCCTGAGGCTGGACTTGCGTAGGCGGCTGCCGCTCTACGCGAGCGACTGGACGGATGCGTTCAAGCCGGAGAACTTCCAAAAGTCTTTGTCGTCCATTCTCTACCTCTTTATCGCAGCCTTGGCGCCCGCCATCACCTTCGGAAGCCGCTTCTTGGACGGCACCAACGGCCAGTTTGGAGTGCTGGAAATGATTATGTCGACAGCTGTCTCTGGCGTGATCTTCTCCACCTTCGCAGGGCAGCCCTTGTCCATCCTCGGAGCGACCGGTCCATTCCTGGCGTACACCCTTGTGGTGTATGACATGGCGGTGGGTGCCGATGTGGAGTTCATGCCCTTCTACTTCTGGGTTTGCATGTGGTGTTCGCTCTTCACCATTTTGGTCGCGGTCTTCGACCTCTGTGCTCTCATGAAGCATGTGACCATGTTCTCGGAGGACCTTACAAGTCTGGAGAACATGAAGCAGATTGAAGCAGTAGTTTTCCTAAGGCTAACTTCTCCAACTCCGACACTCATGTCCCCGCTTTAGGAATCCAACCCCTGGCCCAAAACCCCTTGCGCTTCGTGGCACCCTGTCGTTCTACAGTTGCGTAAGTGGCACCCTTCGCAGGATATCTTCGCTGGGCTGATTTCTTTGATCTTTATCATCGACGGAGTGAGGCCCGCAGCTTATGTGCCGTATGTGTTGTGTGCGGTCGTGTGTGCGTGTATTTGTGTCTCTCTTCGCCTCTCTGCTTGTTTCTGTGTGCCTCTCTTCGTGGTGCGGCTCTGTGTGTCTCTGTGCTGCGTGTGTGTGTGTGTGTGTGTGTGTGTGTGTGTGTGTGTGTGTGTGTGTGTGTGTGTGTGTGTGTGTGTGTGTGTGTGTGGGTGTGTGTGTGTGTGGGGGTGTGTGTGTGTGTGTGTGTGTGTGTGTGTGTGTGTGTGTGTGTGTGTGTGTGTGTGTGTGTGTGTGGGTGTGGGTGTGTGTGTGTGTGTGTGTGTGTGTGTGTGTGTGTGTGTGTGTGTGTGTGTGTGTGTGTGTGTGTGTGTGTGTGTGTGTGTGTGTGTGTGTGTGTGTGTGTGTGTGTGTGTGTGTGTGTGTGTGTGTGTGTGTGGTGTGTGTGTGTGTGTGTGTGTGTGTGTGTGTGTGTGTGTGTGTGTGTGTGTGTGTGTGTGTGTGTGTATATATATATATTTTAAGGGGCTGCGCCCATGGGCGGGCAGCGCAGGCAGAAGCGCGGGGCGAGCAGTTTCTAAGCATTTTCAGGCCCTAAACTCCCTTCAAATCTCTAAGCGTTTGAGGCTCCTAGAGACTCCCTTAAAGTTTCTAAGCGCTTTATAAGGCCCCTAAACTCCCTTTTTCCTAGCCCCGGGCTTAGACACGTCGCTTATGCCCGCCCTTTGAGGGGCATCATGCTCCTGATACTACTACTAGGCTAGCGCGCCCCAGGGCGCCTGGTGGGTTTGCTGTGGTAAAACCGCCGGACATAGGTGTTTTGCGTCATTTCCAGTAGAGGCCGAAAAATCACCAAAAAAAAACTACTCGCGGGCACGCAAAATGAAGGTTTCAGGGTTTGGAAGGGATGTGCTGGGATCTGGGTTGCTTAACTGCCCGCTTTGGGGGGGGGTGGGGTTGCTGAAGCTTAAGGCTGCAGGTATCTCGGGGCATTAACTGTTTGCTTCTAGGGCTGGGGGGGGGGGTGGGTTGAAGCTTAAGGCTACAGGGATCTGGGGCCTTAACTGTTTGCTTCTAGAGCTGGGGGGGGTGGGGGGGGTTGAAGCTTAAGGCTACAGGGATCTAAGGCCTTAACTGTTTGCTTCTAGGGCTGGGGGGGGGGGGTTGAAGCTTAAGGCTACAGGGATCTGGGGCCTTAACTGTTTGCTTCTGAGAGGCTGGGGGGGGGGGGGGGGGGGGTTGAAGCTTGAAGGCTGCAGGGATCTGGGTGCCTTAACTGCTTGCTTTCTGGGGGGCTGGGGGGTTTTAGACGGGGGCTTCGGGGGCTCAAACCCTAAACCCTAAACCCGACACCGTAAACCCTAAACCCTAAACCCTAAGGCCTAGACTCAAAACCCTAAACCCTAAACCCTCAACCCTAAACCCCTAAGCTATTACCAGCACGAAACTCCCTTCCCCCTTGAACGTTTAGTCACTCAGCATCAATGTCCTACCATGAATGCCCATGTGGCGTGAGTATTCCGGGTAGCGTTTGGAATACCTGGAGATACCAGTTCTCCTTTCAAGTTCCGACCTTGCACCCCGCATTGCCGTGGCTAGTCGGGTGGCAAAAAAAACCCCTAAGCCTAAGCCCTTCACCCTAAACCCTGAAGCCCATCCCTGAAGTCAAAAGGTGTGTGTCGGCAGCATTTTTGGAACTGCCAGGCATTCCCCTGCTGCACGGCTTTCGACAGAGAAAGATTTACTGCTGCAGTGCTCGAAGCACAGCTTGCAAAAGCAAGTTTGGAGTGTCACCAGACCAAGACTTGCGAAAGACCCACTGGTGAATCCGATTCTTGAGGAAAGGCGAACCGTCTTTACAGCCACCGTCGTCGCGATGGGTGCGATTGGCCTTCGCACTGATGAATCGTTTCAAAACACCCCAGAATAACTCAGAGTGTCACGCATTCAGGGTTGCGGGCACAGGCTGGAACATAACTTTCGGGTCCAACGTTGAGAAGAAAACGGAAGCCCACCACACTAGAACATACCGCCGCAGCGAGCAGGGCGTCAGAGATGTCCCCAGGCATGGATGCTCTGGTTACGCACATGGCAAAAAAAAACGAGCATCATGAACACAACGCTGCTGCGAGCCAGCTGTTTTTCGGCGCCGAAAACAACAAAAATGCCCTGTGCCCTAGGCAGGTTCGGAAAAAGCATAGTGGCATCTCAGCGATGCCCTACTAGCGAGGCGTTGGCCGCGAGTCCTCTCCGGGAGGCGAAAACACTGTAAAACACGATGCGTTCGGCATGTGCGACATGGCATGGACGTTATCATCCCCCCCCCCCCCACCCACCCGCAGAAGAGCAGAAAACGCACCCGAATGGCAGGCGCCCAAGGGCGCGCTTTGCTACTACTACTACTACTACTACTACTACTACTACTACTACTACTACCTACTTCTACCTACTTCTACCTACTTCTACCTACTACCTACTACCTACTACCTACTACCTACTACCTACCACCTACTACCTACTACCTACCTACTACCTACTGCCTACTGCCTACTACCTACTACCTACTACCTACTACCTACTACCTACTACCTACTACCTACTACCTACTACCTACTACCTACTACCTACTACCCTGCTACCTACTACCTACTACCCTGCTACCTACTACCTACTACCTACTACCTACTACCTACTACCTTCTACCTACTACCTACTACCTACTACCTACTACCTACTACCTACTACCTACCTACTAACTACACCTACCTACTACCTACTACCTACTACCTACCACCTCCACACTACCTACTACCTACTACCTACTACCTACTACCTACTACCTACTACCTACTACCTACTACCTACTACCTACTACCTACTACCTACTACCTACTACCTACTACCTACTACCTACTACTACTATCTACTACTACTACCTACTACTACTATCTACTACTATCTACTACTATCTACTACTACTACCTACTACTACCTACTACTACCTACTACTACCTACTACTACTACCTACTACTACTACCTACTACCTACTACTACTACTACTACTACTACCTACTACTACTACTACTACTACTACTACTACTACTACTACTACTACTACTACTACTACTACTACTACTACTACTACTACTACTACTACTACTACTACTACTACTACTACTACTACTACTACTACTACTACTACTACTACTTACTACTACTTACTACTACTTACTACTACTACTACTACTTACTACTGCTACTAGTTACTACTACTACTACTACTACTACTACTACTACTACTACTACTACTACTACTACTACTACTACTACTACTACTACTACTACTACTACTACTACTACTACTACTACTACTACTACTACTACTACTACTACTACTACAACTACTACTACTACAACTACTACTACTAGTACTACTACTACTACTACTACTACTACTACTACTACTACTACTACTACTACTACTACTACTACTACTACTACTACTACTACTACTACTACTACTACTACTACTACTACTACTAGTACTACTAGTGTTGAGTACAGAACAAGAAAAAACAAAACACACAAAAATGAACAAAAACACTTAAATTAACTCCGGACTCTTTGTTTTTGCCTTTGTGATTCTCAGTTCATGTACTCCTCAATTTGATGCTTTTACCTGAGGAAACAAGGGTGGGTTATTCAGGGCGACTGGCAGTGGAGTCATCCTTTGTCTGGTGCCTTTGACCTTGCGCGGGATGCTCAGTCGCGTGTCCTTCACCTTGTTAGGGATTCCTGGCGTAGGCAGCTGTGGGATTCTTTCCTGCGCACTGTTCGTCGGGATAGTGCTGTCTGTCAGGGGGTTGGGTTTGACCCCAAGCTTATTGCTGCTACCTGTCGGGTCTTTCGGGGGGCTTCGGTCGAGGAGGCTGGAGTCATGGTTGGTGCTGCTCACAGTTTGGCTGCTTACCACGTGATTGCTCATGATGCTCCTCCTCGCGCCTTCTGCGACTTCTGCAAAGGCAACGTCGTCCCGAGTTGGGGCCGCTTGGGTGGGAGTGTGCTTTCTTTGCCCGTTCCAGGCCAAGGGCTCCTGAGCACACCTGTCAGTTGCGACTTGGATGGGCTGCTACTCAGGACTCGCAGTACAATCGCGACGTTTTGGTGCATCTTGCTCAGGTTCGGTGCAGGGCCCGCGCTCTTGGGCGTTCTTGGCTTCTAGGAGGAGAGGAGCCGGCTGGCGATGACGACGACGGGGATGATGCTGCCGGTGGGCAGCGCGTGGAGCGGGCGATTGATTCCTTGGCGGGCGTGGGTGTGCGCGTCCTCGGGTGTGGCGTCATTGAAAATTTGTTGAAATTTGTTGATGCTTTTACCTGGATTTGGGACTCTGGGTTTACAATGCGATTGCGTGTGATTGCACTCATCTTCGCGACCAGTTATTTTGGCTTCGTGAGCTGCATCGTGTTCCTCAACACGACTCCTCACGAATGTTTGAAAGGCGGCGCCCCGAGAGGCCCTCCATTTCTCTCTGGCCGTGCCAATTGGAGGACCCGTCGACGCATCTTGCTTAAGAAGGTGTCATTTGGAGTGATCTTGGACATGTGCCTCAGGTTTCTCTCCGAGACTTGAGAAGACGTTGACTGGCGCAACCAAAGGTTGGCTTCTTGCGTGCAAGGCTGAAACTCACTTGTTCTCTCCCGAGGCCACTGATGGATGTTTTGCTTTCTTTGATGCTGACAAAAAGCATTACACAGCCTTTGGTGACGTTGCAGAGGAAGAATTTCAGGCGAGAGATCGCAACAAGCTTGGGGGCAAGTCGGTCGCCCCCGAAACTGGCGCTGGGCCTCGTCACTTTGCTTGTCTGACTTCGAAAGCCAGGGCGGCGACGGCAATGCTTCCAGACCCAGCTTGCAGCTCTTCGACTTGGCCTTCGAAGAAGAAGTCCCATTGGTGTGCTCCTTCTGCTCCTGAGGTCCGGTCTCTCAAACCAGATAAGGCCTAGCCGAAATCAGTGGTGACAGAAGTAGAGCAACAGTTTCTCGATGCTCGCAACGTGCTTCGGGATGCCTTGTTCCTCTTATCGCGCGTCAAGTGCAGGGGTGGCTGGAGGGGGCTGGCGGGGGGGGTGGGGGTGGCTGGTGGCTGTGGTGGCTGGAGGGGTGAGTGGTGGTGGCTGGAGGGTCGGTGGCTGGAGGCGGCGCTTTTACAGCAAGTTTCCTGCACGGTTCGGTGCGGTACCGTAACGGTTTGGTGCGGTACGGCGGAACTGCGTTGTTGAAACGCCCGTGATTTCTGGTACTTCTATTCGCAAAAGTGTAGAAGAGCTCGTTAAAGATACTTGGATTAGGGTTTATTTCTGAAAGTGAACAGCTGTTTTGCTCTTATCTTTCTCCCGTTTTATTTTTCTATCACTCGTTAAAACTGAAGTCATGAAGGCGTAGGAATCTATTGTTTATTATTTGGATTCATTGTTGCTCCGAAACATTAGCATCAGTCCTTTCAAGAAAAGAAGTATATGCATCAGGAAATTGGACTATATCTCCTGAGCGTCAGATATTCTATAACGCAAGTATTACGTTGTGTGTGTGGCTTTCTTATGATCGTGGTTCTGGCTAGCGTGGAGAATTTGGACATTATTTTGTACCTATCTTTCAAGGGTCTCCAGACGTGGTGTGCCTGCGTGTGTTCTCCTAATCCTTTTATAATCTCAGACGTTGGGCGGTGCAGGGTGAGCATCTTTCCACCATTACGCAGTCATTTCCCACATCCTTTTTTTATGGTTTTGTCACTTTCGCGACAAAACTTCTTATATTTGGATTATCAGGCCTGGTGTCTCTTCATGTCGTACACATCTTAACTTTTGGGCACCGTAAACCTGAGATCTTATTATCTGTCATTAAAGACTATCCCAGTATTTCCTTGGGCTTTCTTGATTAAAGCTTTCATGCTTGTGCTAGCATGGCCGATCTTATCTGGCACACTTCTTTTAATAGTAGGTGGCCTTCGTTTTTGCACATTTTTCTTTGATCCTACATGCTGACGAGATCTTCTGTCCTATCAGCATGTATTTTGTTTTTTTGGGCGCCCAGATCACCCCCTAGTGTTTCCTGCGTTTAGGACCATTTCCAGAATAATGTCTTGGATTTTGACTTTCAAAATGTTCGGCGACGAGTCATGATCGTTGCCATGCCATCTACTCTCTCTTCTTAGAAGTCTTGTTTGGGGGCGCCGTATGCATACTGTAGGTTTAGAGAGTGACACAAGAGCTTATGCAGGAGTCACAGTCTTAGTATCCTTACCAACTACCTGGTACAGAGATCGGAATAATTCTTGGAAATCCTGCGCTAGATCTTGCATTGCGTGACGCATATTGTGATGTAGTACATGTCTATCTTCGCTGGGGTAAAACTTCAATGGAGAGAGGATTGTTGGTGCTAAGAATATATTACTTTGACCCTGTAATACACTGCCTCTTTTGATCTACATGTAGCATCTGTTGGTGTTCGCCTTACCCCAATGCATTTTCTTAGGATTTAATGTTATGCTTTAATAGGAATCCTATCCTTGGCAGATTCGGAATTCCCTTTCAGCCATTGGATCAGGAAAAAGCTTTAGCTATTGGGTCAGGATTTTTTATCTCTTGGTTCTTGTTTACTTCGTTCACTATTATCAAGAGATCGCGAAGATAGCACGGCGAATACGATTGTAAGCACCATGTCAATGAATGCAATACTCCTATTTCGCGCGGGCAGTTTTTGTTCCCGCAGTCCCTCACGTTTGCCATCGCGCAACGTCCATGTTGCCAGTCCTTGCGAATGGCCAGAGCATCCATGCCCGTGCGATGATTACGTCCGCGTTACCAGTGCGTGTCTATGGCCGGAGCGTCCATTGCCATGCCCGCGCAGTGAGATACGTCCGTGCGTCGTGCCCGTCCGTGCGAGTGCGTCCACGCACGATGATTACGTCCGTGTTGTCCATGCCATGCCCTCGCGATGATTTCGTCCTTGTTACCAGTGCGTGCGAATGGCCAGAGCAATGATTATTTTCGAAGCCGGGAATCGGGGCCCTACGCTTCCGGCCAAAACGGCCCCCAAAATGTCCCGATTTCGCGGACGTTTGAGAACTTCGGCTACTTGCGGCTACTTCTTATTAGCTGTTAACGTTCTGCCCTCCAAGGCCTCGAACTTCGTAAATAACAGTGTTCTCAACGTCTGACTGCTCTCGCACGTTCCAAACCTGACCGACGGAGGCTAAAGTTTACTAGGGCTTTGTGAACACTCCACAAGGCCAGTGCAACCCCCAAAATATCCGCAAAACTGCGACTTTTCGACATCGCCTCCGTCCCACGAAAAACAATGCAACACAGTGATGCGACGGTAAACGAGGGAGACTGTGCGTTGTATTAATGAATGAAGGGCCCGTGCGTTAGTATTATTACGCTGTGCTCATTATATTTCATTTTTTTGAATGTGTGTGTGTGTGTGTGTCTGAGTGTCTGACACTGCGTGTCTCTGTGTGTGTGTGTGTGTTTGTTTCTGCGTGTGTGTGTGTGTGTGTGTGACACACTGTCTCCGTGTCTTTGTGCATGTGTGTGTGTGTGTGTGTGTGCGCGTGGCTGTCTCCGTGTGTCTGCGTATGTCTGTGCGTTGTTTTGGGCGGTGCAAGGGCAGATCAGTGACCGCAGGCGGCCTACTACTTTAAAGGCGGCAAGCATGCACATTAGCCATGCCGGCTGCAGGCCTATCATCGAGAACTTCTCGGAGAACAAGATGAGCCTGACCAGTGCCATGTTCGAGGCCCTGCTCTTCATGTACACTTTTGGTTTGGCGACCTACCTGTCCCACTTCCGCCGCACGCCTTGGCTGCTCCGGCCCATCCGCAACCTCATGGCCAACTTCGCAGTGACCATCTCCCTGGTCACGGCTTCGGCCCTGGCAGCGATCTATTCCAGCGACACGAACCTGAGGATGCTGAGCGTCGACGCGGACTTCTCCCCGAACCTCGTCTTGTCGGATGGCAGCAAGCGGCCCTGGGTCGTGAATCCCATGGGCATCGAGCGCTCTTTCCCGGCCTGGGCCATTGCTTACGCGATACTGCCAGCAACCTAGACCCAGACTAGGTCTTCTTAATATTTTTTGGGTTTAGGTCTAGGTTCCCTTATAAGCCTCTTTAAAAGGGCAAATACCCTTTTAATCCTAGGTTACACTTGGGTCTAGGCAATTGGTTTCGCCGTGCTGGGATACCTGGACCAGAACCTCACGTCTGTGATCGTGAACAGGCCTTCCAACAACCTGCAGAAGGGGCCAGGCTATCATCTGGATCTGTTTTCTGGCAAGCTCTTGCAATAATATTTTTGCTCGTTCCCCTGTATAAGGGTCAGAGAGATTATATGTTTGCAAGAGTTGCCAGAGACAGTTTGCTAAGGTTTGTCAGGGGAGCTTTGACGCTGCCCGTTTGCGCCGTATTGGGCCTGCCTCTGTCGGTGGCCTCGACGGTACCTAGCATCACCCACGTGATCTCGCTGACCACCTATGAGGTGAAGCAGCTGCCGGAGGGCGAGCGCAAGGTACCGAGCAAGGTCGTGGAGCAGCGCGCGACGAATTTTCTGATTCACGTGCTTATTGGCTGTGCGCTCTTCCTGGCGCCGGCGCTGAAGTTCCTGCCGCGGGCCGTGTTGCAGGGCGTGTTCTTCTACATGGGCATCGCAAGCTTGACCGGCAACAACCTTTTCGACCGCCTCTTCCTGTGGCTAATCTGGGACCCGGCCAAGTACCCACAGTACCACTACATCCAGAAGCTCCCCATCCGCCGCGTGCACCTCTACACCCTGGTGCAGGCAGGTTGGCTTTGGAAGATTGATTGGGCTTGCAACCATTGTAGCGAACGTCCACTGCCCACGGCAGTTGCTAGAAAGCTGGGCCTGGGCTAAGGGTGATGTCCGAGCTTGTGTTCAATATTGCTGCAGCGATCGCTTCATTTTTTTGGTTTCGCTCACTCTCTCTCTCTCTCTCCCCTTCTCTCTCTCTCTCGCCTTCTCTCTCTCTCTCTCCCTCTCTCTTTCTCCCTCGCTCTCTCTCTCTCTCTCTCGCTGTCTGTCTGCCGCTGCGTTGTGAGGGTCTTAATTAGTCCAATTTCACTTTCTCGTTCTCACTCCACTCGTTGGTGCCTTCATCTCCCTGTACCCATGCTACTCGTAGCAGCGAGCGCTTGCTGCAGCATTTGCGGTTTCAACTTAGTGAGCACATGCTCAAGTGGCGGGCATCAGCCTAAAATTGTTTTTCTTTCTTTTCTTCTTCTTGGCAGGTGGTCTGTCTGGGCATCTTGTACGGTCTCAAAGCCATCAAGGAGACTTCCGTTGTCTTCCCTTTCTTCATGGCTTCCCTGGCCATCATCCGGAAGGCGTGGGAGCAAGACTCGGCAAGACATCTTGGCGCATGGGTGCGCTCTTCCTCAAGACATAAGACCCGCTCATCTAAGCGCCCCCCTGTGCCATCTGCAGGCCATGCGCTTCCTCTTCACGCAGGAGGAACTGGAGCTGCTGGACAGCCTCCCAGCTGAGGAGGAGGACGGCAAGGTGCTGCGGGGGTTCTCTTTCCTAGATGTTTGAATGCGGATAGTCATGGATAGTCAGTGTAAATGCCTGCAAGAGTGGCCCTGCCAGGGGCTGAGCCCGGAGCAGCCGGACTTGGTCAACCTCGAGAAGTCCAAGGTCACTAGCAGACCTGGCAGCTTCTGTCGGGCTTCTTGGGGTTTCGGAGTTTAGGCTTTAGGACTTCGATTTGGTGATTTACCTGTGCGGGCTGTTCAGCTGTTCGTTGCCGGTTTCAGGGCTTCGACTGCAGAGGTGTCTTCTTCGTAAGCTGGGGATGCTGGCAAAATTTTAGCCAAGGGTGCGGGTGAGATGCCGCTGGGGTTTGAGGGCTTCGACGTTCAAGGGATTTCAAAGGCATCTTTGCCATGTTACCGCCTTGCCAACACGTCAGGGTTTCTGAGTATTTCTGAGTCTTGAGGAATTCAGGTTTGGCGGTTTCGTGCATGTCAGGAGAACGATGAGGGAGAGCCCGCGAAGGCCACTATGGGGGTCTGAGCCGCCGTAGCCCGCCTTCGCCCTAGCAAAAGTAGGCAGATTTTCTTCCTTCTTCGGATGGAACCGTTAAGGGCCTGAAGGGCCTTCGGCTATACAGAATTCGTTGAGTTTTTGGCTGATTTTGGCTCCTTGGAGCTGGCTGGCGGGGCCCTTGCTGCGGCAGTGGGTTCGTGCCGGACAAACCCTTACATCCAAGCAGCACTGGCCGGGAGCGCTGGCGCAGACACTGCCCCGGCTGGTCAAGGGGCTTGGATATCGCAGTGCCCATGCAAGGGCACAGCGGCGCCGGGAACAGAAAGTTCTTTCAGCTTTCGGAGGCCGTCGCCCCAGGCGAACGTCTCCAAATCTACCCTGTACAGCCCCCGGCGCCAAACCTTCTACCCCTCATGCACACGGTGCGGAAAAGGAGGCCTCCGGCGTGGCTTTGCCCCATCCCCCGCGCATGACTCCACTGTGAAGGCCTTTGCACAACAGGTACCAAGCCGGCCGCCCTACTCAGGAATCCTCGATGTCGTAGGACTCCGTAGCCGGTATTAAGCATCCTCGTCAACGCCTTGCGACAAGAGCTGACCACAAACGCCCTCCTGGGCACCCCTCCTCTTTGCTGTTTGCATTGTTTTCGCAGGGGCAGGTGCGTGACGCGTGTATCGATGCAGGGCACGCAGTGGCTCGAGACGCAAACACCCGCCCCACCGCAGGCTCCCTGAACGTCGCAGCCGAGCCATGTCCGAAGCCGAGGCAGTGATCCGCAATCAGTCCGGCTATATCAACCACACGGCCAAGAAGGACTACGGGCCCTTGGAGTTTACCGGGAGAATTGCTGGGGGACTGAGGCTGGACTTGCGTAGGCGGCTGCCGCTTTACGCGAGCGACTGGACGGATGCGTTCAAGGCGGAGAACTTCCAAAAGTCTTTGTCGTCCATTCTCTACCTCTTTATCGCAGCCTTGGCGCCCGCCATCACCTTCGGAAGCCGCTTCTTGGACGGCACCAACGGCCAGTTTGGAGTGCTGGAAATGATTATGTCGACAGCTGTCTCTGGCGTGATCTTCTCCACCTTCGCAGGGCAGCCCTTGTCCATCCTCGGAGCGACCGGTCCATTCCTGGCGTACACCCTTGTGGTGTATGACATGGCGGTGGGTGCCGATGTGGAGTTCATGCCCTTCTACTTCTGGGTTTGCATGTGGTGTTCGCTCTTCACCATTTTGGTCGCGGTCTTCGACCTCTGTGCTCTCATGAAGCATGTGACCATGTTCTCAGAAGACATCTTCGCGGGGCTTATTTCTTTGATCTTTATCATCGACGGAGTTAGGCCCGCAGCTCGTGAGCATTGTGAGTGTTGTGCAGTTGTGCGTGCATGCACGTGCGCGCGAGCGTGCGAGAGTACACGCCAGAATGCACGTGTGCGCGCGCGCGTGGCTGGGTGGTTGTGGTGCTGGCCGGCTGGATGTGTGTGTGTGTGTGTCCTGTTGTGCATACGGGGATGGGGTTATGCCCACGCTTTTTGCTTGTGTTCGTCACCCGTTTTCGCTTGCAGAAATCTGCAGCAGAGGCCAGCACAGAGCATTGAACCCTGCACGATAGTCATGTCCATGAGATTGGGCGGTGATGTTGGTATTGGGCTCATGATATACTTGTCGCACGAAGGTGAAGATGCTGTCTTGTCGAATGAATCTATCCGTGTGTTGTTTTTGGTTGTGCACGAAGGTAGGTCAGCAAGTGTACACGGCTGAATTGAAACATCGTGGCGTGCCCAATCAACCGTTGACCATTCCGGGGCGCAGGCCTATCATCGAGAACTTCTCGGAGAACAAGATGAGCCTGACCAGTGCCATGTTCGAGGCCCTGCTCTTCATGTACACTTTTGGTTTGGCGACCTACCTGTCCCACTTCCGCCGCACGCCTTGGCTGCTCCGGCCCATCCGCAACCTCATGGCCAACTTCGCAGTGACCATCTCCCTGGTCACGGCTTCGGCCCTGGCAGCGATCTATTCCAGCGACACGAACCTGAGGATGCTGAGCGTCGACGCGGACTTCTCCCCGAACCTCGTCTTGTCGGATGGCAGCAAGCGGCCCTGGGTCGTGAATCCCATGGGCATCGAGCGCTCCTTCCCGGCCTGGGCCATTGCTTACGCGATACTGCCAGCAACCTAGACCCAGACTAGGCCTTCTTAATGTTTTTTGGGTTTAGGTCTAGGTTCCCTTATAAGCCTCTTTAAAAGGGCAAATACCCTTTTAATCCTAGGTTACACTTGGGTCTAGGCAATTGGTTTCGCCGTGCTGGGATACCTGGACCAGAACCTCACGTCTGTGATCGTGAACAGGCCTTCCAACAACCTGCAGAAGGGGCCAGGCTATCATCTGGATCTGTTTTCTGGCAAGCTCTTGCAATAACATTTTTGCTTCTGTAGCACGTTCCCCTGTATAAGGGTCAGAGAGATTATATGTTTGCAAGGGTTGCCAGAGACAGTTTTCTAAGGTTTGTCAGGGGAGCTTTGACGCTGCCCGTTTGCGCCGTATTGGGCCTGCCTCTGTCGGTGGCCTCGACGGTACCTAGCATCACCCACGTGATCTCGCTGACCACCTATGAGGTGAAGCAGCTGCCGGAGGGCGAGCGCAAGGTACCGAGCAAGGTCGTGGAGCAGCGCGCGACGAATTTTCTGATTCACGTGCTTATTGGCTGTGCGCTCTTCCTGGCGCCGGCGCTGAAATTCCTGCCGCGGGCCGTGTTGCAGGGCGTGTTCTTCTACATGGGCATCGCAAGCTTGACCGGCAACAACCTTTTCGACCGCCTCTTCCTGTGGCTAATCTGGGACCCGGCCAAGTACCCACAGTACCACTACATCCAGAAGCTCCCCATCCGCCGCGTGCACCTCTACACCCTGGTGCAGGCAGGTTGGCTTTGGAAGATTGATTGGGCTTGCAACTTATTGTAGCGAACGTCCACAGCCAAAGGGGCCTAGTTAGGGCCTAGTTGCTAGAAGCTTGTGTTCAATTTTGAGCAGCTGCAGCGATCGCTTCTTTTTTTCTTTCTCTCTCTTTCTCTTTTCTTTTTCTTCCTCTCTCTCTCTCTCTCGCTCTCTCTCTCTCTCTCGCTCTCTCTCCCTCTCTCGCGGTCTCTCTCTCTCTCTCGCGCGCTCTCTCTCTCTCTCTCTCTTTCTCGCTCTCTCTCTCTCTCTCTCTCTCTGGCTCCTCTCTCCCTCTCCCTCTCCCTCTCCCTCCCTCCTCCCTGTCTGTCTGTCTGTCTGTCTGTCTGTCTGTCGGCCGCTGCGTTGTGACTTAGTCCTGTTTCACTTTCCCGTTCTCACTCCACTCGTTGGTGACTTCATCTCCCTGTATGCATGCTATTCCTAGCAGCGAGCACTTGCTGCGGCATTGGCTGTGCCCACTTAGTGAGCACCAGCTCACGTGGATGGTATCAGCCTAAAGTTGTTCTTCTGCCAGGTGGTCTGTCTGGGCATCTTGTACGGTCTCAAAGCCATCAAGGAGACTTCCGTTGTCTTCCCTTTCTTCATGGCTTCCCTGGCCATCATCCGGAAGGCGTGGGAGCAAGACTCGGCAAGACATCTTGGCGCAAGGGTGCGCTCTTCCTCAAGACATAAGACCCGCTCATCTAAGCGCCCCCCTGTGCCATCTGCAGGCCATGCGCTTCCTCTTCACGCAGGAGGAACTGGAGCTGCTGGACAGCCTCCCAGCTGAGGAGGAGGACGGCAAGGTGCTGCGGGGGTTCTTTTTCCTAGATGTTTGAATGCGGATAGTCATGGATAGTCAGTGTAAATGCCGGCAAGAGTGGCCCTGCCAGGGGCTGAGCCCGGAGCAGCCGGACTTGGTCAACCTCGAGAAGTCCAAGGTCACTAGCAGACCTGGCAGCTTCTGTGGGGCGTCTTGGGGTTTCGGAGTTTAGGCTTTAGGACTTCGATTTGGTGATTTACCTGTGCGGGCTGTTCAGCTGTTCGTTGCCGGTTTCAGGGCTTCGACTGCAGAGGTGTCTTCTTCGTAAGCTGGGGATGCTGGCAAAATTTTAGCCAAGGGTGCGGGTGAGATGCCGCTGGGGTTTGAGGGCTTCGACGTTCAAGGGATTTCAAAGGCATCTTTGCCATGTTACCGCCTTGCCAACACGTCAGGGTTTCTGAGTATTTCTGAGTCTTGAGGAATTCAGGTTTGGCGGTTTCGTGCATGTCAGGAGAACGATGAGGGAGAGCCCGCGAAGGCCACTATGGGGGTCTGAGCCGCCGTAGCCCGCCTTCGCCCTAGCAAAAGTAGGCAGATTTTCTTCCTTCTTCGGATGGAACCGTTAAGGGCCTGAAGGGCCTTCGGCTATACAGAATTCGTTGAGTTTTTGGCTGATTTTGGCTCCTTGGAGCTGGCTGGCGGGGCCCTTGCTGCGGCAATGGGTTCGTGCCGGACAAACCCTTACATCCAAGCAGCACTGGCCGGGAGCGCTGGCGCAGACACTGCCCCGGCTGGTCAAGGGGCTTGGATATCGCAGTGCCCATGCAAGGGCACAGCGGCGCCGGGAACAGAAAGTTCTTTCAGCTTTCGGAGGCCGTCGCCCCAGGCGAACGTCTCCAAATCTACCCTGTACAGCCCCCGGCGCCAAACCTTCTACCCCTCATGCACACGGTGCGGAAAAGGAGGCCTCCGGCGTGGCTTTGCCCCATCCCCCGCGCATGACTCCACTGTGAAGGCCTTTGCACAACAGGTACCAAGCCGGCCGCCCTACTCAGGAATCCTCGATGTCGTAGGACTCCGTAACCGGTATGAAGCATCCCTCGTCAACGCCTTGCGACAAGAGCTCGAACCACAAACGCCCTCCTGGGCACCCCTCCTCTTTGCTGTTTGCATTGTCTTTGCAGGGGCAGGTGCGTGACGCGTGTATCGATGCAGGGCACGCAGTGGCTCGAGACGCAAACACCCGCCCCACCGCAGGCTCCCTGAACATCGCAGCCGAGCCATGTCCGAAGCCGAGGCAGTGATCCGCAATCAGTCCGGCTATATCAACCACACGGCCAAGAAGGACTACGGGCCCTTGGAGTTTACCGGGAGAATTGCTGGGGGACTGAGGCTGGACTTGCGTAGGCGGCTGCCGCTTTACGCGAGCGACTGGACGGATGCGTTCAAGGCGGAGAACTTCCAAAAGTCTTTGTCGTCCATTCTCTACCTCTTTATCGCAGCCTTGGCGCCCGCCATCACCTTCGGAAGCCGCTTCTTGGACGGCACCAACGGCCAGTTTGGAGTGCTGGAAATGATTATGTCGACAGCTGTCTCTGGCGTGATCTTCTCCACCTTCGCAGGGCAGCCCTTGTCCATCCTCGGAGCGACCGGTCCATTCCTGGCGTACACCCTTGTGGTGTATGACATGGCGGTGGGTGCCGATGTGGAGTTCATGCCCTTCTACTTCTGGGTTTGCATGTGGTGTTCGCTCTTCACCATTTTGGTCGCGGTCTTCGACCTCTGTGCTCTCATGAAGCATGTGACCATGTTCTCGGAAGACATCTTCGCGGGGCTTATTTCTTTGATCTTTATCATCGACGGAGTTAGGCCCGCAGCTCGTGAGCATTGTGAGTGTTGTTTGTGCGTGCATGCATGTGCGCGCGAGCGTGCGAGAGTACACGCCAGAAAGCACGTGTGCGCGCGCGCGCGTGCGTGGCTGGGTGGTTGTGGTGTTGGCCGGCTGGATGTGTGTGTGTGTGTCCTGTTGTGCATACGGGGATGGGGTTATGCCCACGCTTTTTGCTTGTGTTCGTCACCCGTTTTCGCTTGCAGAAATCTGCAGCAGAGGCCAGCACAGAGCATTGAACCCTGTACGATAGTCATGTCCATGAGATTGGGCGGTGATGTTGGTATTGGGCTCATGATATACTTGTCGCACGAAGGTGAAGATGCTGTCTTGTCGAATGAATCTATCCGTGTGTTGTTTTTGGTTGTGCACGAAGGTAGGTCAGCAAGTGTACACGGCTGAATTGAAACATCGTGGCGTGCCCAATCAACCGTTGACCATTCCGGGGCGCAGGCCTATCATCGAGAACTTCTCGGAGAACAAGATGAGCCTGACCAGTGCCATGTTCGAGGCCCTGCTCTTCATGTACACTTTTGGTTTGGCGACCTACCTGTCCCACTTCCGCCGCACGCCTTGGCTGCTCCGGCCCATCCGCAACCTCATGGCCAACTTCGCAGTGACCATCTCCCTGGTCACGGCTTCGGCCCTGGCAGCGATCTATTCCAGCGACACGAACCTGAGGATGCTGAGCGTCGACGCGGACTTCTCCCCGAACCTCGTCTTGTCGGATGGCAGCAAGCGGCCCTGGGTCGTGAATCCCATGGGCATCGAGCGCTCCTTCCCGGCCTGGGCCATTGCTTACGCGATACTGCCAGCAACCTAGACCCAGACTAGGCCTTCTTAATATTTTTTGGGTTTAGGTCTAGGTTCCCTTATAAGCCTCTTTAAAAGGGCAAATACCCTTTTAATCCTAGGTTACACTTGGGTCTAGGCAATTGGTTTCGCCGTGCTGGGATACCTGGACCAGAACCTCACGTCTGTGATCGTGAACAGGCCTTCCAACAACCTGCAGAAGGGGCCAGGCTATCATCTGGATCTGTTTTCTGGCAAGCTCTTGCAATAACATTTTTGCTTCTGTAGCACGTTCCCCTGTATAAGGGTCAGAGAGATTATATGTTTGCAAGGGTTGCCAGAGACAGTTTTCTAAGGTTTGTCAGGGGAGCTTTGACGCTGCCCGTTTGCGCCGTATTGGGCCTGCCTCTGTCGGTGGCCTCGACGGTACCTAGCATCACCCACGTGATCTCGCTGACCACCTATGAGGTGAAGCAGCTGCCGGAGGGCGAGCGCAAGGTACCGAGCAAGGTCGTGGAGCAGCGCGCGACGAATTTTCTGATTCACGTGCTTATTGGCTGTGCGCTCTTCCTGGCGCCGGCGCTGAAATTCCTGCCGCGGGCCGTGTTGCAGGGCGTGTTCTTCTACATGGGCATCGCAAGCTTGACCGGCAACAACCTTTTCGACCGCCTCTTCCTGTGGCTAATCTGGGACCCGGCCAAGTACCCACAGTACCACTACATCCAGAAGCTCCCCATCCGCCGCGTGCACCTCTACACCCTGGTGCAGGCAGGTTGGCTTTGGAAGATTGATTGGGCTTGCAACTTATTGTAGCGAACGTCCACAGCCAAAGGGGCCTAGTTAGGGCCTAGTTGCTAGAAGCTTGTGTTCAATTTTGAGCAGCTGCAGCGATCGCTTCTTTTTTTCTTTCTCTCTCTTTCTCTTTTCTTTTTCTTCCTCTCTCTCTCTCTCGCTCTCTCTCTCTCTCTCTCGCTCTCTCTCCCTCTCTCGCGCTCTCTCTCTCTCTCTCTCGCGCGCTCTCTCTCTCTCTCTTTCTCGCTCTCTCTCTCTCTCTCTGGCTCCTCTCTCCCTCCCTCTCCCTCTCCCTCCCTCCTCCCTGTCTGTCTGTCTGTCTGTCTGTCTGTCTGTCTGTCTGTCTGTCGGCCGCTGCGTTGTGAGGGTCTTAGTCCTGTTTCACTTTCCCGTTCTCACTCCACTCGTTGGTGACTTCATCTCCCTGTATGCATGCTACTCCTAGCAGCGAGCACTTGCTGCGGCATTGGCTGTGCCCACTTAGTGAGCACCAGCTCACGTGGATGGTATCAGCCTAAAGTTGTTCTTCTGCCAGGTGGTCTGTCTGGGCATCTTGTACGGTCTCAAAGCCATCAAGGAGACTTCCGTTGTCTTCCCTTTCTTCATGGCTTCCCTGGCCATCATCCGGAAGGCGTGGGAGCAAGACTCGGCAAGACATCTTGGCGCAAGGGTGCGCTCTTCCTCAAGACATAAGACCCGCTCATCTAAGCGCCCCCCTGTGCCATCTGCAGGCCATGCGCTTCCTCTTCACGCAGGAGGAACTGGAGCTGCTGGACAGCCTCCCAGCTGAGGAGGAGGACGGCAAGGCGCTGCGGGGGTTCTCTTTCCTAGATGTTTGAATGCGGATAGTCATGGATAGTCAGTGTAAATGCCGGCAAGAGTGGCCCTGCCAGGGGCTGAGCCCGGAGCAGCCGGACTTGGTCAACCTCGAGAAGTCCAAGGTCACTAGCAGACCTGGCAGCTTCTGTGGGGCGTCTTGGGGTTTCGGAGTTTAGGCTTTAGGACTTCGATTTGGTGATTTACCTGTGCGGGCTGTTCAGCTGTTCGTTGCCGGTTTCAGGGCTTCGACTGCAGAGGTGTCTTCTTCGTAAGCTGGGATGCTGGCAAAATTTTAGCCAAGGGTGCGGGTGAGATGCCGCTGGGGTTTGAGGGCTTCGACGTTCAAGGGATTTCAAAGGCATCTTTGCCATGTTACCGCCTTGCCAACACGTCAGGGTTTCTGAGTATTTCTGAGTCTTGAGGAATTCAGGTTTGGCGGTTTCGTGCATGTCAGGAGAACGATGAGGGAGAGCCCGCGAAGGCCACTATGGGGGTCTGAGCCGCCGTAGCCCGCCTTCGCCCTAGCAAAAGTAGGCAGATCTTCCTTCTTCGGATGGAACCGTTAAGGGCCTGAAGGGGCTTCGGCTATACAGAATTCGTTGAGTTTTTGGCTGATTTTGGCTCCTTGGAGCTGGCTGGCGGGGCCCTTGCTGCGGCAATGGGTTCGTGCCGGACAAACCCTTACATCCAAGCAGCACTGGCCGGGAGCGCTGGCGCAGACACTGCCCCGGCTGGTCAAGGGGCTTGGATATCGCAGTGCCCATGCAAGGGCACAGCGGCGCCGGGAACAGAAAGTTCTTTCAGCTTTCGGAGGCCGTCGCCCCAGGCGAACGTCTCCAAATCTACCCTGTACAGCCCCCGGCGCCAAACCTTCTACCCCTCATGCACACGGTGCGGAAAAGGAGGCCTCCGGCGTGGCTTTGCCCCATCCCCCGCGCATGACTCCACTGTGAAGGCCTTTGCACAACAGGTACCAAGCCGGCCGCCCTACTCAGGAATCCTCGATGTCGTAGGACTCCGTAACCGGTATTAAGCATCCCTCGTCAACGCCTTGCGACAAGAGCTCGAACCACAAACGCCCTCCTGGGCACCCCTCCTCTTTGCTGTTTGCATTGTCTTTGCAGGGGCAGGTGCGTGACGCGTGTATCGATGCAGGGCACGCAGTGGCTCGAGACGCAAACACCCGCCCCACCGCAGGCTCCCTGAACATCGCAGCCGAGCCATGTCCGAAGCCGAGGCAGTGATCCGCAATCAGTCCGGCTATATCAACCACACGGCCAAGAAGGACTACGGGCCCTTGGAGTTTACCGGGAGAATTGCTGGGGGACTGAGGCTGGACTTGCGTAGGCGGCTGCCGCTTTACGCGAGCGACTGGACGGATGCGTTCAAGGCGGAGAACTTCCAAAAGTCTTTGTCGTCCATTCTCTACCTCTTTATCGCAGCCTTGGCGCCCGCCATCACCTTCGGAAGCCGCTTCTTGGACGGCACCAACGGCCAGTTTGGAGTGCTGGAAATGATTATGTCGACAGCTGTCTCTGGCGTGATCTTCTCCACCTTCGCAGGGCAGCCCTTGTCCATCCTCGGAGCGACCGGTCCATTCCTGGCGTACACCCTTGTGGTGTATGACATGGCGGTGGGTGCCGATGTGGAGTTCATGCCCTTCTACTTCTGGGTTTGCATGTGGTGTTCGCTCTTCACCATTTTGGTCGCGGTCTTCGACCTCTGTGCTCTCATGAAGCATGTGACCATGTTCTCGGAAGACATCTTCGCGGGGCTTATTTCTTTGATCTTTATCATCGACGGAGTTAGGCCCGCAGCTCGTGAGCATTGTGAGTGTTGTTTGTGCGTGCATGCATGTGCGCGCGAGCGTGCGAGAGTACACGCCAGAAAGCACGTGTGCGCGCGCGCGCGTGCGTGGCTGGGTGGTTGTGGTGTTGGCCGGCTGGATGTGTGTGTGTGTGTCCTGTTGTGCATACGGGGATGGGGTTATGCCCACGCTTTTTGCTTGTGTTCGTCACCCGTTTTCGCTTGCAGAAATCTGCAGCAGAGGCCAGCACAGAGCATTGAACCCTGTACGATAGTCATGTCCATGAGATTGGGCGGTGATGTTGGTATTGGGCTCATGATATACTTGTCGCACGAAGGTGAAGATGCTGTCTTGTCGAATGAATCTATCCGTGTGTTGCTTTTGGTTGTGCACGAAGGTAGGTCAGCAAGTGTACACGGCTGAATTGAAACATCGTGGCGTGCCCAATCAACCGTTGACCATTCCGGGGCGCAGGCCTATCATCGAGAACTTCTCGGAGAACAAGATGAGCCTGACCAGTGCCATGTTCGAGGCCCTGCTCTTCATGTACACTTTTGGTTTGGCGACCTACCTGTCCCACTTCCGCCGCACGCCTTGGCTGCTCCGGCCCATCCGCAACCTCATGGCCAACTTCGCAGTGACCATCTCCCTGGTCACGGCTTCGGCCCTGGCAGCGATCTATTCCAGCGACACGAACCTGAGGATGCTGAGCGTCGACGCGGACTTCTCCCCGAACCTCGTCTTGTCGGATGGCAGCAAGCGGCCCTGGGTCGTGAATCCCATGGGCATCGAGCGCTCCTTCCCGGCCTGGGCCATTGCTTACGCGATACTGCCAGCAACCTAGACCCAGACTAGGCCTTCTTAATGTTTTTTGGGTTTAGGTCTAGGTTCCCTTATAAGCCTCTTTAAAAGGGCAAATACCCTTTTAATCCTAGGTTACACTTGGGTCTAGGCAATTGGTTTCGCCGTGCTGGGATACCTGGACCAGAACCTCACGTCTGTGATCGTGAACAGGCCTTCCAACAACCTGCAGAAGGGGCCAGGCTATCATCTGGATCTGTTTTCTGGCAAGCTCTTGCAATAACATTTTTGCTTCTGTAGCACGTTCCCCTGTATAAGGGTCAGAGAGATTATATGTTTGCAAGGGTTGCCAGAGACAGTTTTCTAAGGTTTGTCAGGGGAGCTTTGACGCTGCCCGTTTGCGCCGTATTGGGCCTGCCTCTGTCGGTGGCCTCGACGGTACCTAGCATCACCCACGTGATCTCGCTGACCACCTATGAGGTGAAGCAGCTGCCGGAGGGCGAGCGCAAGGTACCGAGCAAGGTCGTGGAGCAGCGCGCGACGAATTTTCTGATTCACGTGCTTATTGGCTGTGCGCTCTTCCTGGCGCCGGCGCTGAAGTTCCTGCCGCGGGCCGTGTTGCAGGGCGTGTTCTTCTACATGGGCATCGCAAGCTTGACCGGCAACAACCTTTTCGACCGCCTCTTCCTGTGGCTAATCTGGGACCCGGCCAAGTACCCACAGTACCACTACATCCAGAAGCTCCCCATCCGCCGCGTGCACCTCTACACCCTGGTGCAGGCAGGTTGGCTTTGGAAGATTGATTGGGCTTGCAACTTATTGTAGCGAACGTCCACAGCCACGGCAGTTGCTAGAAAGCTGGGCCTGGGCTAAGGGTGATGTCCGAGCTTGGTGATGTCCGAGCTTGTGTTCAATATTGCTGCAGCGATCGCTTCATTTTTTTTTGGTTTCGCTCACTCTCTCTCTCTCTCCTTCTCTCTCTCTCTCTCTCTCTCGCCTTCTCTCTCTCTCTCCCTCTCTCTTTCTCCCTCGCTCTCTCTCTCTCTCGCTGTCTGTCTGCCGCTGCGTTGTGAGGGTCTTAATTAGTCCAATTTCACTTTCTCGTTCTCACTCCACTCGTTGGTGCCTTCATCTCCCTGTACCCATGCAATACGTAGCAGCGAGCGCTTGCTGCAGCATTTGCGGTTTCAACTTAGTGAGCACATGCTCAAGCGGCGGGCATCAGCCTAAAATTGTTTTTCTTTCTTTTCTTCTTCTTGGCAGGTGGTCTGTCTGGGCATCTTGTACGGTCTCAAAGCCATCAAGGAGACGTCCGTTGTCTTCCCTTTCTTCATGGCTTCCCTGGCCATCATCCGGAAGGCGTGGGAGCAAGACTCGGCAAGACATCTTGGCGCAAGGGTGCGCTCTTCCTCAAGACATAAGACCCGCTCATCTAAGCGCCCCCCTGTGCCATCTGCAGGCCATGCGCTTCCTCTTCACGCAGGAGGAACTGGAGCTGCTGGACAGCCTCCCAGCTGAGGAGGAGGACGGCAAGGTGCTGCGGGGGTTCTTTTTCCTAGATGTTTGAATGCGGATAGTCATGGATAGTCAGTGTAAATGCCGGCAAGAGTGGCCCTGCCAGGGGCTGAGCCCGGAGCAGCCGGACTTGGTCAACCTCGAGAAGTCCAAGGTCACTAGCAGACCTGGCAGCTTCTGTGGGGCGTCTTGGGGTTTCGGAGTTTAGGCTTTAGGACTTCGATTTGGTGATTTACCTGTGCGGGCTGTTCAGCTGTTCGTTGCCGGTTTCAGGGCTTCGACTGCAGAGGTGTCTTCTTCGTAAGCTGGGATGTGGCAAAATTTTAGCCAAGGGTGCGGGTGAGATGCCGCTGGGGTTTGAGGGCTTCGACGTTCAAGGGATTTCAAAGGGATCTTTGCCATGTTACCGCCTTGCCAACACGTCAGGGTTTCTGAGTATGTCTGAGTCTTGAGGAATTCAGGTTTGGCGGTTTCGTGCATGTCAGGAGAACGATGAGGGAGAGCCCGCGAAGGCCACTATGGGGGTCTGAGCCGCCGTAGCCCGCCTTCGCCCTAGCAAAAGTAGGCAGATCTTCCTTCTTCGGATGGAACCGTTAAGGGCCTGAAGGGGCTTCGGCTATACAGAATTCGTTGAGTTTTTGGCTGATTTTGGCTCCTTGGAGCTGGCTGGCGGGGCCCTTGCTGCGGCAATGGGTTCGTGCCGGACAAACCCTTACATCCAAGCAGCACTGGCCGGGAGCGCTGGCGCAGACACTGCCCCGGCTGGTCAAGGGGCTTGGATATCGCAGTGCCCATGCAAGGGCACAGCGGCGCCGGGAACAGAAAGTTCTTTCAGCTTTCGGAGGCCGTCGCCCCAGGCGAACGTCTCCAAATCTACCCTGTACAGCCCCCGGCGCCAAACCTTCTACCCCTCATGCACACGGTGCGGAAAAGGAGGCCTCCGGCGTGGCTTTGCCCCATCCCCCGCGCATGACTCCACTGTGAAGGCCTTTGCACAACAGGTACCAAGCCGGCCGCCCTACTCAGGAATCCTCGATGTCGTAGGACTCCGTAACCGGTATGAAGCATCCCTCGTCAACGCCTTGCGACAAGAGCTCGAACCACAAACGCCCTCCTGGGCACCCCTCCTCTTTGCTGTTTGCATTGTCTTTGCAGGGGCAGGTGCGTGACGCGTGTATCGATGCAGGGCACGCAGTGGCTCGAGACGCAAACACCCGCCCCACCGCAGGCTCCCTGAACATCGCAGCCGAGCCATGTCCGAAGCCGAGGCAGTGATCCGCAATCAGTCCGGCTATATCAACCACACGGCCAAGAAGGACTACGGGCCCTTGGAGTTTACCGGGAGAATTGCTGGGGGACTGAGGCTGGACTTGCGTAGGCGGCTGCCGCTTTACGCGAGCGACTGGACGGATGCGTTCAAGGCGGAGAACTTCCAAAAGTCTTTGTCGTCCATTCTCTACCTCTTTATCGCAGCCTTGGCGCCCGCCATCACCTTCGGAAGCCGCTTCTTGGACGGCACCAACGGCCAGTTTGGAGTGCTGGAAATGATTATGTCGACAGCTGTCTCTGGCGTGATCTTCTCCACCTTCGCAGGGCAGCCCTTGTCCATCCTCGGAGCGACCGGTCCATTCCTGGCGTACACCCTTGTGGTGTATGACATGGCGGTGGGTGCCGATGTAGAGTTCATGCCCTTCTACTTCTGGGTTTGCATGTGGTGTTCGCTCTTCACCATTTTGGTCGCGGTCTTCGACCTCTGTGCTCTCATGAAGCATGTGACCATGTTCTCGGAAGACATCTTCGCGGGGCTTATTTCTTTGATCTTTATCATCGACGGAGTTAGGCCCGCAGCTCGTGAGCATTGTGAGTGTTGTTTGTGCGTGCATGCATGTGCGCGCGAGCGTGCGAGAGTACACGCCAGAAAGCACGTGTGTGCGCGCGCGCGCGCGTGCGTGGCTGGGTGGTTGTGGTGCTGGCCGGCTGGATGTCTGTGTGTGTGTGTCCTGTCATGCCCACGCTTTTTTGCTTGTGTTCGTCACCCGTTTTCGCTTGCAGAAATCTGCAGCAGAGGCCAGCACAGAGCATTGAGTCCTGCACGATAGTCATGTCCATGAGATTGGGCGGTGATGTTGGTATTGGGCTCATGATATACTTGTCGCACGAAGGTGAAGATGCTGTCTTGTCGAATGAATCTATCCGTGTGTTGTTTTTGGTTGTGCACGAAGGTAGGTCAGCAAGTGTACACGGCTGATTGAAACATCGTGGCGTGCCCAATCAACCGTTGACCATTCCGGGGCGCAGGCCTATCATCGAGAACTTCTCGGAGAACAAGATGAGCCTGACCAGTGCCATGTTCGAGGCCCTGCTCTTCATGTACACTTTTGGTTTGGCGACCTACCTGTCCCACTTCCGCCGCACGCCTTGGCTGCTCCGGCCCATCCGCAACCTCATGGCCAACTTCGCAGTGACCATCTCCCTGGTCACGGCTTCGGCCCTGGCAGCGATCTATTCCAGCGACACGAACCTGAGGATGCTGAGCGTCGACGCGGACTTCTCCCCGAACCTCGTCTTGTCGGATGGCAGCAAGCGGCCCTGGGTCGTGAATCCCATGGGCATCGAGCGCTCTTTCCCGGCCTGGGCCATTGCTTACGCGATACTGCCAGCAACCTAGACCCAGACTAGGTCTTCTTAATATTTTTTGGGTTTAGGTCTAGGTTCCCTTATAAGCCTCTTTAAAAGGGCAAATACCCTTTTAATCCTAGGTTACACTTGGGTCTAGGCAATTGGTTTCGCCGTGCTGGGATACCTGGACCAGAACCTCACGTCTGTGATCGTGAACAGGCCTTCCAACAACCTGCAGAAGGGGCCAGGCTATCATCTGGATCTGTTTTCTGGCAAGCTCTTGCAATAACATTTTTGCTTCTGTAGCACGTTCCCCTGTATAAGGGTCAGAGAGATTATATGTTTGCAAGGGTTGCCAGAGACAGTTTTCTAAGGTTTGTCAGGGGAGCTTTGACGCTGCCCGTTTGCGCCGTATTGGGCCTGCCTCTGTCGGTGGCCTCGACGGTACCTAGCATCACCCACGTGATCTCGCTGACCACCTATGAGGTGAAGCAGCTGCCGGAGGGCGAGCGCAAGGTACCGAGCAAGGTCGTGGAGCAGCGCGCGACGAATTTTCTGATTCACGTGCTTATTGGCTGTGCGCTCTTCCTGGCGCCGGCGCTGAAGTTCCTGCCGCGGGCCGTGTTGCAGGGCGTGTTCTTCTACATGGGCATCGCAAGCTTGACCGGCAACAACCTTTTCGACCGCCTCTTCCTGTGGCTAATCTGGGACCCGGCCAAGTACCCACAGTACCACTACATCCAGAAGCTCCCCATCCGCCGCGTGCACCTCTACACCCTGGTGCAGGCAGGTTGGCTTTGGAAGATTGATTGGGGTTGCAACTTATTGTAGCGAACGTCCACAGCCAAAGGGGCCTAGTTAGGGCCTAGTTGCTAGAAGCTTGTGTTCAATTTTGAGCAGCTGCAGCGATCGCTTCTTTTTTTCTTTCTCTCTCTTTCTCTTTTCTTTTTCTTCCTCTCTCTCTCTCTCTCTCGCTCTCTCTCTCTCTCTCTCGCTCTCTCTCCCTCTCTCGCGCTCTCTCTCTCTCTCTCTCGCGCGCTCTCTCTCTCTCTCTTTCTCGCTCTCTCTCTCTCTCTCTGGCTCCTCTCTCCCTCCCTCTCCCTCTCCCTCCCTCCTCCCTGTCTGTCTGTCTGTCTGTCTGTCTGTCTGTCTGTCTGTCTGTCGGCCGCTGCGTTGTGAGGGTCTTAGTCCTGTTTCACTTTCCCGTTCTCACTCCACTCGTTGGTGACTTCATCTCCCTGTATGCATGCTACTCCTAGCAGCGAGCACTTGCTGCGGCATTGGCTGTGCCCACTTAGTGAGCACCAGCTCACGTGGATGGTATCAGCCTAAAGTTGTTCTTCTGCCAGGTGGTCTGTCTGGGCATCTTGTACGGTCTCAAAGCCATCAAGGAGACTTCCGTTGTCTTCCCTTTCTTCATGGCTTCCCTGGCCATCATCCGGAAGGCGTGGGAGCAAGACTCGGCAAGACATCTTGGCGCAAGGGTGCGCTCTTCCTCAAGACATAAGACCCGCTCATCTAAGCGCCCCCCTGTGCCATCTGCAGGCCATGCGCTTCCTCTTCACGCAGGAGGAACTGGAGCTGCTGGACAGCCTCCCAGCTGAGGAGGAGGACGGCAAGGTGCTGCGGGGGTTCTTTTTCCTAGATGTTTGAATGCGGATAGTCATGGATAGTCAGTGTAAATGCCGGCAAGAGTGGCCCTGCCAGGGGCTGAGCCCGGAGCAGCCGGACTTGGTCAACCTCGAGAAGTCCAAGGTCACTAGCAGACCTGGCAGCTTCTGTGGGGCGTCTTGGGGTTTCGGAGTTTAGGCTTTAGGACTTCGATTTGGTGATTTACCTGTGCGGGCTGTTCAGCTGTTCGTTGCCGGTTTCAGGGCTTCGACTGCAGAGGTGTCTTCTTCGCAAGCTGGGGATGCTGGCAAAATTTTAGCCAAGGGTGCGGGTGAGATGCCGCTGGGGTTTGAGGGCTTCGACGTTCAAGGGATTTCAAGGGCATCTTTGCCATGTTACCGCCTTGCCAACACGTCAGGGTTTCTGAGTATGTCTGAGTCTTGAGGAATTCAGGTTTGGCGGTTTCTTGCATGTCAGGAGAACGATGAGGGAGAGCCCGCGAAGGCCACTATGGGGGTCTGAGCCGCCGTAGCCCGCCTTCGCCCTAGCAAAAGTAGGCAGATTTTCTTCCTTCTTCGGATGGAACCGTTAAGGGCCTGAAGGGCCTTCGGCTATACAGAATTCGTTGAGTTGTTGGCTGATTTTGGCTCCTTGGAGCTGGCTGGCGGGGCCCTTGCTGCGGCAATGGGTTCGTGCCGGACAAACCCTTACATCCAAGCAGCACTGGCCGGGAGCGCTGGCGCAGACACTGCCCCGGCTGGTCAAGGGGCTTGGATATCGCAGTGCCCATGCAAGGGCACAGCGGCGCCGGGAACAGAAAGTTCTTTCAGCTTTCGGAGGCCGTCGCCCCAGGCGAACGTCTCCAAATCTACCCTGTACAGCCCCCGGCGCCAAACCTTCTACCCCTCATGCACACGGTGCGGAAAAGGAGGCCTCCGGCGTGGCTTTGCCCCATCCCCCGTGCATGACTCTCTAAAATCCTCTAAGCCCTCAGCCCTCAATCGTCACGAGACGGGGATGGCGGAGCGAATCATGGCTGTCACAACCTGATGTGCCCTCTTCCCCCGCCCCCCCTTTCCCCCCCTCCACCTTTCCCCAACCTTCCTCCCCCCCCTCCCCTGCACAGTGCAGGGCGACCATGCCGAAGGGCTGCTAGGGGGTTCGCCACGGCCCTGGCTTTGAGGCTTAGGGTTTAAGGTTTAGGGTTTAGGGTTCAGGGGTTTAAGGGTTTAGGGGGGCTTCAGGCTTTCCGGGTCTTAACCTTTTGCCTTTTGCCTGGGACCTTCACTGGCTCCCGCCCTTAAAACCCCCCTAGCATTGGAGCCCGAATTCGTCAAAATCTGGAAATCCTTCGACTTCACAGGCGGTCGTGACGTGCTGAAAAGTCACCATGGACGAAGCCCTGAACTTTGTCTTGACAAGCGAATCCTGTGCCGAGGCCAAAGAAAGCTCGACGAGAAGGCACTTGTGAGTTGAGCGTGGAGATGCTGATACATAGGGAATCATAGGGCTGCCGAAGTTGGATTCCACACCAGGTGCAAGAGGAGGGTGGGTGAGTGGTGAGTCTGGTGGGGGGGCAGTGTGGGTGAACAGTTTGGCCCCTTGGAGGAGTCTGGCGGATGAGCAGTTGAACTGCGTGAAGTGAGATAGTAGAAGCAATGTTTCATTCTTGGGCAAACTTCTGCCTTTGTTCTCAAGCATCTCACGTGCATGGTGCTGGGCAGGGGGCTGATGTCCTTCGGATCGTATGCTGGCATACAACTCACGTGTCCGTGCGGGTGAGCTGTGGGGGTCCCCTGTCGGTGCTATGAGAGAAGTACCAGCAAGAGAATGTTGTGTGTCGCATGCAAGGGCTACAAGCTTGACCTGCACGATTCGACAAGCAGATAATGATCTGAGCTGGTCACACATTGTCCGATTAGACATCGTCGGATTAGCTCCCCCCCAGCTTGTTCCAGACTTGGACCCGGCAGGGCTCCGCAGCCGCCCACACGCATTCCGCACGCCCACTTCCAAGGGCGACTGGAAGCCACTGCTCAGTTGAGTAGCACAGGATAGCATAGCACATCATGCGGGCACAAGTACTGTAGGACCAGGAGTCATCAATACCGGCAGTCCAAAAGTGTTCCTGAGGCAGGACGACAGCAGTGAGCTGTGCGAGACGAGCCGCTGCCAGCCCAGTCATTCCTTGTCAGCATGGCTTTGCAAACAGCTGAGCTGTTCGCCGCGTCTTGGACTCCTTGAAGGTTCTTGGAGAACGCCGGCAGAGGCAGAGTTTGCAAAATTGATTGTCCGACGTCTTCCTGAATTGTTTCTCAGCCTTTTCCCCAATTTTGCACACCCCTCCCCCCCCCCCCCCTTCACCCTCAGATCGATGCGCTCCTCCGCGTCGATGCGCTGCCCATGCCAGAGTCTCCGACGCTCGGAGTCGTAGTTTTTCGCTGTCCTGCACGTGCAATATGCGCCAATGCAGCACTGCTGGTTTTCCATGATTTACATGGCAACTTTAGATGGGGAAGCATGTCTCGAGCACAGGAAAGTAGCGCTAGCTGATG